TAAAATTGTAACACAAATCAATTTAGTTAATTGAATCACGCTGCCCTTTGAGTTCACAAAACACAGCCTCAGTAATTAGCCCTGATTGCCTGGTCTGCGTTTCATAAATGGTCTCTCCCGCTTTCTCTCCAGTGAACCTGTCCTTCACTCGAGCAACAGACACTCCTCCAGCATTTCCACCCACTTTGTTTGTGAGGCTTTGATCCACACTATTCCAGTTAAAGTTACACCCATGTGCTGCAAGTTGAAACTTTCAGCATTGTTGCTCAGGGGAACCTTATACCCGTGGCGCCTTCTGCTTTTGTCCTTCCCTTTAGCAACAGAACTCTCCTATGGTCCCGGACAAAAGACTACTCACGACACCATTTTATGATCTCTGTGATGATACCGTTTCCCTTCCCCTGCTTGCATGTTACCTCGGTCTGCTCGTCTAATCCTAAATGTTAATGTCAAAAAGCATCATTAAGGGCTCTCCCTAGAGAAGGCTGTTGATTTGGAGCAGAGGATAACACGAGGAAAAGGACATTCTTCATCTTAAGATTGCAGCCTTGAAACCAGAAAACCAATTTGAATCAATGCTTTTTCTTTATGCTGCAAAATAACATAAAATTGTATGAACAGCTGCAACCAAATTATCATAAAACTAACAGTCTATTATTTTTCTCCTTCAATTAAATTCACTTGCACAATCAGGTGGACTTCACTCATAATGCTTATTACATACAGGGGATGTTTGTGCACACATTTGCATTTCTTGCAAATACATTTGCATGTTTGCTGGCATGTTTTCCAGCATTACACACACATGTTAAGCCTAATTGAAGAAAGAATTAAAACCATTTTATACAACAGCAATATAAACCACTTATGGGCACCAAAACAAATAGAGTATATTAAAGTAGAGTGTAAAGTGCTGCAATGTCTTGCCTCTCAAGTCTGTCTAATCACTATGTGAGTGAAACATTCATGGTACACTAGATCAGTTCAATATTTAATTTCTCAACAAAGACTACATGATGGAACAGATGCTCAAACTTTGTATGTTTCTCAGGAGAGCAAAACTCACTTTCATGCAAGCTATTGAGTTTTGAGATTGTGACTGTGTACAAGCTTTTTTTGTTTGTGTTGACTTCTTTGGGCTCTTCACCTATGCACTAAACGTACAGTGGTGGATAAAAAAGATGTTCAAACATACTAAGTGTGCAGAGTGAGTCAGTGCTCAAACCATGGACTGAATACATCAATTGTTTACATCCAGGGGCACTGAAAACTCATGTGTGGAAGCACATTAGCGATGCACCAAGGTTGGCCTTTGCCTCCATGTCACATTTCAAGTGAAAATTTGACTTGGCATGTTTACATAGGATTTCTTCATCTCCCTTTTAAACCCCTATGGGCAGGCTGAAGGTGAGGGGAACTAAGATTATTATCCCCCCGTTTCTCTGAGGAGCTTTTCTTTATGCACACCCTCACAGATGTCGACATTTGGTTAGGCGGTGTACATAGAAGCCCCAGATTATCTAGCGCTTCAGGAAGTCTGTTTAGCTAAAGTTAGGAGTGGTTACTTTGCTGCACCTTCCTAATTTACCCTCGTGTTTAATAAAACCTGGAGACCCTCCATGCTTAGTTAAACATCTGTGTTACAGCGAGTGGCAGAGGAATATATTGGTGATTGAATACTGCTGTCCTTTGGAAACCATAGGTCTTAGCTGTAATGATGTTCACATCAATAGGCTGGGCTTGTGCAGGCGTAGATCTAGTCGCAGGAAGCGTAACAGATGGTGTACTATATGTCATAATGCTATAAAATCCAACAGGAATTGACAATTGAAATCCCACCCTGGAGTTTGCCTCTTTTAGCTTTGGCATAATCTTCTCAGGATTTCAATTGCAAAGTCAAAGAGAATAGTCTAGCACATGGGGACTAGTTATCTGGGGCAAATGCGGTCTAAGGTTGACAATGCAAAGGCTATGTTTATGTGCATCACACTTGCTATACTGAATGTTTCCCAGAGTGCAAGAACATCCTCCCCTGAATTCTATTCCTCTTCCCACGTCCCAGCAGTGCTGCCGTGGAAAGTAGGCCAAGTGAGCACCAGGGCGTTGCTTTTTTAAGATGATCAGTTTGTCAGTGTGTTTTTGTGTGCGCTCAGGACGGCTATTCATGTGGCTTGACTCTGTAGAACAAAGAGCGGCATTATACAATTTGCAGCACTTCCAATAGCAAAGGGGAAAGGGAGAGGTTGGAAAAAAAATAGGGGACAGGACAAGTGCGGATGAAACAAAGACAAAATCTGGCTTGTACTCTAATTCATTTACTTCCTCTTTTCCACCTCTTTGTTGCAGCAAAAAGGTCCCTTGCCAGTAACACTCCTCTGCAGGATCATACTGTACTCTGGCTGGCGTGGATTATTTTTAGCAATTGCTGTGCAGCTTTCACCTTGACTCCTTCCATCTTGACATCATAATTAACATTTCTGTTAATAGTAACAAAGTTTAGCATTAATAAGGATCTTTGAGAGAAATCAAAATTCAGCAGCGGAGCGGGAATGAATTGCGAGGACAGGCTCATTGTGCTGCACTGCTCATATAAGAGACACCTTGCCAATCAGCATCAAATCTGAGCCTCCTTAATGATGCTAATCCCTGCAGAAGGAAATAAGAGGTGCTGATGCAACACGTAGAAAATATACGTTTTGATGTTGGCGTCTGGAGGATTATCAAACTCCTCTGCAGGTTTCTTTTGCCAGTATCACTATAAGTTGGCAAAAGCTCCATCACAGGGGTCAACAGGCAAATTAAAGTTCTCCTGAGGACTGAGGCAAAGGCTGCTGCCTGTGTGGTCATGCCCATGCACTCTCACAGAGAAAAAACACACACACAAGGTTAAAGCAGATTCCTCTCCTTTTTGGAGGCCATGATGTCCAGTGCAACATGTGCTAATATTCTACTTATTGATGCGATTTTTAGATGACCTTAAGTGCCAGATTTTTTGGATGCACTTTGTAGTATAACGCCTTTTAAATTCCATTTGATGCTGAATAGTCACATTTACATAACGTCCATCAACGCCACAATGTCTGATGACTCTTTTCAATGAAGTTTTTTTATATTTTTTATTAAAGGCCAACAGATCCCAGCAGTGATGGACACACTGAAGACGTTCCTCTGGCATGAAAGGCGAAGGTATATGCAGGATATTTGGTCATGTGTATTTCGGTCTAAATTTCCAGGGGATATTTTAGATGTTAATAGCCCTGAAGTGGTCTCGGTTTCTTATTTAATTTCTCTCGCCTTCTTTTAAATGTAATTCGCCCACAGACTGCGCCGCGAGGCTCGAAACCGCGCGCAAAACTCTCTCTCATCAGTTCAGCAGCAGAATGGGAAATGCAAATGCGTGCGCGCGGGCAATGCCCTTGACAGAACTCACCACTGCACACAATTAACACGCGCACTCTGACAGAAGTTAGTGACGAAATGTGAGGTCACAGCGGCCGCGTGGCACAGAGCGCGAGCGCGTCTATTTTACACAATAAAAGCATCAAAAAATATTTGGACTCGAATGAAAAAATTACACATTCTAAACGATATTAACTTCTTTATTACGTCACGTAGTTAGAATTATCGTTATCTGACGTGGAGAGGGGAAAGTTCTAAATATTTTACTTTAATAAAAACACGTTTTCAATTTTTTTTTCAAAAATTTCTGCACTTTTTGAGGCATTTTTTACAAACTTTTTGCCTTTTTTTCCAAGATAATTTGTTCTGAACTTTAACAGCAATTGCTTTCTATGTCTACACAGTGGTCTTTTTTTTCTTTGGGTGTTGAGGTGGGGTGTTAGATAAACCTATGTTGAGATTTAGTCATGTTGTCAGTGAAGAACACAGCTGCCTCATATCGACACAATGATCTCAAGTGTAACCAACGAGGGGCGCTGTCCGTCTATCAGCTCTAAATACTTGACACGGATAGCCTCCATGATTGATCTCGTCACTCTGGGCCATTTGTGTTTTTCCCCTCTTATAATTAAAATAACCTGTATTCTATTATTATTCATTTAAATATGAATATGTCATATCGAATTTTTTGGGCGTGTATTTATAAGGCCTGGTGCGATAACACAGAGGTGAGAAAAGTTTGAAAAGAGACTGCCAGTGTGATTACAATTCACTCATTTTTGCAATTAATTAAAACGGATTCATTAATAATAAATAACGCTTATTTTGACCTTTTAATGTGAAAATCTTCACACACAGTTGGAAAATTATATGTTAAATTAAAATTAAAAGAAATGAGAATTTAGAATAAAATGCAAAATTTGCTTTTGAGTCAATGTCACGTGCATATTCATTAAAAATATAATAATAATGGGAGGTTGAAAATCTGGTCAAACAGAAGAATAAACAGTATAAGGTGTAAACAAGTGGGCTCACTGCCTTTTCCTCCATATGGAAATGTGAATGATGTCTGACTGTAGGCGTATTAGATAAATATTTAATGACTAAAGGATCACTTTAAAACAGCCTCTCACTTGCTTGGTGGCTGCTAATAACATTTCTTTTTCCTCTTTTTTTTTCTCCTCCCCTCCTTCCAATCAATTCATTAGGAAACAATGCAGGTGAGCAGAATGAAAGTGTTGTCCCAATAAAGTGCATCGATGGACAGCTGGGCAGCGGCCGGCTGATTGACTTTGCCTTGACATCTGGGAGGCCCGCTGGCCCCTGGCACGCGCGCAGGCTGATGTCGCCATTTACATGCAAATTTAAGGAGATCATGAGGGCCTCGCCCCGTAAATTCACACACAAAAAAGAAGACGTCACCCTCAATACGGAGGAGGCTCGTCCCGGGCGAGACGGGAGGTCTTCGGGAGTCACCGTGGACATTTTTATTGGGGAGCCACGCGCTCCGAGGAGTTTGGTTTTTCTATCAATGGTCAGGCCCCGAGTCCGTGGGGGTTCATTCATTGTGGCCATTGAGTAGAAGAATGAGATAACAGCCAGCCGTGTCATCAAGCGGTCATTTAAATGATGCACAGATAGTTTGCACTTGTTTTCACCCACCACTTACCTCCAGCGTGCAGAGCTCTTTAAAAAAAAAAGGCTTTTATTTTGTAAGGTGAGAAATGGAGGAAAAAAAGCGTGATCCTCTAATTCCACGCTAAAGTTGCAGGAAAAAAAACAAACGAGGATCAACATTTTTCCTTTATTTTGATGCTATAACATTTTCACCTAATGATGGAGAGCGCATTTTCCACGGTGTAAGCCCACCACGCAGATGATCCCACAGAATGAGCTGAGACGGATTCAGGCTCCGCGCCTCAGTGTGCGCAGCAGCTGACTCCCTCTCTCCACGTCCAGATGGCTCCTGCACACAGATTTGCATTCATTTTCCTCTAATATCTTCTGAAATAGCGGGGGCAGCTGCATTTGTTGTCAAATACGGTTTAAAAGTCCCTTTCAGGACAGCATCGTTACCTACGTGACGGGTGTGGAGATCCATTTTCCCTCTCCAGTCAACAGTATCAGATCTAAGAGGATTTGTCTCAAAGTCTCCTAATTTGATAATCAGATTTAAATCGCCTTGGTGCGTGTAATCAGGGGTTAAGTTCTAATAAGCGACTTGAAAATGTGCAGGAAAAAGCGAGAGTTCTGTGCAAAAAAGATATTTGCAATCTGGGTGCAACAGACAAAACATTTGCAACACGCGTCTCGGTTTGTTTCATCTGAAAGGAAAAAAAAAAGATTTCCCCATTTTTTTTTATTTCAAAGGCCTCTTAGATATCCCCCTTCAAAATTAAAACTTTAATTTTTCCTTAATAATACAAAGTAAAAAAAAAGGGAAAAGTCCACACCCTCATTTTGTGACTGGGCAATTTGGCAATAGATTGTGTGGAGGTGAAAGCAACAGCTTATAATTCACTTATCTTTGGCAGCAGCTATTAACCCTCAGCACCAGCTAGATAGATTGCTCAGGATACAGCACACATCTCTCTTCTTCCTCGCTCCCTCCCTCCCATCCTCCTCGCTCCCTCCATCCTCTCCTCCTTTTCACCACTAATGAACCGGATTGCCTGCTTGCCCCTCTCGGACAGAGTCAAACATGGATAGGCAGTTGGCTCTTTAAAAAAAAAAGAAAAAAAAAAGATTAAGATGTTTTTGATTATAAGCTTCTGGTTTGTGAAATAAAAAAAGACACAGACGCGTGGATGTTTCTCAAGTTGGTTTAATGTTATGAAGTCTGAGTGGCTCTGATTTCATTTTTTAAAGAGGTCAGGAGATTCGACATTATGTTCTGTAAATGGCAAAGTGATGGGATTGATTTGTTTTCACACTCATAATGTGGTTGCTAAGAAACTGATTTATATTTCACGCTTTACGCAATAAATAAAAAATCATCGTGCTCAGGAGAACAAATGACAATCAGTTTTTTTTAATCCCAAAATAAGTTATAGCAAGTTAAAAAATGTATAATACGGTTTGATTCTCCAAATTTAGCGTAATATATGTTTAATCGTTTTCATATTCGAATAACCGAAAGCGTCGAATAAAATAAGCACGATAAAATATTTACAGAAACATGATCTGTTATTATTAAAATATGATTTATTGCCTCTTTTCTTTCCACGCAGCTGTAGAGAGCCAGCTTTCTCACTGAATCGGTTCGCAAAAATAATCGAAACTTTAATCGAACAATTTGACGATAAGTTTAATAGATTATAACAAAAGCTAAAAGCGGATATTGCAATCTTTAAGGCAGCTGGAAAATAAAGCTTTTAATTCAGATGTAAGAGTAATTATATGTGTAATTTTTCTTATTTTTTTTCGTCATTACGTGTGATGGTAACATCTTCTTAGATTTTCCATATGATGATAAAAAGTCAAACTCACCACATATAGGGCCTAAGCAAGAGGAAAAAGTGGAGCGAGTGAGTGTTTCTCAGGCTGCTGCACTACAGGGCTCTACCCGTACAGTTGGAGCGCCGCTGCCTGACAGGAACCGTCACAGCTCCATATATGGTCAAAACCCCGCCCCTTCAGCGTCATATTCTGACAGCGCCTCTCCCGTGGGTTTAGAGTTTTGGCTCCCGGGAAAGATTTCAGTCCTCGGGGAAAGAGGGCTTAGTTTTGCATGTTCCCATCCATCGTGCACGACGCGAAAGGGCCCCTTATCCACCTCTCCTGTGTACAAGGAACACCTCCACTGGTGATCAGCCTTTGCCTGTGTTTGTCTTGTGGAGAAGCAGCAGCACCTTTTTCAGGAGTGGGTTTTTTATTCAACAAGAAGTCCTGAAGGTTTTGGATGCGGTGCTTCAGGGATGTGGGCACTTTGAGAGCAGCATCACCCACAAACACAAACAACTGCCATCGATTTTTCTGTGAATAGCACCAAAAAAAAAGAAAAAGAAAAAAAAAAACAAAGAGGAACAATAGCAACACAAAAAATCTTGTCTATTGAACAATTCACTTTTCCAGTCTGTGGATACCGCTCTAACTAAGTACAGCACTTTGAGAATTGTTCACATCGGACGGACTGAAGAGGGAGGCAAGACCTGTGGACCGGGTTTTCCCTCGCAAGTCTGAATCGGCTCGCGCTACTTATCCCGAGAAGAAAAAACAGAAAGCTACAACCCTAAAGGATAACACGCTTTTGGACGTTTTATTTCCCCTAATTTCGCAGGAGGCTCCTTTTTTCCACGCAAATTGTCCTAAATGTTTGGGATTCAGGAAACTATACCGCGGGGTGGGACGACGATGAAGGAGGAACCGCTGGGTGGACTGAACTCGGTCCGCTCCTGGATGCACACAGCTGGGGTGGTGGATGCAAACACAGCCGCCCAAAGGTACGCATGCCAAAAGCATCTGATTTTTCTCACGCATTCCCTCCTCATCATATCGACCCCTCAATCCCCTGAATACTCTGTATCAATTACGGTCTCCCAATAAATGCCCCCCCTTCGGCTTTCCCCTTCTTTCATTACATCAGATTAGCCATTATTGTGACAAATCAAGAAATCTCCCCCGTAGACTCCAAAGCGTGCGTCTGCATCTCCAATGTTTCCACCAGCTTCTCCATCATCTAGCATCCCCGGTGTCCGGTGCTTAACCGACATGGTCTCTTGTTTTCTCCCCGCAGCGGTGTCGGCTTGGCACGGGCACATTATGAAAAGCAGCCCCCTTCCAACCTCAGAAAATCCAATTTTTTCCATTTCGTCCTGGCGCTGTATGACAGACAGGGTCAGCCGGTGGAGATCGAAAGGACAGCTTTTGTGGACTTTGTGGAGAAAGAAAAAGTAAGCGGTGTATTTTTTTGTTCTATGGGAAAAAAACACACTCACTATAGCTCTCCTTGCACATAATCAGCACATGTCTCGAAATTATACTCTGGGTTGTCACGTGTAATATTGATTTTTTAAACACTAAATAGTTGGATGACAGAGAGTGGGTTTTAAAGGTGTTTCTCCTCTTTTGCACATGATTTTTCAGTGATACTGTCTTGATGCTGATTTTCACAAAACTGTGTTCTCCTACAGGAACCAACCAGTGAAAAAACTAACAATGGGATACATTACAAACTACAGTTATTGTACAGCAATGGTGAGTTCAAGTGTCACTCGTGTTCTGCTGACACGTGCAGAACATCATGTTGAAAAATAATAATAAAAGCAGCAATAGTTGAAGCAAATCGAATACTTTTTATTTAATCGATTAATGTCAGCACACTTTATGTTTTATGTTGCATGCAGTACTTTTATTTTGAAAAGCTTTCTTTATTTTCTGCATCGCCTCAAAAATTGCCCCCCAAAAATCTCAGCTGCTTTTTCTTCTTCTTCTCCTTCTTCTCTCCTCATGCAGGGGTCAGAACAGAACAGGATCTTTACATACGGTTAATCGATTCCATGACGAAGCAGGTAAGCTGCTGTTCCACTTGTTTTTAGGCACACATGTATGGTTCACCACCAGCGCGCACAAAAATATACAAAAAAATCCTAACAATAAACCTTGACAAGGCGTGCAAATTTTCACCCCCTGAAAAAAAAACTGCTTGCAAATGCAGTTGTGCCACAAAATAAAATCAAATTACCGGCGTAACACGAAGAGGCAGCTTCCATTTTGGCTGTTTACGTTTGCTCATATCATATTGCACGACTCTAAAGTCAATTTCACTGTGCCAGAGTTCGGCTTTCTTTGCAGGCTCAACATTAAAATTTAAACACCATGTCTGCTCCATATGATCTGATATGACTCTCCCCCGTAAAGACTCAAAAGTGACGCTAAAAATTTGCTTTAGGTATTATTTTTTTATGATATAAATATTATTTTATTCATATATAGGTGCAGTCACAAATATCTACATGTGTGGCTTTTCACCAAACGCACAAAATGCGTCTTAATGCGCATTGTGTGCCAACGCAGAGATTTGTAGGAGTATTTATAATTCTAGGGGTAAAATCAGGTATCTTTATTTTAACTCTGCAGCTGATGTTTTGTTATTAAAAGTGTGTTTTTTGTAGTCGGATCTTGTTGTGAATAGAGCCGTGAAGCCTGTGCCACTGGTCTCAGACAACATTCCTGTGCGAATGATCCGAGTCAATGACGCAGAACAAGCAATTTATGGATTTCTGTTTCTACAGCTGCAAACAGCGACATAAATCAAACCAATAGAGATAATCGTCTGCTTCCAGAACAAAAAAGGGGAACAAAAAAAAAAAAAAACAGCAAGTCAAGTAGGACAGATTTAAAAAGAGAAGAAAAAAGCGAGGAAATGATGCGACCTGGTTCAGATATGTCACATTTTTTATTAACCTCAAATGCACCATGGAGAAAAAAAATCTTAAAATTATTAATTGTATGGAATTAAATAATAGAGGAAAAACACTCTCAAATTTTCATCCTATTTTTGCCTCATTTTAAAGGATTTACTCTATAATGTTTTGTTTATTTGCCTCCGTTTCCACATGGTGCCGGTTTACTATACGAGGGAGTGAAGTGTCTATCCTTAGAAGAAGGAAGGAGGGAGGGATCGAGGGATCGAGGGAGGGAGAGAAGAGCGGCAGAACTGATAGCTCCACGCCATCTGTTTCAGCCAATGCTCAAAAATTACTCAACCGTACCGCCAGACACCGCTTTTTATCCACAGAAAGATCATTGTTAGCGGCTCAAAATAAACAACAGATTGCCCATTAACACTTTCCCCCAAATATCCCCAGATTATAAGCATATTGATGACACTTCTATTGGATCTCTCCTTATGAAAACCTCTCTGTGTGTCTCTCTCTTTCTCTGTCTGCCTGTCTCTCTGAGCCACAGGATATTATCCAGATTAATAAAAAAATACAATTTATAATTATTCCTCTCATAATCAAAACCAATCTTTTTGAGATTTCTTTTTTTCTCCTCTTAGAATTTCTGCCCCTGGAAAAATATGTTGGTGTAATTTTCATGATCACTTAGATTTTTTATTTTTTATTTCCTTATTTAGCTGGACACCACTTGATGTTTTTATTAATTAATACAATTTAAAACACAGTAATTATCTGATCCATATTTATAGCTGAGCTTTTGCACTTGTGTAAAATATCTCCTTGTCCTGAAATCATGTGTATGCATGCCCTGTTTCATTTTATTATGTGCAAACACAGCAGCTAATTATTTGTGAATTTATGTGAATTAATATGTGTTTAACAGTTTAACTGTGTTCTCACTCTCATTTCCTTTCAAAGGCCATAGTTTATGAGGGCCAAGACAAGAATCCAGAAATGTGCAGAGTTCTTCTTACTCATGAAATAATGTGCAGGTAAGCAGATTTATTTATTTTTTTATTTTTTATTTTTTTTCTTCTTCTTTTTTTTGTGCTTCTGTCCATTTTGCACATCCAGGCAAAAACTAGATCCCCTTTCCTCCCCACCTCCCCCTCCTCTTAGATAAGTTTTGACACTCATGATGTGATGCAGACTGTCCTGTGGTCTTTCAGCAACCACAGAGAGAGAGAGAGAGAGAGAGAGAGAGAGGGAGAGAGGGGGGGAGTGAAAGAGAGAGAGGGAGAGAGAGAGAGGGAGAGCTGCTGTCATTTCTAACTTTGATATGATGTGATTCAACTTTGATAGGAGTGTGAAAATGAGAGATAAAATCAACTGACTGTCTTTTGCATTCAAGTGAAATTGACTGTATAATAAACAGTCAGTGACACAGTTCTGCTTCTTTAAATATGATCTTTATTTATTTCTTATATTTTTAGAGTTACATGTAAGCCTGCCAGAGACAATGTGTTTCCTCTTTAGTTATGCACAGACGTCGCATGCTATGTATCAGTTTTTTTTTCTCTCCTCCTTTCTTTTCTCTCTCCTCGCACAGAGTCAGTTCTGGTTGATCCCACCTGTCAACAATGATCAGCGAGCCTTTTAGCGTCATTTAACCACATAAATCTCCAGCTCTCATATTGCGCTGCTATTCAGCGGTGTCATTGATACTAAAAGGAAAAACGCCTTTTGTTGTTATTGTCGAGCTCAGCATGAGCTTTGTGAACATTGAATTCGGATACTGTCGGTTAACCTCTCCTTTTGTTGCACCGCTGCATTGTTCAAGTTGCTGCTGGAGAGCAAGTGCAAGCTTGAGAGCTGAGAATGATTTGTCTTTTTCCATGCATAAACTCATCACTCACGCTCAATTTATACAAGCATCCATCACTTATTTGTGACACGTTGAATATGCTCGTGCTCTGGAGGTAATATTTTTTTTAGTCAGGAGGAGTGCTGCTGAATCAAGACTGCTTTAACAGCTACCTATTATCACATAAGAAGATATGCATAATAAGATCAGAATTATTATCTTTGATATCTTATTTTCTGTACTACACTCGCCTCTGAATTATATTCCTCCTCTGATAGTTAACAGCGCCTCAGCTATAAAACACATCTTTATTATTGCAGCTGAAAGTCATGTAAATCACCTAGATATTTAAATAACGTGTGTTTGAGTGACAGCTGCACAAAATCTTTGTTTTTCCTGCAGCACCATATGGCATAAATCAATCCCATTCACATATGTTTATATGTTTTCATTTCGAATCAAGTCTGGGATGATGTATTTGTTTATTTTTGCACTTTTGATTCAAGTCCCAATCAAAAGAAGTGCGAGGCAGCGAGCTATAGGCTCAGGGAGGAGAGGGCTGAAACATGTGCTGGAAGATAGATTAGTGCTTTTGAGGCCATAATTGATAAATGCCCCGCAGAAATATTGGTTGAGGGTGGCACCTTGCATCTCCCTCAGAAATAGCAGCTTGGCAATTAGAGGTAAACAAAAGCTGAAGCTGTGAAAAGTGACTCCCCTGCCTCCTGGCCCAATCCCCACTCCCCTCCCCTCCAACACTAAGCCAAACAACACAACATGTTGTTTTCACCAGTTTTATCAGCCATCAGCATCAATGCAATAGATGGGACTGAGTGCAGGAAATCTCACTGCTACTTTTTTCCCCTCCCTCATTTTCAAATCCCTACTCTAAGGTGCTTAATAAATATCTGTGGTTTTGTGTGCATTATTTATTTATTTTCATTTTATTCTTTTAAAAAGTGTTGCCCACTCTGAAACACACTGTCTTATGTCCTCCCCCCTCCAACAGCCGATGCTGTGACAAGAAAAGCTGTGGAAACAGGAACGAGACACCTTCAGACCCTGTGATCATTGACAGGTAGGCCGTTGCACAGCTTTTCCTCTGTTTGTGAATGACCGAGTGAGAGGAGTCTGAGTGAGCACATGGACATCGTAGTGAACAAATGAGTTCCCTCCCGGTGTGCCAGACGGGCCCGGTCGCTCTGACTTGCAGCCCTCTGTGTGGGAACCCGTGGGTGATCCTGTGTGAGTGGCTGAGGGGCGTCTTTCCCAGGTACCTGTGCACCGAGGGGCGGTCACCACCTGGATAGGGTTTGTTCAATCACAGGTGGCTCAATCACTAGAGGATCATGCTGGGAATACACCTAATTAGCTTAGGCAACTTCACATTTATTTGGCTGGCTTCCTCCTCTTTGTTTACGACAGTGATGCTAACATTGTCAATAGTTGTTTTTCATTGACTGTTTCCTTCTCTGCGACTTAGCTGAGAGCTAGACGCCGTTAAAGTTTAGAAGGGATAAACATTTTATGTGTGCTGTTTTGTTCTGCACCTTCAGGGAAAAGTTACATCTGCCACATTTATATTCCCTTCATCACTTTCTAAAGAGGGAGAATAAATGGCCGTCTCTCAGACGTTGACATTTTTCTCACACTGTGAAAGTATATGTCCCCGCTCAGCCCTGAATATGTTTATGTGGTTGTGTGTTTTACCGTGTGTATGTGTGTAAGGTGGATATAGGGGTGAGGCAGGGGGTGTAGTCTGAGCGTCGATCTCAATGTAACTCTCACCACGTAGTAGGGAGAGACAGCAATGCTAATGTTTGACTAGCCGGAATCACTGTTTGCTTAGCGGAGAATGCCTGGTATCTGACAGAGGGGACAACTCTCTTATTAGTAATCAAATAGGGCTGAGCAGTTGTTGCTGCCACTCCACTCCAGCGGCTTCTCATGCATCAGGAAGTAGGAGCTGGCTGCCCTGGGAGCCTGGATGGATTACCAGAGCTACTGCTGTCTGAACCCAAACTCACGCACGGAGACACACACACATACACAGACAGACAAGGGCACAAAACACAGTCACAGAGACACCCACACACACACACACATGCGTGCATGCACACAGCCTGTATCTTTATGTTTTTGTGCTTACTGTCAGTGCAAAGTTAAGCACTCAGGGGTTCCTGCGAACAAGTGGACATCTAAATTTAAAAGCCAGCTTGTACGTGTGAGTAAAAGAGCGATTGTGCGACATTTACATATAACTTGAGACGTCTACTTTACCTTATTTCCGCTTCTTTTATGTTTGCTTTGTGTCGCTCTGCTGCCTTTTTACTGCTCAGAGTTTCGCACACCTTTGTTCTTCAATCTGCGGGACAAAACATGTAACATAAGTACAATAAGCAAAATGAATGCATGGAGAATTAAAGTCAAGAAGAGGGGTGGGAAAAAAAGAAACAGAGTAAAAAAGAAGCGGATGGATATTGTAAGCTCAACCGGCTCAGGGAGGGCTCGGATTTTCATTGTGACGAGCCTGAATAGGAGTAGAGTATCCCTTTCCTTGCACAATGAGCAGCTCTGTTGAAACACAAAAGCATATGTTCCTCATTAGACCCTCCCATTGTCTCCATGTCGTAACTATGAGCCCGTCAGCTCACCCTAACAGACCCACACAGGTTCCCAGTGACTGAGGGAGGCTCGCAGAGAGGGGTGCTTGTGAAGGGTTGCAGGGTTTGAGAGAGAGTTACGGACACGACCAGAGCACACTGACTGTAGGCTCGTATACATAAGGTTATTTACAGCAATTACTCCACTATTCCCTGCTGTGCATATGGGCAAGCGCTTAGTTAAAGCTTCCATGTTTTACAGCCATTCCTGTTACATCTGTCATTTTCTCATGCACATCATTACAGGCACCTGTGCTGCGGTCGCTGCTGGCAGAAACTGATTATTTCCAATTGAGTAGAACATAGTTGAGTGACATAAACCTAGAGGAGAGGTTTGATTGTTGAATCAGGCATGTCTCATCTGTCTACAATTACAGTATAAAAAAAAAAAAAAAAAAACCCAGCTAGCACTGCCACATTTCCTAGAGAAACAGTAGCATGGCCGAAAACCTTAAGAAACAGATTTGGAGTGAATCATTGATGGCGTTCATTCGCTGTAACATTTTCCCAGATGGTAAGAGGGGAAAGCGCACACAGCTAGCTGGCATCTAGCAAGACATTAACTGGCGTTCCCATGGATCTGGCATATCCAACGGAGTTTGGGAAACTTATCATTCCAAATGTGTCCTATTTTCCTGCGGTCAAGCCAGACATCTGTTTACCCTATTTTCTCACTGAGTTTTGATACAGATTTTCACTCAGATTTTTGAAGAGGAAGGATTCTCTTAAAAAAAAAAAAAAAGAGTTGGTTAGATATAGGCCCAACAGCTGTCACAAAGTTTCAGCACTGCTTGGTCTTTTAAATATTTCAGCACTTACATTTGATGCCCTTGCATTATTCATACTCCTTTTTTTTGGATGAAGAAAGGGCCTATTTTTGTTGAATTTGGGTAAGTTTATGTGTGTTACGACTCAAATTTCAATATCTTTTGGGAAAATTGCTACATATTTTGCTCTGGGAAAAGACAAAAAAAAACCCTATTGTCTTTTCGGCTGCGAGAGCGCACTTTTTTCCTTTAAACGGAGAGGAATTCAAAGTCTTTTTTGTGGTTATATTAAATAAAAGAGACGGTACATTTATCCAGGCACTAATTGTAGCGCTGCTGCTGCTGCTGCTGCTGCTATGACCGCATCACTTTGCAGTTCAGTGTAATCATCTCTCCCCTTTATAAATCCAGCAGTGCTACAGATGTCACATTTATAAGTTAATGGTGCCTTAAAGTAAGTGGGGGTGTAGCTTTATTCAGTCGGTAATTTGAGTCTTTAGAATTATAGTGATGAGGCACCCAATATCTGATTAGATGGTTTTCCCATTTACAGTGCATATAGCCAAACATAACTCAATTTGCGATGACTCTCCTGCTCTGCTATCTGTCTTCACTCTCTTGCATATTGACTTTGTCTTCTCTTGTGTGAAAGATTAGATACATTGTTCGGGCTTACACATGGATTTTGTAATAAGACAGCACATGTTGTTGAAAGAGGAGAGAAAATGACTCATTCTGCATGTCAGGGTTCAAAGGTCACGCTTTACTCCGGTGCAATTTATGCGAGAAGAAACGAGTCGGACCGAGCGAGGGGGGAAAGTGTTATCAAAGTGTATTCTGCTCAGATATGACTTGTGAATTTAATGTGTGTTCATACAGTTTAACATCCTGTGTCAATTTAGACTGCCATTCACAAAGTGTCTTCTGGAGGAGACCTAAACATGTCAGCTCCGTTTATTCCAGCGGCCGCGGCGCTCCCTTTCACTTCCTGTCACAAAGGTCAAAGAGCGGCGACCTTTGGAGTGCAGCCCAGCCGCTGAATAATTCATGACATTGACTTGTTTTTTCCCTTATTTTTTCCCCTTGTCTCTCTCTCTCTCTCTTTTTTTTGGTCAGCACACATGGTTGTGCTGTGGGAGGCTTTTATTCATTTAGCTCATTTATAAAGGCCTCGCCGCACCTGTTCGTGTGTTAATGCAATTAAAATTTGGCCTAATGTAAATTTTGCTTAGCTCTCCGTTATGTCCCTCATTAGTGCGCCTGTATTTTCTAAATGACTTTGCGTTATCGTTCATTTGTGGAACACCTACGAGGTCATTTCCCAGAGTGCACTTGACTTGTTGTCAAGTTGTTTACCAGAAACAAAAGACCCGTAGTCTTAGAGCCTCACATGTGGTTCCCTCGGCCTTCTAAGAAACAAATCGGGAAATTTGTGTGCTCCCATCTGGTTTTTGCAAAACCGTGATTACCTCCAAAAGCTGAACAAATGCCAGTATTTATAAGGTCAGCCCTTTATGTGGAAATGTGATGTAAATGAGAATCAGCGAAAGGGGACATTAAACAAAATTAAATTCATTGTCTCCTTTAATGTCATTTACATTTTTGGCTAAGCCCTGGACTGTCAAAGAGGATTTCTAAAACCATTTTAATTGCACATCAGCATTGGAAAAGAGGGGTGTGTTTTCACTAAGCGCCTGTCGTGATAACCTGCATAGAGGAGCCTGTTTATGAAGCACCTAAATGACATGTTTTCACTGCATCTGCAGAGGGGCAATTAAGATGGCACTCGGTAGGTAGTGTTAATCTAGCACTGAGCTCCCACCATCCATAATGAAAATGATGCAGGGGATTGGGTCACTGTTGTTGTGATTGAGAGTTGATTGCTGCAGGTGTTCCTTCTGGATTTTTTACATTATAGCAGCGAGCTGTGGGACCTGCTTTTTTCCAGCTTAACAGTGAGTCATTTAAAGCTGTTAATTTGTATAGGAAACACTCACTTACTATATTTACACACGCATGCAAACACCTGCTCACACCTTTTTTATTTGTGGCTTAACAACACGTCCATCTCCGCGTTTAATTATATAAGGCTGCGCTCAGTGTAATTCCTGTGACAGATGTGAGCTTTTGACGCCCATTGAGAAACAGGAGAGTAATCTGGCCACTACTGCCTGAGTCGACGTGATGTTTGAGTGAAGCCTGTCTCCTCCCGAGCCAGAGTAGGAAGAGCAGGAAGTGTTGAGAGCGAAAGCTGTACTTGGCAGCTCTCCTTTGGCTTGCACTTGCCGAAAAATGAAACCCAGACCCCTCTCTCTGCAGCCCTCAGAGCCAGAACCTCCTTCCCCTGCGCTCCAACATCCAGTATTGGGTAATACTGTTCACTAAGCAAAACATTACCTCAAATTATTCTCACCCTGTTTTCTATTCCCTCCTCCCTCATGTCGGTTTTTATCGCAGTTTGTAAATGTCAAGACACGTACAAAGACGCACAGTATAAATGATATTTTCCAAATTATGCTCACATGTTTGGGTTCACATGAGTGGCGGCTGAACGTAACGCGGTGCCTGACGCTCCCGAGGGAGACCCACCTCACTAGGGTAGGATTCCCCAGTGGCATCAGCTAATGGCAAGACTTGACAACAGCAGAGAAGCCGGGGGTGTTGTGTTTTACTAGCGCTGAGCAGGGGTGATGACTTTAACATGTGTGCAGAGAAAGACGGAGATGTTTGTGTGCGTGTGTGTATGTGTGTGTGTGCGTGTGTGTGTGTGTGTGTGTTTGCTGTGCTAAAGAGAGAGGTGTGCGGTACGAAAAAGAGTGGCGCGGGCCAACAGAGCGACGGATTCGGCTCCAGCTTGACGGCAGTGAAAGACGAAACATGGTTCCACATGTGTTGAGAAAGAGCAGTCCATCTGTCCATGGAGACAACCCCTCCCCCCTCTCCACTCCCCCCTTCTTCTCTCTCTCCCTCTTTCCTTCTCTTCCTCTTCTCCTTTTCTCCCCCCCCCTCCCTCCCTCCATCCCTCCCCCCCTCACCCCACTCTTTTACTCCCCTGGTTCACTGCTGACAGAAACAAGGCCAGAGCTGGGGTGATGGGATGAATGCTGGGCCAAGAGAAACACTGGACCTTGTACACACACACACAGAGTTACACTCTCTCTCTCTCACACACACACACACACAGAAATAAGAAAAGGTTATCGGATCTTTTTTTCAGTGAATATGCTGTTAAAGTTTACTATCTTCAGCTGCATTCACTGGCTTGGTTAAGTGCTACATTAATGTGATTTAAATCCAACTGTGGAGCAACGCAAGAGATTTATTTTGATATTATGAAAGAAAACAATCTATTAAGATTTATTCACTTTTCCCCGACACACTGCTGCGAGGAGCCACCTCGGTGAAAATCTTACATTATTGAAATTAAAACCGAAGTGAATAAAACATGCCACTCTTTGTCAAATATTTAGCAGCGCTCCTTTATAATTAAACTTTGTAGCTGTTTTGAAGATGTTTGGTTTCTTAAAGCATTAATGACGCAAGAGCTTTGTCAAACAGCTCCTGATTCTGTGAATCACATTTAGGTCACTCAGGCCGCTGTTTTTTTTAGACATTTTTTTCATTTGAAAAAGGGTCTCCTTTCTTTCTCTTGGCATGTTCTCGCTCCCATTCAATCCTTATTAGGTTTCCCCTAATTGTCAAACAAACTGTTGGGTCAACCTCAGTCGTATCTGGCCGTAAAACAGCACATTAGGCCCCGGTGAGGGATATATGTGGTATTTCATCGGAGACGGAGTAATGCTGGGGTTTTATGGTTAAGTACCAGTTCACGCCCACGCCATTTGTTTCGCATTAGAGTGGAGGTTTTGTAAATCAGATCAATATGTTCGCTGAGATGTGATTCCTTGTCGGGATCTCCCGAGTCGTTCTTTCCTCAAGTATTTTTCTTAGGGGACTGGTTGTCGATGCATACTCCTCCTCCTCCTCCTCCTCCCCCCCTCCCCTCCACATCCTTCCCCTTCTTCCCTTTACCTCTGTCAGTCCCTCCCTCCATCCTCCACCTCAATCTATTTCCATTTTCTGAATGTAGCAATTTGTAGTGTGACACTGGCTAGATTAGGATGGGAAGCAGTCTGAAGATTTCATCGGACATGGTCTTGCTCCTGCTGGTGTGAGGTCACAGGACAAAGATGGAGGGGGGGGTGGAATTCGGGGAGAGGGTCATCAGTTACCTCGGGGAAACGAGCTGGTCCGCTGGCTGCTCTGTTGGCCCCAGGGGTGCCTGGGATGTATCGGAGGAGAAGCCCCTGAGAAAGAGCCCTGAACCAGTGTCATTTATTAAAAGTGACAAGTTATTTCTAACTATAGCTCTGTTTTTATTGTTTTACAATGCTGTCATTTGGAACAGTGCCCCTCTCTCTTCAGGAACCACAAACAAGTGACGAATGAACGATGCGACCTGCTTTTTTCCTTTTACATACACACATGCTGTGCTGCTAAGTTACATTATTATGTGTTTTGTTGCCCGCATTTAAATCAAACAAATGTGCAGGTTTAATAAAGATCGACTGAATGATAAGTGTAATGAAAATATTTCACCATTCACCAGTTTTTCTCCAGGACATTTGTTCAGCAAATTAATAACAGCTTACAGTATGAATCTCGGGCTGACCTCGGCATAATCAGAACCAGAAGTTCCACAGAACATGACCGCACTGGGAAGTGTGTGTGTTCGAGTGTGTGTTTGTGTGTGTGTGCGTACAGAGCGCAGCCACAGCGTCTGTTTTTGTGTGTGTGAGTTGCTCGGACTTTTATCGAAAAACACAATATTCATGCAAATAATAGCGTGTTTATTCAGTGTTTGACCACTGCGCTTCATCAAGGGTCACTAAGGCACTCTGCTCCCCCTCTTTTTTTTTTTTACCGCCTGCCCCAACTGCGTTAATGATATATGACAGAAATTTCCTTGAGCTGGTTCAGTGGCAAGAAAGGTCCTGGCTAGTCTATATCAATCCATCTGACTTATGTTCCCATGTCTTGAATTACCGCTTGATGGAAACCTGCTGTGGGCTTCTCTTGCCAATTGAAATCAGATCTCCTCCACAGCCTGGTGTGATATTGATCCATATTCAACACCCAGGCAGCCCGATCGATCAGTATTGATTTACAATAAAAAACACTCCTCTGCTTGTTCAGCACCGCGATCAATAACTTTAAAGCAAAAGGGGGAAAAAAATATTTAAAAAGAAGAAAAACAGGATTGTGCTTTTTCCAGCGGTGACCAGCTGGAATACATAAAAATGTGAGGAGATGTTTCTTTTCATTACAGGAGTCTGACTTTAAGTGACCAAACCTTGACCACAGCGGCGAGCGGCGGCCGCGTCCACAGTGAACAATGATCCTCCACCGCCATGTGAGACACACCAATAAAAAATGGTTTAATGGGATGACACTTCTATAAGGACTCATTTATTGAAGGAGGTGTGTCTGTTTCTGAATTAGTGGCACATCTGCACTGCAACAGGGAGCGCTAAAACTGTCATATCAAATGTGTCTGGAAATTGAAATGGAATGCTAAAAGTGGTGGATCAAGCCCGAGCACTTTAGCTTGATTTCAGCGTGTTAACACGATGACATGATTTCCTGTGGTTTTTATATTAATTTGTGTCTCACCCACTCACACATATGCCTGGTCTCTGCCTCCCACACGGCACATCATCAGGGCCCGGTTCAACGTCAAACGCACTCCAACAGACTAAGGCGACCCATTCAGCTACAGTCCAGATCCACTTTTCCCCCCTGTCACATCTTAGTCCTAATCTCTCGGACTTCCTCCCCTCTGCCAAATAAGCGTTCCCATCCAGCAGGTTCCAGCATCGGGCCGGGCTGCAGACATCTGAAAGTTATTATCCCCAATCTCTGACATCCAGGAGTTTACAGTTATATAATGATGGGGAAAACCACATGTCCCCAGAGGCAGAGAACATTTTTGAGATGCCTCCCCATCTGTTTTTGGGGGAGCTGCCCATTTTGGGCCAAACTCAGAATGGCAGGCAGGCTGATTTTTTTTTCTGTAATTTTTATTTTCTACCAGTGAAACAGGCCAGTCTGGGAGTCATTATATGGGGTGATAAAGCAAATCCAATTGGGTCAGGTTCCCCTCTGCACAGTGCTGGTGGCACCGGCTCTCCCCGCCTCGCTGCTCGTCCCTGACTGTGTAAGTGCTGGTTGTTTGTTTGTCCTAGAGAGGCTGGGCTGGGGGACTAATGCAAGCCCGGGGGCCAGCCAGGTCGGAGGCGACGGTAAACCCGAGCCGCCTGGCGTAGAAGCGCTCCCTCGTTGCTGGCTCGGCCTTGTTTGGACTGCAGCTCCGGTTTGCTTTCTTAGAGGGAAGCTGAGCCTCCGTAATCATCCAGCCTTTCGCTCGGGCGGGGAGCACAGCCGGGACCAGAGGGAGTGATGACATAGGTCCGCAGAGGCCTGGCCCGGTCCACCCCTGCTGCTCTTAGGATATTTATTTTCTCTTCTCATTGTATGGTTTAAGTCACACCGTATTATGTTCGGACCTTATGCACGTGCACAGGCACTCAGATGTGATGAGGTGCATGGCGTAAAGCTGTAGGCTTTGTTTTTACTAATAACGTCGGGGATTAGTGACTTGCTGACCTCAGTGTAATCTTTATTAGTCTGTTAACCATATACTCTGGTTATGGAGCTGGCCCCGACTGATGTGAAAGCGGTGACACAGACGTGCATTTCAGGAAGAAACAAATGGGGAAACTAACCAAATTACATGCTGTTATTAAATCTCTATGCTATGTTATGTGTAGATGAATGTGTGTTTCTGCTTAAGCGTTTCCAAAATTTTACAGATTTAGATAATTTAAGACCCCCACGTTGGCCCCCCAGGCACTCCTCACAAATGTTTTATTCAGCATCAGCACTCTGTTCTGTTTTGTTACGTTATTGAAATGGGTTGTCGATTCGAATAGAGTCAACCTGGTGGGCCAATCTCATTGTAGCCAGTGGAGAGTGAAAGCCATCTCTGCAGCATAGGCTCACCAGAACACACACAGAGATTGGACGAGGGGGGCAGTGAGAGCGAGAGTGCCTTCTCCAGATGGAGATCCCAGATATGGGGGGAAATGTCCGGGCCATTTTCCAGGGTTTCCATAATGGGAATCAACCCCTTGCTTGCTTATTAAGTTGTGCACACAAGGAGGAGTGAGGGGAGAGATGGAGAGGAGAGGAGATAAGGGCAGGCGAGGCGAGAGATGGACAACCTGCGCGCCGTCACCTCTCCGTTGTAAGTGTCAAGCCGGCCCTGTCGGAGAAATCACAGGTCATGTGGATAGATGATTGTCAAAGCACCGCATTGATATAAGGGCTCTCTTTTTTTCCTTTGAGCCGCGAAGGCGCATGATAAGATTTGTTTTTGTTTTCTGTAGGAGAGGGAGAAAGTATGACGTCCGGGTTAGGGAGGTCGGATCTGGGGGTCGTGGGGTCACAGCCTCTTTGGTACCTGAGTAACCTCACATGGCTTAGCCTGAAATGATGGCGGCGGCGGTGGGGAGGGGCGAGAGAGTGATCTATCAGCGGAAGCAGCAGACATGCAGACAGAATGGCAGCTACTGCAGCTAAACAGAGTGAGACAGATAGGCAGAAGTCTCTCATACGTAACACCAGGAGCTTTAAGACGACAGCTCTGAGTGTTATGGATGCTTGACATTGACCTCTCATACAGAGATGGCGTATTTATCAAGGTTGTAGGACAAGAGTGTATTTGTTTTTAAATTATTTAGTTCACTGGGTGAGATGCTACTTTCCTCACATAACGCTCGCCACTTTTGTAACAAGATAACAACAATATCCTCCTCCTCTCGCTTTCGTGCGTCTTGTTAGATGTTTCCTACGAGGCTTAGAATTCAGGTGATCATATTTTGAACACTGTCAGTCCTATCAAGTCGAATCAACCTTAAAAAAAGAGGGGAGGGAAAAAAAGCTCTGAAGCTTACATTTTTCTGGAAGAGAAATATTTGTGTACAGATAGGCCTGTCATTCTGTGAAACAACATTCATGATTCTTTTATTGGTGCTCAGCCATCACCCCCCTCTCTTCCTCTGTGGAAAAAAGGGCTAGTCTACAAAGTGGCTTTTTGCCGTTTGAGAGAAGTAAACTTCATCAGGTCGACGGCGAGGTGTGCTTCACATGTCACTCAGTCGAGCTCTCTCCTAATGAAATGCTGCATACAGATTTCTGCCTGCGGGCTCGGGGGGATAAGACCGTGGTAACAGAATGAAACAAACCCCTTCCCATTCCCTTCACTCACACACACAAACACCCGGCAAAACGCAGAAACATACCCAGACAAACACACATTCATGCAGCTGTGCACACACCTACACACACACTCTTGCTGGAGAGCATCCATGTGAGGAGATCCAAATCTGCAATTTATTCAAATATTGATATTTCTACTTGTCAGGAGAAAGGTGCCTTGAAATTTCCTCTGAGTACTCCTGTCAAAAAAATAGCAGGAAATATGTCAGATAATTCATAAATGGAGTTCAGCGCTGCAAAGTCAGTAGGGAACAGCAAAAAATATATATGCTTGTCAATGAAGAATAGGAGCAATATTACAGAGCCTGCTGCTCATTCTTCCATCATGTCAAGCAAACAGCTTTTGCAGGCCCATAAGTGTACGTTTCACAGCCTGTGTGTGTATTTGTGTATATGCATGTATATTTGTATATGTCCCTGTGTATGTACATGTCTGTGTATATTTATACATGTGAATGTGTGTGTGTGCTTTGGCTATGTTGTGACTCCTACTTAGATGTGTTTGTTATCTTTTTCCATCAAGACACCCCATTTCCCATCCTGGAGCAGCCAATGGGAATGTGTCCTGTTTCTTTTTTTTTTTTTTTCTTCTTCTTCTGCAGAGGTCCGTAACCGGACGCTGGCCTCCATGTGGTTTGAATTAGGGCCCCTGAAACTGTGAAGGACGCCTCGAATGACGTGAGGCACTTGCAGACCAAATTCCATTCTGCTGAATGGTGGAGAAACGAGCTCTCCGGAATCCTCCGAGATTTTTTGGCTCGGGCCCTGCAGCGATTAAAACAGGGCGGAAACCAATAACTCAATGAATCATGGGGCAACGTCCCATGAAATCTCTCACTGCTCTGTCACACCCACATGCAAACCCCGAATCCACTCAAACTCTGCTGATTAGTCTTTTTTCCAAAGTGCGAGAAAAAGTAGAAACGGGACAAAAGTCTCGTTCTTCTCTCCGGTTTATTGGGCAGAACTTTCGCCACTCTCCCCCCTGTTTCCTCCCTCTGGTAGTTACCTCCACTATGACAGAGTGCGGGCTTCCTGATGATGCATCACTTGACCATGTTGTGCCAAAGCGAGACAGAATAGGACTCCACATATCTCCAGCGGTCATGTGATGCCATAGTTCATAGCAGTTGATGAGATGCAGTTTGGCACAGCTTGGGACCCATCTGGGAGATGCAGATACGCAGACAGGAGAAGTATTTTACAGCAATGCATCTGCGCGCTTGAAGAGCTATTTAGCATATGCTGCTATACGAGAGAATGTGCTCTGCTGTTGCCAGCTGCAGATTAGTCTTCATTTCTCAAAAATCCGACAGAACAGCTGATCCATAGCTGCAGACGGCTAGCAATGAGCAAAATATTGTTTTATGCTAATGCAGTATGTTATTTAATATTCGGCTTCATTACTTCTCAATAAGCGGAGTTATTTTGTTAGAATAATACAGAAAAAAAAAAACATCTTTTCCCAGTATTCTTATATCTACGATAACAATGTCAAGCAGTGCAGTGATGCTGCTGCCAGCGCTGGCCGGTTTGTTTCTGTTAGCTCCAGCAGAAGTCAAAGCTCATGCTGCTGCTCTAACTCAAGTGGCTGATATGTTAGGCCATCTAGGGCATGGCAGGCGGTTGACAGTCCATGCAGCCTGTCTACCCACAGGACATCTCCACACAGTGTGTCCACAGCAGGGCCAGCCCTGTCATCTGGGCCCACTATGGACCAGTGCTCTGCTGACAGTGAGAGGGTAAACGTTTACCACCTCAATCCCCCATTAACTCGGTGAAGGCGCTTCGATCCTCTGTGAAAATAATGATATTGATTGGAGCTTGGCTCTACAAACGAAATGGTTGCAACTAAAAGAGGGATGGGCCCTTGCATTAGAATATGGGATTTTCGAGGATAAAAGAGTGTTTGGATCTTGTTATATTTTTCCTCTCCTCCATCTCCCTCCAGCTTTCCCCCACCTCCTTGTCTCCTCTCTTTCTGCATTTTTATGTGTGTGCATGTAGTGTGAGAGCCGGCATGTCTCCTAAGATTACCCTCTGCTATCCCCGCAATCAAACAACAAATGACAACATCATTGCTCAGGCCTTTCAAAATACGACACAAAAAAAGTGTGTTGTAGCTACATTAACTTGCAACAACCCCCTAATAGACCCTTGTGGGTTTTGTATCTCTCCGCCTCCTCTCTCTCTCTCTCTCTCTTCCTCTCTCTCCTCTCTTTTCTCTGCTAGGCTGTCACATATCCACCACCCTCCCAGCCCCCCCCCCACCACACACACCCCCGGCCCCCCCACCCCCACCCCTCACAGTGCGAGCCTCCGAGCCTCGGTGGAGATCAGGAGCTCCCTGTCGGAGGTGCTTTGTCACGTAGCCCAGGGAGCGTGGAACTCACCCAGAGCTGTTGAACAAACACAAGCACAGGGGCTGTCAATAGCAGCTCCGCAAACTAATTGCCTGTCAAATGAACCACCCTCGTTAAGCTGCCCTCACACACACACACGCACTCACACACACACACACACACACACACACGTGTGCGTGCACTGTGACATTCATACGCACACACTCCCACACACAGAGCCGATTTGATTCAAAGAGTAGTGATACCTTGTTAGAAGAAAAGACACACGAGTGGCACTTCTCTGTTTGCCGTCTTGTTCCTGCAATCGTTACCGGCGTGTGTAGTGCAGTCACCGTGAGATTGCCATTTTGTTATTATTAAGGGGAACACAGCATTGTATAGAGTAGCTGATGTAATCCGAACAGATTCCACACAGCCTACAGTCTATCAGCTGGTGTAATATTTCACTTTTTAAAACCACTCATTAGATGGTAGCAGAGCTCCATACGCCAAATGGTATTGTTTTTGTGTTTGTTTTGCTGTTTTTTTTTCTTTTTTTTTCTGTAGTCATTAGGCAGTAGCAGTGGAGTGCCCAGCGCCTTGTCTGGGTGCCTGTAACAGTGCTGTCGGATTGACACAGCTGGGGAGAGCAGCTTGAGGCTGCACGCTCAGGAATACACAGGGGTGTTCAAAGCCCCTCTCTGAATCCTGATCAGAGCGCTGCCCCGGCCAACTGATGGCCTATTAAATATACATGCGCAGAGGTCAGAGCTGGAGGTCCCGGCTTCCTCCCAGCCATGTGCACTTAAGCGGAAGGGCTGGGCAACAATAAAACCTCCTCTCGCTCCAGCGAGCTCTCCCCTGACACCCTCACCTCCAGTGTGTACGTCAAGTACAGTGCTCACCTAGTGCTATATTACAACCGCCTTTGTGGAAAGGCCAAATGATGCATTTTTTACATGGTTATTATATATTTATATTCAATAACACCAAGGACCACTCTTGTGTCTGTCTGTCTCCTATTTTTTTTCCTTTTGTCGCTGATAAATAGCCGCGCTCGATACAAGCAAACACAGAGTTTGAAGTGGGTCCACATCCCTGGGCTTTGTAGTTTAGCACAGACCGAGGCGAGGAGGTAGAGGGAAGAGCCCCATAATGGCCAGTCATGATTAACATATTCAGAGTGACACTCTCTCTGTGTTCGTTCGTTAAGCCCGGTCTGTCTGACTAATGAAGTGGAGCGGCAGTTTATCAATTAACCCAGCACTGAGCCATTTGTGCCGGGGATAACGCTCGAGCTGGGTGTTGCGGTGATCCAGTTTGGTGCCCTTTAACCCCTGCGAGTGTCCAACAAGGCAGGAGCGTGTGACAGTGACAGCAAAACACACAAGTCCACAACCGGAGATCCACTAAACAGGATTTGTGTCTGCTGCTTGTCGGCAGAATGCGGAGAAAGGAGTGAGGATTGATTGGGTAATAGGATCATGAAAAAAGATCCCCGCAAACTAACATTGGGGGTTTTCAGCATCCTCAGACTTGGCATAGATCATAGCAAACAACTTAGTGCTGTCTCTATTAAAACAAGGCCTCCCTTGCCATTATCTTTCCCCCTACTGCTCCTTCCTCCATTTCACATTGTTTGTGTTCATTAAGACATGGGCGACCTGCCTTATCCACACATCAGACCCAGCTCTCAAGAGTAATTGCGATGGTCTCGCAGAGGATAATGTGGTTTAAACTCAGTATAGCCTGTCTATTAGGAGAGACATGATGGCAACCACAAATAATAAAGAACTATTTATTCCTCTCTCTGTGACGCTAACTAGGTAACATATCAAGCCGGCTCCGCTAAGGGTCTCTCTTACTGTCAGATATGGCACCCTTCATCCATTCCCAATGGCCCTCGCCTCGACATCTCTGCTCTTCATTTTCTACATGAGCCCGGTCATAAATGCACACACACCTCATATATATTTGATAGTTAATATTTATCCTCGCTAGGGAAGTGCACTTTACATGTGGTAACATACGATTACCTGCAATTCTTATAGCAAAGAAACAAAATCGATATGGATATATAATTCATGACGGAGGGGCTATCAGTTTTTATGGCTCTCTATCCAGGCTCATTAAAGTTTTATCGTAATTGACTGCAAGCAAGAGTTTTTAAGGCATGTTTCTCCCTCACTTTCTACCTTTAATAATTAAGTAAAGTTTAATTGGTTGTATTTTGAAGCACCTAGGTATGATAGGAGTCTCCCAAATTCAGAGCCATGAATTATAGAGCGCTATGTTATGCATTAACCTGTCAGTTTGTTCATTTGTTAAGGCCGAAAAGTACGGTCCCAACCCCCAAATCACATCCAGAAATGGAATATCCGGCCTGGCCCCTTCAAAAAATGCCTTTTTATGTCTTTCATTGCTGTGTTAATGTAGTGACATGACGCTGTCACTCAGAGTGCTCCCATCAACCGCCGGCCCCGAATCGACTCCGCTGATTGGTGGTCAACTTGTTCTCTTGAAGGGAGATTGACAGACGGAAAATTGCACTCTCAGATTTCACCCTTCATTCGTTGCAGTTGTTCTTCCACTCGTCAACTCTCCGCCATGCCTGAGACAGACAGAGGCTTTATCCATTAGCTGCCGGCTTGGCGGGTGGGTGGGCAGATTGAGGCGGGATGGAGGAGGAGATGGGGGTAGGAAGACAATCCTACATTTGAGCACTCTGAGGGAAAATCAATCATGTCATCATAAGTGAGAAGTATGGATGAATTTCATCAGCTGGTTCCTGTCCTGTTCACGCCGCTGGCTTTCTGACTGGCCTGTCCTCCTGATTGGCATCCTCAATGACCCTTAAATCCGAAAAGGGGAGCCGATTTTGAAAACACTGTAATAAGAGAAATCGGACAGTGGTTTCAGGGTCACACTTTTCCCACTTCTCCTGCTGCTTCACTGTGGGAAACCTCCAGTGGTTTCTCTTGACAAAGTGGTAATAGATTTACCATCTGATTTTGTGCCAAACCAGCATTAGAAGGTTTTGTAAGAAAATGTTTCTCAACTATTTCCCGTCCACAGCAGATATGATGAAGTGTTATAAAGGGCAGCAGCACTCTGCCACTGAAAATTTGTTTTATAATTTTCCCCCGTCATCTCGCAAGGTCACCGGCGAGAACTAAAAGCAGCGTAGGTATAGGGTGTGAAGCAATCAAAAATGGATGAAAGTGAAGACATGGAAATCACAGATGAGAAATTGACAGCCGTTTACAGCCTTGTTGTCGATGTGAGTGACAGAGCGAGGGAGAAAGTGAGAGGGGGGGGAAAGGCAGAGTTAAAGTGGTGATAAATTTAATGGAAAAATCAAATACAAAACAAATTCATTCCTCTAAACTTGATGCTCCAGTCGTTCTTTTCTTGGCCTGTTGCTAAGCCTTAGAATAAACTGTCACTCCTTATCGATCGCATCTGAATTGTTACCGAGATTTCTGAAAAGTAGTCTTGACACACACCCTGCAGAATAGTAATCTTGGGAGATGAGAACATCCAGACTGAACAGCTAACACCCCCTGACTTAAAATAAAAGAGGCTTTTCTTTTCTGCCTTTTTCAAATCCCAGCTAATACACTTTGCTGAATTACAAATTCAGTGATAAATATGTTGCCGTGAAGGATGTGCCGTGGCTGCTTTTTAATGACTTTGCTGTGGTTGCTGTGGATGTTGCCAGTTTGTCATGGGAAATGCTTATAAAACAGTGACTGAGCATGAAATGTTTGTACACGATTTGTTTGCCATTTGTGAAGGAGATGACATGATCGAAAAATCAATTCACTTCACGTTTGATTTCCAGCGAGCACCTAAATGACTGCTCTTCAATCGCCCACTGAAATTCATGTATCATGGTATGGTTCATTATATTCCGATGGTGTATTAATTATGGCTATAGATAGAGAGCTCTACTGTGAGAGGTAGCCTCGCTGCTGTGTGCCAGAGGGAGCTAGCCTGAGGAGGAAAGCTCTGCTTGTATCCACTCATCCCTCGGCTGACAGGCCTGCTCCAGGAGAAAAGGATTTCTCCGGATTGAGTGCCATTTTCTCTTCTTTAACAAGGAAATTAGTGTGTAAAGGAGATCTGTCAGGATAAAGTGCAGCTTGACTGCTGCCGCCCTCCCCTCCTCTCTGTCTTTCTTTCCCGCCCTTCCCTCCCTTTCCACGTCCTGTAACTCTCTCTCTCTCTCTCTCTCTTTCTCCACCTCTCTTTTGCTTTCTCTCCCTCTTTCTGCCTCCCTCTTTTCTCCCCTACTCAATGGCTCCCTCAGGGGATCTTCCTTGAGCATTAGCAGAACACATCCAATGTCCCAGCTACATGATTTCATGATATGATTTGTACCGGGGATTTGCAATAATCCGCAAATAAAGTTGAAAGTGAATGACTCTCAATAAGAGACGCAGACAAGCAAAACCGAACCTTTTAAGATTTTCTTTATCTTTAATGGCATGAAAAATGAATTTGTTTTGCATAAGATCACAACAATTTAGCAACGGCCTGAGTATGTTGTTTTGTCTTTGGCTTTTATGATCATGATTAATTCCTGCACAGGAACCTCGGTGATATACATAATGCATCATTGGCTCATTTAAATGTTCAGTTCCTCTGCAGTTGCGCAGAGCTTGGTAGCTCATTACACATTACCCATGTGCGCCTGCATGGGAGTTGGGGAGTGCCAGCCATACTCACTTGTAGTCAAAGATACAGTATGTGCTGCTTTAGCAGGATGTCAGGAATTGACTATGCGATTAATCTCAGGTGTCTCCTCCACCTCTTCAGCTTCATTCACCTCATGTTAGTCCCTTTATTTTGTCTCGGTAACTTTTCACCTGCACTAGATAGACAGGCTGTAGCCCCACTGGCACATTTTTAATAAGTCTGCTTCAAAGGTGTAGGGCGAGGAAGAAAAAAAAAAAAAAAATCAAAACATCCTGGGTTAATTTGAAATGTACTCTGCATCTGTGATGGGAAACAGCCTCACAGGTAAGTAAGGCAGACAATTAGGGAATATCCGTAAGTGCAGGAGCTGCATACTAAAAAACGCAAATCACTATTTCCCCATCTGGCCCCTACTGTGCCGAGAACTGCAGCTGAGGTCCGATTTCACCCGTCAATCACCGCCGCCTCGCTGTGGGGTGTGTGTCCTGGTGAGAGAGCCTACCCCCAAGTCATTAGCACACACAGTCAAACTGTAGTGAGAAGTGCCCCGCGCCGCTCCGCTCTGCACCACGGTTTAAATATCCCCAGCCTGTGACAGGATCAGTTTAGCGATCTGTAGGATTGATCTCCTCTTTAAAGTTTTGCCTGAGGCGACTCTAATTGGGAACGAGGCTGCCTCCCACTCCCCTCACTCCCTTAACTGTCAGTCTTGGCTTTGTTTACTGAGGACATGCCCAAACCTATTTACTCAATAATGAGGAGACGTGGTGGGGATGCTGCTGATCACATCGAGGCCCCCAGCGGGACTCCTGCATGCTGGGAAGGGCGGGAACATCATTTTAGACTTTCTGAGCTGGTGAAAGTTAGCCTACGCCGCTGCCGTCGCTATAATGTAGCAGCTATTTTCCCTCCTTGTTTCCTTGATTTGAAGAGCTCTTGTCTACCTCGGGGAATTTATTGTTTTTCCTCTGTCACAACACACAGTTAGCTAAAATAGCACGGCGCTCAAAAGAGGAAGCACATAAGTGGCATCATTTTACACTCTTGCTTGCGCCCTTCATATGTTCTATGAAGAATTAAAGCTGACTGAAAGCCCTCTCGAAACATGTGAGGTATCGCCAAAGCCTTGTTGTGGAGTGGACTATTCATGACTGGAGTGCCTCGGCCTTTTGAGCCATTTTCTCAGATTCTCACTCTCATTTAGGTTTGTTTTCATCTGCGCTGACTGACAAAGCCTTTGGTGTGGATAGCGAGGCAATAGAGTCCATTGATGCCCATTGGGATTATGAATGATGAAGTGGAGAAGCTGCCGCTATCAGAGGGACACAACACTGCTCTTAATAGAAAAGCATTTAGAAAAGGCAGCAGGGAGGAGGAGGAGGAGGAGGTGGTGGTGGTGGGGGGCTCTCTGACACTCGACTGATAAGAGGCAGCTCTTCAGAGGTGGTTGTGTGTACAATGAAACACGCTGATGGGGATACAATGACACACATGTTGCGTCTGACAGGCGGTGATTTAGACGTAGTGTTGGGAAATAAATAAAAAAAGCACCCGGACCACACAACCAAGTTCCATGACGTGATGCAGAATACGCCGCCTGTGTATGTTTCTACTTATTGGTTTGATTTGCGGGGGGAAAAAAGCATTGTCATTACTCATATCCGGCCCGGACAGATTGAAGAGGAGGGACGAGGAGAAGGAGTCAGTACAGTGTGGTGGCACGGGGAGTGAAAGAGAGATATGCAGAGAGGCAGAGCTGTCAGTTTGAGGAATGAGCCTGATAAGAGGAAGGGACTCGGCAGATGGGCAGAAGAAACCGGCAGCACACTTCTCAATTAAACATGTAAATACCAAAAGCAGGCAGGCAGCGACAGAGATGAGGAAGTTAAATAAACACAGCAACCGTGCTGTGATTACAAGCTCAAAACACCACCACCTTTGCCACTTTTTTTATTTATTTTTTTTGGTAGTTCCTTCAACTCCAAGGAACTCTTTAATCCAGCTAAACCTCTGCCTTACTATATCATGAATTTCTTTTTTTATCCCTTTGTTTTATCATCTCCTGTGGTTAAATTGATTCATGCTGAGTGGAATTCTTTGAGAAGTTGGGCTCCCACCAGGAACTCTTGATACAGATCTAATTGAGCTTTTCATCTATTCACTTTGTCCTTTGTTATCCATTTTAATATATTTTTTTTAATAATTGTTGTCCATCATTTTTACATACGAGCCCACCCCCCCCTCCAACTCCAACACCCCCACACGTATCCAGCTGTGAGCAACAGGGAGCATCTTAAATACTTCTGTAGGCAGTGTCCCTGACATTAATAACAATGAGCTTGGCATAACCACAGTACATTTCTTAGGCAAGATTCACAGTTTGACATTCAGCCCAGATGCTATCTGCGGAGCCTCAGCGTTTAAGACCGCAGAGGAGACAGACATCTGTCACTTGTTACCTTTGAAGTGAATAAGAGTGGGACGCAGAAAAACACAGCGGACAAAAGGCCATTCTGACCACAGACCCTCAGTGTTTACAAACGGAAAGAGAGAGTGACAGGAGAAACTCAAGATGAATGGATCGCCGCTGTTGATCTCCCCTCCTCATTCCATGTGCTAAGTTATTCCGTGGCTGCTACCCCAGTGGGGGGGCGAAGGGAAACAGGAAGTTGAGAGAGGCAAGCAGAACGCCTCAAGGACTCTGGAGGAGCAGAGCGCTACAGCCTGCATGGGAAAAAAAAAAAAAACAAACTTACTGTACACTTCTCTAACCTGAGGTACCAAACATTACAAATGTGAACATAATCCACATTTTAATGAGGGGATGACGCGATATTAAGGCAATATTTGCAATAGTGTTGTTGTCATGTTGAAATAGCAGGCGTGATTGCATGAGCTGTTGTTGGAGTGGATTTAGGATTAGTGTAAAGAAGTGTATTTTGATATAATTATTAGAACAATGGCTGTGTTCATTTATCTCCTGTCATGTCTCCTCAGACCTGCTTCTATTTCAGGTTGCACGTCAAGTGAGAGCAGCTATATCTGGCTGGCAATTAAGCTGGTCCTGCCTCCCCTTGATGCTTGATTAGTCCGATTGATGGAGGAGGCCATATGTGGCGGTGTCAAAACTTGGCAGCCAAGCTCCATCCTCTCAAATGAGAGGCAGGCAATAAAGAGGCAGGCTGCCCAGAGTGGGTGCACGTATGCGAGGCCTGCAGCGCCACAATTTTTGGGCCCCCCCTCCACTCCGTCCTCCTGATATGTAGCGTTTTCTCTAGGGGTCTTCAGGGGGCACTGACCACTCCAGCCAAGTTCTAGTACGGGCAGAGGTGGCCACCGGCGAGGGGTGTCCCTGTACCCAGCCCTCTGGGGCACCAGCTCCAGGCAAGGCGTTGGGGGGGGTTGGGATGTGTGTGGGTGTGTGTGTGTGGAGTGGTAGATGGGGGGTTGGGAGGTTTAGAAAGCTGAAAGATATGGCCCCCTTCCCAATCTCGCTCGGAGACAACAAAAAGGGAATGCTTGAGAAGGGGAAGCAGCGGGAGGAGAGCACAAAGACAAAGGCGCGGGCAAGGTCAGTCTAGCTAATGGGCCTGAGCCGTAGGCTGCCTGGGGCTAGGCACACTTCTGTTCTCTCTCACACACTGGGCCTTCAAAGACCCTTCAGTCCACCCCTCTCCTTCTCTCCTCTCTTCCTCCATCTCTTCCACTCCTCTTCCACTCTTTTCCCTCACTTCCACTGGTGACACTGCCCCCCCCCCCTTCAAAAGGTACAGCACAGGTGTCTTTAAAAACACATTAAAAACACCTCACCAATAACTCCCTTTTGTCCGGCGTATCAACAATTGTGATTTTACCCACTGACATTTCTCCAAACAGAAGTGATTCCTTAAACAACGTAGAGGATATTTTCTTAACTTCCGGTTTTCTCGCTTGTCACCGGCCGTCATTAGGTCCAAGGTGGGTCCCTGGAAGTGCATGGAGGAAGTGTTGGAAACGAGGAGGAGGTGGAGTGTTGTTGTCAGGTTGGCTGGCTGGCGTTGCTTGGCTCCACTCGAGGGCTCCTTTAATGTGCAGCGGAGTAGAATAAGTGAGTGGCTGTGGGCACCAGCTGAGCTCACTCTCGTCTTCGCCTGGTAGCTGAGGGGTGAGCCGCTGCCACCTGACACTGGGCACACGGCTCAGGGCTCCTCTTGGCAACGTGGCACAGCACACATGTCCCCTCATTTGGATGGAGATTCAGACACAACACACAAAAGCTTTACCCCCCCTCCTCCGTGGCACTCCTCCTCCTCCTCCCTTCCCTCACTCACTCACTCAGTCAGTCAGTCAGTCTCTCTTTTTCTCCCCTCCTGTTTTTTTTTTTTTCTCCCCTTCCTTTAGATTTTGACGGCATCATAATAATCTGGGTATCTTCTTGATCATGCCCCATGTTTTTTTTTTCCCTTTTTTCTTCCTCATCTTCTCGGAGACGAGTTTGAAATTGCCTGCGTCAGGACTTTGCTAATTAAAGTCATACTTTCAAAAATGCCATAATAACTGTTAATTAGCTTGATGCTATTTTCAGCATAATTTGCTAATTAGTGGAAAACCTGTACAGCGTTTCTCTCTAATTACAGTATGGCTCCGCACGGCGCATCTGTGCCTTGACTCCAAATGATACCATTACAAAGTCCCGTATTACGCATTCTCTCAAAACAGTTAATTGCCTCCACAGATAGTGAGATACTTCAGTCAGCTGATTTTTATGGTAATAAATGGACAGGCACAGACACAAACCTCCCTGCTTCATGTTTATGAAATATGAAAAAGGAAAAACAACCTCCTTATGAGATGCATGGAGTTAGTTTGGAATATAATCTGGCTGGCTCTGTGATGATTTTGTGTGCTCATGCGTTGAGTTGCCAGGACTTTTAATGAAGTTTGATTTATTCCGTGTTATAGCCTCATGAGCGTGTACGCCATAAATTGTAATTAAAGCAAAAGATGTAGACAGTAACCTTATCAAAAGGTAAAGGTAATGCTTAAAACGAGAGGTGGTGGCCGTGTAAATACAAGCCGGAGCTTATTACTGCGAACGTAAGCACCATGTCGCCCTAACAGTTATTTTCATGTAGCCTAGTGATGAGAGAGAGAATAACGGACATGACCATAGGTTGACCCCGCTACATGTGTACACTCGACACAAATTATGACTCATTAAGTGTGGTGAGGTGCATGATTGGCATGACCTCCGACCCCGGGACGTCAGCTGTGCCCATCCTCCGCTTTGCCCCGCTTTTGACAGCCACCAGCCTGACAGGGCTAGCATCGGCGCCGGCTAATTAATGCACCACTTCAGAGACCCTTTCATTTATGGCTTCTGAAAGGCATTATTAAATTAATTAAACCACCAAGAGTTAGTCATTATGAAATCAGGAGGTTTACATGGATGACAGCGTTTATGAATTAAACATCCCCAAAGTTCCTCGCAGGAGATACCCCGAGCTGCGTGTGGGTACCTAGCACGACAGATGTTTGCCCCCCCCTTCCTCCCTCCCTTCCCCAAGCTAACCTGTATTGCAAGCGATTTAGGTCTCATTTGGGGGTTTGAAAACTGAAAGCAGGAGAGAAAGAGGTTCAGGATAGCTAATGAGCAGAGAAAGAGAGGGGAAAAGGAGGTCACTCGCTCTGTTCATCTGTAGACAGTGCAGATGGTTCTGTTTTATACAATACAACAATGGCGTACATCAATTTGTTGATCGCTAATAGATAGCTACTCTCAGAAGACTTGCAGGCTGGGATCAGTTGTCTGTGGGTTTTAGCTGAGAACTCTACATTTATAGCCTGGAAACATTTAGCAAAGCTGTGTGCTGTTTTTAACTCATCATGTGATGTGAAAACTACAAATGGTTCACGAGATAAATCCCATAAACTTGGGCTTAGCTGGAGAGCAGAGGGCAGAGATGAGTAGCTCACTCAGGAGCCTTGACGATAGACTCCTTTTCATCTGCGGACTGAGATTCACAGATTATCTCAAGAGGCTCTCTATCTCTGTCCTCGTCTCTATTTCTCTTTTTCTGTTCCTCCACCCTCCCTCTCTCGCCCCTCGATTCAGGAAGTTTGCCAGCTACTGTCTTTGTTTACAATGCCAAGGGAAAATGTCAGAGCCGTTGAGAAAAATATCCTTAGAATCTTTTTTTCATCTTCTTAATCTAACAGTTTACTGAACTTGATAAGTGTCCTATCAACATGCTAATCAAATTACTTCGGAACCAAAATTGACAGTTTTCATTAATTATACAAGATTATTCTAATTGCAATTCAAATTTATTCATTCCGAACAGAAGGTATTCAGTAATATTTTACAAAATTTGCATATTAAATGGAGGGAGTTGTGCATTATGCATGGTAATGTATGCAGAGTTTCTTATTTTTAACTTCACGGCCATATGTGGTGTCGTTGTAGGAGCAGGTGAAAAGTCTAAGTGTGTTTAATTTGCTTGACAAACATTCGGCTGGAGCTTGTCAAGGGGAGTATTGTGAATGCCAATCTTTATTCCCTCTTTATTGATTACCCCAAACTCTAAACATCTGGAGGTAAATGGCACTGAGAGAGATGAAGTGAATCATGGGATTAGTACCTTCAATGACTGAATCACTATCAATTACTTCAATAGCATAATTCAAGTGCAGCGCATAAAAGCTACAGCACCTTGGTTTGAGCCAGGATTAATATTGCAATTTAACGTAACAATGGAGGCATGGGAATGATATGGATGGCGTCCAAATTTTTCACATTGATGTCATACAGCTAATGCCGTTATCTAAATACCGAATGTATTTAATTCCTAATTTAGGCTTTGTTTGTAAAATGAAAAGGCTGAACGCATTAGGCACATGTTTTAAAAGGTAATGGATTCTGTGAGTAAAACAACCTTATTTATTCACTGAGACGCAAAACCCCCAATTTGCTCTTTGTTTTTATTTCCTAGAGCGGGCAGTGAAGTGCAAACAGCTTACTGGGAAGCTGTTTACTACTGTATATGACAAAGGCTGCGCGTGTATGTGTGCGTGCGTGCGTGTGCGCGGATGTATAAGTGTGTGTATGTGTGTGTTTATGGGGAAGGGGGCTGCTCTTCCAGCTCCACAGGCAAGGTCTTGTGTTGTAATGTAAGCGTAATAATTATCAAACAGCATCAGGGGCTCTGGGTACGGGCTTTAACAGGGGGAGAGCATGTTTGATATGTAGAATCAGCCCATAGTGCATCCATAGAGGGTGACTAAATCGCACGGTTCATGGATCACATTAGTATTGCTCTGCATCCACACTCGCACTATAGGTGATTTCCATTTAGACACACATTTCCACATGAAGATAAATATGACTTGAATCGTAATTTCCCTGAAGTAAATATAATACAAATACAACATAATACAGTGTCAGGCCAGGCAGGCTAATAGATTACTAGCGTGTTTTCCATTTGTATGGTAAGTGGTGAACCTGGGTGGTGGTCTGGCGAGTAACAAATTGAATGTTTAATCCATCTCAGTGCAGATTGAGGGTATCAGAAAGATCGGTAGTCGTATGAGTTCTCTTGTGACTGCTAGTATATGAGATGTTTTTACTCTTCAGGGGTTTGGGGAATGTTGGTGGATTAACAAGAGGTGCAAAGTGGTAGATAAATGCAATTTCTTATCTTTTCTCAAGTCGGCTGTTATTTTTCAAATAGGTATTCGGATTTGACATGCAGTATTTCCAGACACTGAGTGGTGTAATCTCTGATTTCGCATTACAACTCTTTCGGCTAGTTACATTTAAGTGGAGACGCCGGAATATTACCGCGACTCTTTCTCCTTATGGGCACATATGTGTCTCCTTTTTCATTCTCTTCTCTGTGCATAAACAGTGTACATAAGTGAGATATCATTGTGTAGCACCCATGACAAATCTGCAAAAGATATGCCTCTTCAATGGAACCAAATATACTTGAAGTACACATTTAATACTTTAATAAGTGTTTGCTTTGGCATTTTGTAGAAGCAAGATTAGCGTCAGCTGCACAGCATCTCATATAAAGTGTGACAAATTGATATTTTTATATAGCCTAATCTGTTTACTATGATGTTTATGTGAGGAATTATTACAAACTAATTAAAGAAATCACTTTGATATAATTAGTCAGATTTCAGGAAGCTCATTAGTAGTAATTTGCATGAAAAATAAGCCCTGTAGTGGTGCTCAGGCCCAGCTATTCGATCTGTGTTTTATCTGGTTACACATCAACCCCCATTGTTTGTTGTTTGAGGCGCTCTGAAGTGGCCCACAATATTTTCAGTCATTGCCCTGAGAAGCGGTGGGGTATCTTTTAACAGATTCCTCCCCTAAAGCAAGTCAACCTGTATGTGGAAGCAGACACACGCCTCTGTGTACATAAGGCAGGAGGAGTGAGAGGCAAAACACTGTCTATTTATCTGTCAGGTTCCTGACAAAGAACTGAGCTGACAAGTAAGGGTTTCCCTCCGCAGAGCAGGGGGGCTTTGTTCACCGTACTTACATGCCCAGTCTATGCCCAGAGACTCATGTTATTTGCAAATCACATTCTTTGAAAACTCACAAACGGGGCGAGACATGCCACGCTACGGGTTTGTCAGCTGCCTTCACAACAGCTAGCTGTATCGCTAACAGTGAGCGGTTCGGTAAGGAAGCAGCTTTCTCTTAGCATTTGCCGTGCTGTCACTTTTTCCAACACATGCGATGTGTGTCTTCATGCTTGGGGTCTCTCCTCCCTCAGAGGGTTGCCATCTTCCCTTTGGATTGACAAATAAAACGCCCACACTCCCGCTGAAAATAAAAAGTGGGGGAAAAAAAAAAGACACTCCTGGAATTACATCATTCTCTGCTGAAGCAAATCGTGCACAAATTGATGTACATGTATTATATTCCTGCGCTTAGATTGAAGAAATGATTTGGAATAAAAAGAAACTTTTTTTTTTTTTTTTAAAGCTTTTTTTTTTTTTTCTCAGCAGCCCTGTCTTTGGCAGAGGGGCTCTAAATGCTGGTACAAAAACAGAAGCTGTTTATTCTCTATACCCTTTTCCCACCATGGACGAAATCCTTCCCTAAACATCCGGACAGAGGAGCACTTGTGTGGCGCTGATGTCACAGACCTACCTGGCCTCCCTCTCACAAAAGCTAAGGTATCATTAGCTAGACTCACACAATGGCCATTCAACCAAGCCACTGCGCTCCTCAGGACTAGGGAACAATGTTATTTTTTGTCTCAGAATTATAAAGACAGAGTTTTGCAGGAAACCTGACAGACAAAACCCTTTAGAGGTAAATGCTCCAGGCGGCTTTTGGGTTTAATCTTTTCCCATTAGCATTTTGCCCCCCCTCCCCTCCCTCTTGCTCACACACAAAGACCATATTTACAGGGTCAAAAGTAAAGGCTGTGAGTCTCTGGAGACTGCTTTTTTTTTTGTGTAGATCTGTACGACGTATTGACAACACTTTATGCTTTTGTATTTATGCCCTCCTAATGTATTTTAAAGGGCTTTTAAATAGTTAACAAACATCTTGAACGGAAACATTCGCTTGTGCGGGAAAAGATTTTTCGAACACAAAATAAACAACAGAACAAATCAAGCACGCTTGTTCACTTTTAAGCATATTGAAAATGATTAACCCACATGGCAGCGCTTGATATAATATAATAGTTATATTGTCAACAATACAACTGCCATGCTAAGGGTTCATATGTGCTACCTTTGTGTGCGTTAGAGTATATGTGTGCTTCTGTGCACGTGTGTGCACACATTCACTTACCCTTGTGTGTGCATGCGTGTGTGTGTATGTGTATGTGTGTGTGACTCCATGTGTGTGATTCATTCCAGGGCAGTTTTAGTCCTTATAAAATATTCATTTTGGTTGTGCAGGGCCCTGTAATTGCCATCTCTCACCCTGAATTATTTATACCTCGCACAGACTGACAAAGCTTTGCCATACGGCCCCAGATGAATCAGAAAGCAGCCATCTCTCCTGCCAACAGCACTGGGCTTTCACACAAATATGGCAGCCACGTCTCTCTGCCTGGCCTCTCTTAATTTGACATTTTCTTTTTCCCCCTGCCTTTGTCCTAGGTGCACAGAAAGGTTACCTGTTAGCTTTAAGCACCGACCCGCTCTCTGTCTTTCTGTCTCTATCCCCCCTGCCTACATGACAGTCCACAGTGGGTGTTTTTTTTTCTTCTGAGGACGCGTTAATGTGGCTGAGATGTCAAAGTGGCTGCCTCATGTTTTATGATGACTGACCAGTCCTGACAGCCACTTTAGATGTATGTATTATACATTAGTAATAATATGATGTAGGAATACACTCGCATTTGCTTGAGCATGCATGGACAGATAGCAAATCTACTGACTCAACGACCTATATCCCACACTGGACACACACACAAACATGCAAATAAGCTCCCACTGGCTCCGCAGGATCCAGCATGGCTGTCGGTAAGCGGTCAAAGCCCCCCTGCTGGCCTTGCCTGTACAGCTGCGTTCCTGTGCGCCCTGCTTGGGTCTGATCACTCTCAGGTGCCACAGGAGAGGGACGGCGCTGTATGGCTCTCATTGTAGACCGGCTCTGGAGGCCTCGTCCAACACCCTAAATACTACTATTCACCCAAGCCAGCTCCTCCAACATATGCTTATCTTCCATCTCACTGGAGCAGGGAGGTGCTGACTGGTATTTCCTCAAGGCCCCGAGCTCCAACGCTGACCAGTAATCAAAACTCCACATTTCTCCTCCTGCGCAAAAATAACCTGGAGATACCTCAGTGCTGTCCAGCTGGCAAGCTGAGTAAATACTCCTGCATTGTTGGTGATTATTTTCGAGAAGTCAGCAACCTCATGGCTGTCAGAGTCATTATGAGTAATCAGCATCATACAGGTTTTTTATGGTGATTCAATAATATTTGCCAATTCCAGTGTGGATTTAGATGATGTTGGCTCTGTAGCAGCAACCAGTGTTTGATTCATTCGCAAGACAAAACAACGCAGAATTATTTATGTGTTGCTTCTTATTATATTGTGTTCAAAGTCCTGGTAGAGAAAAGGGCGAATTCGGAGTAAAACAAAGAACAGCGTGCATCAGTACACAGCCTCAGCAGTATCTTGATGTGCAGGGCTGGGAGAGGCAGAGAGAAAGCTCGGGGCTAAACATGCAGTATGTGGCAGTGGTGGAGCTAAAAGCTGCATAAAGCACACAGCCTTAGTCCACTGTTAGCAAGTGATGGATAGTTAGCAGGAGCTCCGAGTCTTCGTCTAATCTGTTACAGTAAACCTGTGCCAAAGCCTGAAGGGAATCAGTGGGGGCCCCTGCTAGGAGTGGGTTTGACGTGAAACCATTTGTGAAGACGAGCGATTCTCTTAAGTAAGAAACTAACAGTGTCCAGAGAGAGAGAGAGAGAGTGAGGGAGAGAGACAGGAGGTGAGGAGAATGAGTGAGAGTACCAGGGAGTGAGAGAAGGAGGAAGAGATACCATAATGAGTCCTGTAGCCATGGAGTAAATGAAGAGGGATTGACAGAGTGAGGGATCCTCAAGTGAAATAATGTCAATGCCACTCTGCCCATTAGAGAGAGAGGGGGGAGGAGGAGAGGGTAAAGAGGGATGAATGGAGGGAACACAGCTACATGTGAGGGTGCAGAGGAGCCCATAAATTATTTGTGACACCCACGCAACACACAGACACAGCACTAACAAAAATATGAAATATGAAACAACAAAATGAAGTGACAATAGCAGCTGGAAAAATAAAGAAATGAAAACAACAAAAAAAAAAAAGAATAAAGGCCGTGGAAATACCCAATAAATTCTCCGAGACGTGAGCAATAATAATCACAGTGACATCTGCCTTGCTGCTCTCAGAGGAGATGGGCCGGAGCCGAGAGTGGAAGGGGTTAATCTCCCAAACCCAATAAGGTTGTATAGCGAGGCACTTGTTCCCTGATAAAGAAGTGATAGGATCTGTGGGTCCGGTCCCTCGGCGCTTGTACAGGGGTAGAGCAAATATTGTTAATGTGCTGTGGTTTACTTCAGCTAAGGCGAGAAAAACAGCTCAGCTTGACGAGAGAAGACAGCGGCGAACCAGGATAGGACAGAGGACGGCTACACGGCGTGGCTCAGCTCAGCTCAGCTGGGCCTCCCGGGGACTTATCCAACATACATATATATATATATATATATATATATATATATATATATATATAAATGTACACCCCAGACCACTCAGATGCATAAATAAGTGTCGGGGCAAGATTAAGATCTATAAGTGTCTCTATTTCTCGTTTTACCTGCTCCGCCTTGTCACAACAGGGATCTGAATGCAGTTCACTGGAGTGCCTAATAACTGGAGCAGTAGGTAGGGAAGGCAGGAGGCTTGACATTAAGACCCTGGCGTTTTGGAAATCCGATACGCTATTGACCCGTGTACCACTATCTCAGCGTAGAGATCTGGTGTCAGCAGATTGTAGTCTGGTGTTAGGAGCCGTTTTCATACGGGGCTCCTGTAACAGGGGCCCATTGAGTCTGGGAGGCAGCTGGGGCCTGATGGGCTGGAGCTGGGGTGGTGATCGATACTCACCGCCCTGCAACGGATGACCTCACTGTCATGGCTGCCGGCTGTGGACACTGCATGCTAGTCATTAGTGCCGGGGCACCAATCAGGAGCTTAGACTTGTCAATACCTGACTCTTACAGATACTCTGGCCATCTGTCAGTGTATTGTGTAACAAATACAGGGAGGCTCTTTTGCACAATAAGAACAAGGTGTACTATTGAAGAGGGGAAAAAAAAAAAACACTCTTTTGTTTTTAATAATTTAAGAAACCAGTGAGGGAAAATAAATCCAAATAGCTCGGGATAAACTTTAATTTTTCACAAGTCATTAAAAATAATACAAATCTGAAAATGAATGCAAAAAAAACCCAACCGTCTTTGCACTATGCATGCGGCCTCCTTAATAATACAGCATTATCCTTATTTGCCCTCTTCACTCAAATCAAAGGGATGGACATTTATGCATGAGTGACATCAACCCTGCAATTAAGTTGGCCATTTAAATGAGAGGAGGCCTTCTTCACCTCGCCTGTTTGTTTTTTTCCCCTCTCTCTTCTCTTCTTTCCCTATTCCCCTCACTGTTTGATGATGGGAGAGGGTGAGCTAGAATTAGGGCGCTGGGTCTTCCTTTGAGTGTCAGCCTAAAATGATCAGAGTAAAGATAAGAGGGTCTAGCAGCCCTCAAATCAGTCAAAGTGCCAAAGTCGGCCTTTTTCTCCTCAATTACCGGGTCTGTGAAGCCAGGGAGTGGAAGGCGCCGAGCCTGCTGCATTACTAAAGAGACAATCTATTTCCCCTTTGACCAGAGGGAGAGAAATCATTATGGCATGATTAGTAGCTTCGGCAGTGGGCGAGCATGGAGGTACTACAGGAGAGTCGTATTAATTGCCTCAGACTGAGGCATGAGCGGGATTGTTTTAACGTTGATTTGTGGACCTGTATGACTGGCTGTCGGAGATAAAAGCCGATGTCAGGTCTTAGTTATACTGGCAGACTTCGGGCGGAGAGCGCGAACGCAAGAGAGAGAGAGAGAGAGAGAGAGAGGGTTGATGTCAAAATGAGCTTCCATAGCCGCCCTGGAAGTCTTTCTCTATATTCCTGTCGATGTCTTCCTCTTTGTCTTTCTTCACACTTCATAGTTTTCCTTTACGCCTCCCACTATCCCTCCCTCTGCTACCCCCTCTCTCCCCTCAGATGGACTCCACCCCACCCCTTCCCACATGCACTCCCTTTCTCTCTCTCTCCTTCTCTCTCTCTCCTCCAACTGATAGCTGCCTCGGCCGATTATTTCATCCAGTGCGGTCCACTGAGAGCCTCCTCTCCCGGCTTTGGAAGAGCTTTAATTAGCCATGTTAATATCCCCTTCATTGGCCTTAATATCACTCAACACCTTCCTCCATCTCAGCGGCCACCAGGGTCCCCCTGTCCTGTCAGAACAGCTGATTATTGAGAAGGATAGCTTTAATCAAACCTAATTGCAGTTCATTCTTTCTCTCTATCCCCCTTTGCCCTCCATTGCCAACATCTAATGGCAGCGACGACTTGATATCCCATTAAAAAACAATTAAACAAGCTCCTTTTGTCTCCGTGCGTGCCAAAACACCAGCACAAACTTCTGTAGATATTTAAGAAGTAAAAGAGAGAGAGAGGGGCCTTGTCTTAATTGCTCCCCTTTTCACCAAGGACCAATTTGCGCTGCGCTCATGGAGAATCTTAACCAACTCAAATGTAATGGATGCTATAGCACTGCTTCTGCCGTGGACTATGAAAATTAAGCTTATCTTTTTAGCAGAGAAATTGTGCTTAATTGCCTTCATAACAGTAAACATAAAGGAGCTACTTTATGATAGCGTGGGCACTCCATTCCTTGTGTTTATTGTTTCTTAACTTTTGCTTTTCCCGCAGTAGAAACAGTATGTAAAAGCATTAAAGTATCCAAGAAAAGAGACAGGGCTAACTCTGGAAGTAATGTGTTTCTTTTATGAAGTCAACGCATTGCCTAGGAAATGTATTCTATCTCTTTCTCTGACATAAATTGTCGACCAACGGGGGATGCGTGCTCACGCACACGCGTACGCGCGGGCGAAGAGTGTGTAGAGTTGCACGCACGCACGTACTGCAAACACACACTGGCTTTACCCAATCTGTATGAGAGGCGACAGACAAATAAAAGTCGTATTTCAGGTCTGCTTTCCGCAGATGTCTGCTGCTCTACATTATGACTCTTTGGGGAAATAAAAACAGGGTCAGGGAATTAGAGTACATAATGGTCATTTTGATGATCAGCCAACAGATGCAACCCGAAAAACACAGTGAACACAATCAAGCGAAATGCACTAATGACAAGTCAGGTTTTTTATGGCCTCGCCACACACCGACAGGCAATCAGCATTCTGGCATGGGTTAAAACGTCTTTTATTGATGTCCAAGCCAAAGCTCCTTGGATGTGGAGTGAAAATATTTTCTCACCTCTCCTCTCCCTCCTGGGCCCTCGATAGAGCACAAGGTACAGGAGTCTATCGAAGAACGCTTCTAAATGACCAGTGCATGTGTTAATGTGGCCAGGGTTAGAAGGGTCATTTCAGACTCTGATTTATGGCCTGGCCGGGATCCCACTGGGCGAGCGAGAAGTCTTAAGTGTTGTGAAAGCGTCCTCGCAGGCCACACAAGCCACCGTATTTAGCTGAATGAAATGGTCGTGCAATCTATGGTGCAATCTATGGTAATCCGATGAGCCGCCGCGATCCTGTGAGCGGAGGTAGTATTACAATGGAAACCACAGTATTGCATATAGTAATGCCAGCGCGATGTGATGAAAAATAAATATCTCGGCAAAGTATTTATAATGAGTCGGAGAAAGCAAAAGGCGCAATCAGTCATGATTCTGTGGGGAGAATTTGCAAAAACAACAAGTCAATTTCATTGTTTATTCTGTGTGGTTGTGTTACGTTTTACACAATAGGCAACATCTGATACACTTTTTCTTCTTGGCCTTGTTGTTAATCTTCCTCCTTTCTAGATCTTGCGTGTCTCATGATGTTCAGCTCTCAAAAACGCAGCTTTGTCAATAAATTTCTGTGAGATTCTTCAGAGGAAAAAAGCAGGAGGCTCGCAAACTAACCAAGCCCAGATCTCACTCAGACGTGACATTTGTTCAGAGACGATTAGCCAGGTTGTAATTTGTGGCATAATTGCCTCACCCACCCACAAGTGCATGGGTGTGTGTATGCGTTATGCTTGTGTGTGTCTGTGTCAGTGTGTGTGTGTGTGTGTGTGTGGCATACGGTGGTCCCAGGAGTGTCCGCCTAATTGCCTGACAGGACTATAAGTTTTGTGGCGCGCTCTCACCTTGTTAGGTCCTTTATCCCTGATGCTCTTCAAACAAGACCTGGTCACAGGTGGGCCTCATTTGCTTCCCTATTGAACAGGAGAACTTTAATTGCACAGGGGGTGTCCTGGGATTAAAGAGGTGGGTGGAATATCAAGTGACTTCCTGTATGTTAGTGGCAGATGGGTGTTGGGAAAGACCCGTGAACTCAGGTGAGCGGAGGAGACGACAAAGAGACTGATGCTCTTGATTTAAAGGGAGTGATGATGAACACTCCAAACAGAGATAACACAACGCCACGCTTGTTTCCGACTCGCTTGATGATGAATGGATCGGATGTTGGAGTGTTTGATACTCCCGCTTAAACAATCCACAACTTTATCATTTAGCTTCAAAGACGTAACTCATCCCTTTTTTTTTCTCCTCTGTTTTGTCCTCTCTTTCAGATTCTTCCTAAAGTTCTTTCTCAAGTGCAATCAGAACTGTCTGAAGAATGCAGGGAATCCACGAGACATGCGCAGATTCCAGGTGACTGAAAATCTTTTTTACACATATGCTCTATCTATTTCTGTCTCACACTGTCTCGCTCTCCTTTTTGCAGACGCACACACTCACAGGTGTTGCAAAAGCACAGCTACGCCGCACCGAGTCACGTCGACAGACTCTCACATATGAATACAATTCTATTATTGGCACTGAAGGAGGCAAAAACCAGGGAAAAAAGAGAGAGAGAGAAAGTGAGGGGATTTTGTGTCCTGTGCGCCCTGGACAGAATATTTATTAGGGAATACCATCTGACACAAATAAGGATAGAGGATTTAAGAGTGCCATCAATTGTGTTCCTGACAGCTTTCTGAGCCTCAGCGCAGAGGGGAGGACGATCCAACCACATGTAACAACAGTGTTAACTCAGGATCTGTCTGGCAGCGGAAACGCATACTTTCTTATACACGCATATGCGCAGGCACACACACACACGCACACGTTTGGATGCATGCCTATAAATGCTAGGAGTGCATATATTTGCTTTCTCTACATCCCTCTCCTGTTCTTACCCACATATGCATACACTTAAACTCACACATATGCAGCTCTCTCTGTTTGGCCAATGAAAACCATCTTAAGCCATCTGAAAACCATCATTACTGCGGGCTGACAAAACGCTGCGATTTACACTGAAAGGACATGACCGTCGAGCACTTTTTTACTGCATCTTTTAACCCTCTCGCTTCTAATGTGTCAGCTAGTTGAGACCTGAAATTATCGACCCCCCCCACACACAAACCCCCACCCACCTCGCTGATCCATTTATCCAAGCATCCATCCGCTCTACCGCCAGAAGCCCACCAGGTCAAGGTGAGAGAGCGAGAGTTTAGCGTGATTTGTCTTATCATGATAGCAACAAACTGCAGGAGGGCAGCCGTCACTGACAAACCCGCTTTGTGATAGACACACACATGCACCAGCATCCTGCAGGAGAGAGCCCAGACATGAAACAGACAAGACAGGGTGTCCCCTCCTGATGTCACCACCATCAGACCTCCCCTGCCTCTTCAAATCTTCCCTCAGGGTGAATGTGGACTGATGCATGACAGCCGCTGAGGGCTTTCACCTCTAACTTCAGTGTGTCGAAAGAAATGCAAGAACGAAGTTGCAGCGAAAGTAAAACGCACACATAAAGTCTCAAACGATGAGATTTGGGATATTTTATTGCCGGTGATCATCCCTCGTCTGCAGTCCAACTGTTTGCATGCCATTTTTTTCCCCCTAAATAGTTTTCCCAGATGCTCCTGCATAGGTGTTTCTCTGGCCAAAGTTGTGTATTCTGCATGCCTTCCACTCCACTTATTACCCCCAAAAACCAGCTGGAGGCCAGAGAGGGCCCAATCCATCATCCTCAGCTTGGCCCAGCTCTGAACCTGCTCACAAGAATGGAGCTCTTTCACTTCCCCTTCTCTCTCTCCCCCCTCTTCTACACCCCCCACCTTTCCCAAACCAACCGAAAAAAAAAAAAAAAAAAAGCACCCCCCTAAATTCCACTGCTATACCGAGGTCACTCACCGGCGAAAGCAAACCTGAGAGGGGCTCTCTGTTTCCGGCTCAGAAACACTTTGGCCCATTCACACGCGGCTCACTGTTTGGAGATGTGGTAGTCAAAAAAAACAACAACAAAAATAAGCATTATGAAATATGGAGTGTGGCCTGGAATCTGATCCCTGGTAAAATGTTTGCTGAGTGATGGGATGGAGCACGGTTCAGTTGCTAATGACTCCAGTAATATTTTAAAAGGGAGGCCTTCCACCCTCAAATAGATGGACAAGCTGATCAATAATTCTGAGCTTGGGCGATGATGACAGCCAGCCGAGTGGGTGAACGGAAATGGTATTTTAGTGATTGAAAAGTCAATTAGCTGTACACATGAGCGAGATGCTAAAAAGCAAAAACAAAATGGCAGAGAAGCAGGGTATCTGTAATGTGATATGTCCAAAGAGAGCAACAGCTTTAGGAGCTTTGACAATAGAAATCAATAGCATGCAGACATGTACCTGAGCACAACAGAACAACTGCACCATTCATGTACCTCCTGCACCTAAAAGTCAGAGTCAGTGTGTTTAAAGCTTCGTGTTTCTGTTTTATGTCCTCTCACTGCTTTTTAAATCAAATTTTATGTTTTACTTCCTATTGCAGGTTGTCGTATCGACGACCGTCAACGTGGACGGCCATGTCTTGGCTGTCTCCGACAACATGTTCGTACACAACAATTCCAAGCATGGGCGAAGGGCTCGCAGACTCGACCCTTCAGAAGGTACGCCTCCTTATCTGGAGAATGGTAGGCACATTTTTACATCTTATGATTTGCTACAGTCTTTTTTTTTTTCTCCTCCTCTTAGTTCCTTCCAGACATCCTCCCATTTTTTTTTTTTTTTACAACCACACACCTAGTTGCTTGTAGAAATCTTTAGTTACTCCGCCACTTTCATTTAAACTTTAGTTGCTTTTTGCCTCACTCATACCTGTTGTTCCTTTGACTGGAAATAGTATGCATCAGCTTCAGTCTCGCAAGAAGGATGATTTACACTCAGACTGAGCTGCCATTTTTTTTTATATGTTATACTACTTCCAGTCTCCTAATGCACCTACATTTGTCCTAAAAGCCGATGTGAAACATGATCAAATTGCCGAAGAATTTGGCTGTGAGGTCAATTTCCTGTCATTGGGTTCTGCAGATTTAGCTGTGAGAGAGCTGAAACAGGGAGAGGAAGGAGAGAGAGAAAAAAGGGGGGTAGGGAAGGGTGGGTTGATGGTGTGTGTGTGTGTGTGTGTGTGTGAGTGCGGAGAGGGGTGGGGGGCGGCCTATGAGAAAAACAGAACTTACTGTTTTTCTTCCAACTGATTCCATATGATAGACTGATTGCCTGCTCAGCCAAAAAGAGAGAAAAGAAGGACCACCAAACCATGGGAAATTTCAAAAAGTAAAACGCACTAAACATAACCTCCTGACCTGTGTGGCCTCCGCTGGCAGATGGGAGCACACACAGCTGAAAGATTGTAAGGGGGGAAAAAAACAGAACAGACCTGACTTGGGCCAATTGTGCAAATTGCTTATCTTAAGATTTCAAGAGCCAATTACGGCTGGGCAAACAGTTTATATACACCACTGACTAAAACAAGCTTCTCTACACATTAATGGGCATTAATGGTTCTATCACCAAAAGCAAATGTAATGTTTAATACAACAACGACTAATAAAAAAAAGACTAGACAATTAATATATCTCTGTGCTCTCCGGTCCTGGTGGGGGAAAAAGCTAATCTATTTGTTTTTGTCTTTATTAATGACTCCTCTACTGGAGAACAAAATCAAATAATTAAAGTCCTGCCCGGAGCACCAAAGTCATTATGTTCGCTGACGTTCTGTTTGTGTGTTTCACGTTTATGACACGATAGGTGTGGATCGCCTAGCAACCAGTTTCTTAATGAGGGGAGCAATTAAAGAGGTTGAGCCCTCGCCTCCATGTTCCCCAGCTCCCTTGGGACCCTCTGTGTTGTGTGTGTTGTGTGTGTACATACATATATATGTATGTGTGTGTGTGTGTGTGTGTGTACGTGTGTTCTTCACAGGTTGCCCCAACCCATCCTTTTCTTCCTCTCTTCACCACACTCTTCAAAGCAGCAGAGTGACGCCCCGTAAAACACGAGAAAGAAGCTATTGTCAACCGCCCAGTTGAACATGTCTTTGTCTAATAACTTTAATACACCTTCTCTCTGCTTAACCGCATGTGCTCACACAGAAGTTGAGATCTATTTTTTTACCCCCCTCCCCTCCTTCCCTCGCAGGCTCAGCTCCATAACAAACTAATTTAACATGCATCAACAGCGATCGCTCGCTTTGTTTGAGTCACCTTTAACAAACAGAGATGTGACACGTAAGAAAAAGGAAAAGCAGGTCGTAAAATGTAATTCAAGCCATGTCCTCCATCGTGCTTTGACAACTAGCAGGCAGACAGACAGCGTGCTTTAAATTAGCAACACATTCTTCTTCTTCTGGAGTTCACTGGGTGAGAAGCCTCAGATATGTGACTGAAACAGAGAGCCATCCTTCTGCACTTGCACCGCTTGCCTCGCATTGATCAAGAGGTGCTGCCCCCTATTGGCGCAGACAGGGGATAGCCCGTGGATGACAGGCTGAATCTCACCATGTGACATTTTTGTTCTTGTGTGTACTGTCACACAACAAGCATATTATGCATTCAGACACGAACGTGCTTTGTGGCTGCCTGTCAGTCAAACATGTATAGATTCAGGCTCAAAGGTGCATAAACATGCTCACAAATAGCCCTGTCTTTCACACACACACACACACAGCAGCATCACCCCCCACACATCCAGACACACGGAAACTGCACAGAACCAACACACACACACGTTCCTCAGCTCAGTTCCACCATTATAGAGCCCCAGACAATATAGGAGACTCAGCATAGAGCCTGCAGCGCCTGCCTCATTTGCATGCCAAGTGGCTGTAATGCTGTTAGGGTTTATGCAATAAAGACAAGTGAATCCAGACTGCTGGGCCTAAGAGGAAGAAAAAGGGAGAAAAAGAAGGAAAGGGGGGAGGAAAGGAGAGGAGGAAAGGAGAGAGTACGGCAGAGAGAGGTTAAGAGTGAGCGAGAGGCAGAGGAGAGAGAGAGAGAGAGAGAGAAAGCAAGAGAGGGAGAGTCAAAGGGAACAGATGGCCCAGGGAGAGGTAAAAGGTATAATCCCATCAGCTGCACTATCAACCGACCATCTGGACATCCCACAGCACAATTACAACACATTTCAGCAGGCAGAACAAAGGACGGCTTCGCGGGGCCACATCAGACCTGTTTGAGTGTCACAATACTAGAGCTGGGACCTCCTCTGCTCAGATCTCGGATCAGTTTTGACGTCGTCTTCGACTCACCCTAAGCAGAGAGGAAAAAGATTAGCGTGGATCACAGATCAGCTGCGTGGAGGTCATTTCGCAGCGAAAAAGGATCTCGAAATAAACTCAAGCACACAAACTAAAGAGAAAAGGCGCGAAACGAAAAACCAAAACAAGCCTTGACGTATTCGAATTTAAATGAAATATCCTCCTCTGTTGTGGCCAAAGTTTGCGAAAACTTAGTGTTGCAACACTCAGAGCGTCAGGCCGGCTCTTTGCATCCTCATCCATCCACTCCTCATGATGCCGATCATCTGCTGAGGGGGCATTGTGCGTGTCTGTCATCAGATCGCCTGTGCTGACTGTGTAATCCACTTCGCCACGGTCCCCATTCAGCACATGCTCCCCTCTCTGTCTGTGCATTGAGACATATGCAAATTTTTTAGGCAGAAGGGTGGACGGCTTAGGGCCTCAGTCGCTGCCTCTCCATGGGTCCTACTGCGCGTGGGAGGGGGCGCTGGGATTTCCGAGGTGGTGCGCGAGATTGTGTGTGTGTGTTTGTGCATGCCTGTCGTAGGTTTCAGGCTGCAGCTGCCCCCCAACAGTCGCCGTCACCATCAGGCCCTCTTCTCTCGCCTCCTCCGCCTCCTCCTTCCTCTCCCCTCCACCTCCTCCTCTCTCTCATCCCCAAAGTCAATTTGTTTACAGTAATTTTGAAGGGTGAATTATTTGCTGTAATCGTCCGCACTGATGAAGGTCAGGCCCTTAGAGGGGGCCCAGCATGCCCATGGAGGGTTGGTCCTCTTTCAGACGCTCCGCTTCGCAATTAAGGAAAGCAAATGTCACTCCTCCAGGCCTCACAAATGAAAATCTGTACGAGGTGATTAGCATGAAGTCAACAGCGCCTGTTAAAGTCAGATTCCCTGTAGTACCACTGTGTGTGTGTGTGCACTTTATGGGCAGCGAGAGAGAGCAAACATGACCTGAACAGACCCAACAGCAAAGCAAACAAAGGGAGATGTCTTGTCTGAGGTGATCCATACAACAATGGCTGCCTGTGATTTACTTACTGGATAGGGAGGATAATAGAGGTGCAGAAGTGAGCTTGTAGAGGAAAAAGGGAACTTGCTGAAATAGTTGCACACATTTTGAGGAATAGGAAAAAAACATGCAGAATTCATAGTGTATTAAAAGATATTGATGGAAATAGATTAAATTTGATATTGCTACTTTATGGCTGCCTGTCATGCTATTTCTGTTGTAAACACAGTGTTGTGCTGAAAACCATATTAAGGTAATGCATCAAATGACAGTGGATGTGAGGCACCAGATCACTCAAATTAGATTATAATAACAACCCGGACTGTTGATGAATGGCAGAGCGACGTCGCAGAAGTCATGCCAGATGAAAAGCATTGTAATAAACAATATGAAATGGATTGAATCGATCACAAAAAGAAAGAAAAAACACAATCTGAATAATTCATGAGTGCATTTGGCGTTATGAAACCTGATACTGCTCTCAGTGTGGCTGCACTGTACTGCATATGCAGAACAAAGGTAATGAAATAACATGAACCAGCAAAGCTTTAGCTTGTCATTTCCACTTTAACAGCCTGTATTCTTGACTCATTTAAGATGTGTTCAACTTTGAAATTTTACTGTACATGCCGGCTGCATGCTTAATCAATTCTGATAGCTACATTTGCCCTGACACATAATTTGCTCCATCAAATCATTTTCCTGGCGAGCCCAGCGTTTAGCCTTTGTGAAGTGGACCATTTGAAGGGTCTGCTTAACTACACCACTCCAGCGCGCTGATAAATGATTTTGATTCTCATGCCTTAAAGGACAAATCCATCATTTTTTTTTTCCAGGGGGCAATTTCCATGATATGTCTTTGTGTGTGTGTGTGTGAGAGAGAGAGAGAAAGAGAGAGAGACATGCAGGGCTGAACATAGTGGAGGTGATGCAGCGAAGTGTCTGTGTGGAAAAGAGACATGGGCCCGAGTGTCGAAGCTTTGGTGCTGAATTTGCTCTTCTCTTTGTCTTGGATAAGCAGCCACCCCGTGCATCAAGGCTATCAGCCCAAGTGAGGGATGGACCACTGGGGGAGCCACTGTCATCATCATAGGGGATAACTTCTTTGATGGCCTACAAGTGGTGTTCGGCACCATGCTCGTATGGAGTGAGGTATGTATGGTGGGGATTTTATAGATTTCACTAAGATTACAAACTGAAATTGTTTGATGATGTTTCAGTCGTGTTTTGTTCTCAGAGTCTGTTTTAACACTTAAACTGAGTATTTACTGCGACTGAATACCCCTCAGTGCAATAAGGGATGCTGGTAATGTTAGTGGAAAAACACTGTTTGCTTAAACTTTTCTAACTTAAAAAACAACTCTCTGCTTGCACTGAGTTATTGTTATAATTTTTTATTATAATCACATGATAATTTACAATTTTGACAGTTTTGACAGTTTTGAACACACCCTGATATCTGATATCACATTCGGGCCAATACTTATACTGACACCAGTCCAAACACAGAAACTGATAAAATATTAAGATAAAGAAAAAGTATTGATACCATGAATTTTATTGGTTTTCCAGTATTGGTATCAGCACTGGAACACACTAATACCAATATTGGATAGTAGTCTTTGCACATCCCAAAACCTGTACGATAATCCAATATTAGTATCAGTATTGGAACATATCGATACCAGTATTGGATAGTAGTATCAGTATGTCCTAAAGCCTTTACCATAATCTAATATTGGTATCAGCACTGGAACACACCAATACCAATATTGGATAGTAGAATTTCCCTTTGGGGATCAATAAAGTTATTATTATTATTTGTCTTTTCATGTCCCAAGCCTGTATGATAATCCAGTATTGGTATCAGCGTTGGAACATACTGATACTGATATTGGATAGTCGTATCAGTATGTCCTAAAGCCTTTACCATAATCAAATATTACCTTACATACCCATATTATTATTGAATATTATTGTATGTAGTGGTAGAGAAAGCTATATCAGTGACTGAATTGGTATTGGGACTAATCAATACTATGATCCAATATCAGTATCTGTTTTGGAACATACCTATAATGATATCAGTAATGCATCGTACTAATACTTTTATCACTGTTTTAAAACTGGGACCTGTACCGACAGATTTGTCTCATCATTGTGTCTATCGTGACACTTCTAGAGTTATCATGACGTTATTAACGTATTTTCTCCACTGGTGGTATCAGAACATCTCTTTTTTAGTCAGTACAATTTACTAAAAATAATGAAGTCAATGGTGAGGACATATTTTTAAATGTTAGTTTTTTTTTTTTCTTTCTGTTTTGCAGCTGATTACACCCCACGCCATCCGCGTCCAGACCCCACCTCGACACATCCCAGGTGTTGTGGAAGTCACGCTGTCCTACAAGTCCAAACAGTTCTGCAAAGGTGCCCCTGGGAGATTTGTCTACACTGGTGAGTCCAAACTGAACTGTCTCTCCAATACTTCCTCTCTTTCTTCAGGCTTCTCCTCTGCCTTCCCCTCCGCAACTATTCCCCCTCTTCTCCCTCTGTCTGGATGTAGCCCCTAAACCCCCCAAGTCCAGGCTGTAATAATGAACTAACCAGCGCTCTGCTTGCTGAATGTTAAAAATGTGTGAGATCTGCTCTTGCTAGCGAAAAAAGGTGTTTTGTGGAGGGGGCACCAGTAAGTGCAACTCGATCCCCCTCTGACCTGCCATCGTACAAGGGCGCTGCCAAGCTGTGTTAGACTCAAGCTGTCGGGATAACTCATTCTGCCGGTTCTCTTTATATCCACCCTGTTGTGAGACGGATAATGCTTTCTGCTAATTTGCTGATTTTGTCAGGCAAAATGTGGTTTCATTTTTTATGAATCAGATTAGAAAGGCAATATCCAGGTTAAGTGCATGAGCGTGTCTTAAGTTATTCTCATGTGTGTTTGGTATATGAATTCATACGAGAGACAAGCGGGGTGTAGTTGAGAAAGAAGGGAAGGGTGTGTGTGTGTGACACTATAAGTAAGGGATCTGATTATCTTGGCTAACAGAAGGAAGTGGTGGTCTTATCTGTCATCATTGGTGAGGAGACAGAGGTTGCGGGGGTCAGAGCCTGTCTGACCTGGAAGCCTCTGTCTGTTCTAACTCTGATGGGTAGAATGAAACGAAGGAGGGGGGGTGTCAAAGCACTCTCACTCTCCCCCCCAAGCACCCTGAGGCCTCCAGCAGCACAGCCCTGGCCTTGAGCGCAGCAGAATTGCAAAGTGGGCCCCCCCTCTCCACTTCCAGACCCCTCCATCCTAGGGCAGCTGTTTCTCATCAAACCCCCCCCTCCCCTCCTTCCTTCTTTTCTCCCTAAACCACCACCACCACCACCACCGCTACCTAACCCCCTCCCCAACAGCCATTCGTCCCCTTCTCCTCCAACCGTGCAGTCTGGCCCGGCTCTCCTGCGTTTAACCTCCCTAGCAGGAGCGGAGCAGAGGCCAACAAGGCACCAGGATAATGAAACAGGAGTGTAGTGTGTGTGGCTGCGTAAATGTGTGTGTGTCTGTTTGTTAGAGAGTGTGAGAGCGAGAGGGGAGAAAAGTGTGTGTGTGTGTAAGTACGTACATGTGTTACTGCACAGCCCTGAGAAGGTGTATAAGTTAAGACATTAATGGCTTCTATAGCACCCTGGTGAAAGTGCCAGGTCCCTTAAGAACAGACCCCATTAGTCACAGAGGCTAAGCGGATTGGGATGATTACCATCAGGTTTTACTGGGGAAACGTGTCCCCCTCTCTCTATCTTTGTTGATTTCCTCCCCCCTATTCTTCCTCTCTGTCTTCCCTCGGTTCCTACTCACTTCCAGTTAGTATAAAGATACAATTACCCCTGGAGGCAACGGTGGTACAATTGATTAGTGCGCTGAATTAAAAGAGAAAGTCACCAATAGACAGGTCCGGCTCCTCTCACTCGGCTATTCCCCGTGTGGCTCACCCCTGATTGTGCGAGGGGTTGACGCTCCAGAGAATGAAACTGTTAAAGAGAGCAGAATGCATAACGCCAGAATGAGGTATCACTGACTCCATATGTACAGTAATTGCCAGGTGAAAGGATGTTAGCTACTTCTCTCAGACATTAGAAAGTGAATGGTGCTGATGCATTGAGTGCAATAGAGTGGATCATGTATTAAAGTGAGAAGCGGCTCGTTTCAAACCGTAGCTCTCTCTCTTTCCCGTGTTACAGCACTTGAAAAAAAATTGCACAACACGAGGAAATAGGTTTGAAATGATCCGGAGTTACAATAGCGATTACACACACGCTGAGACGAGGCCGCGCGGTGACACAGACGTGGAATATTCCGGTGTCATATCGGAGAGCAACATGTGCATATCAAAGGTCTGGTTATCAAAGCGAACAGCTTCAAGCGTGACTTGAGAGGAGGAGTGCCTTTTTAAGACTTTTTCATGTTGACTCTTCTTGCACCGCCACCCTAATTGTGGAGATTTAACTCGCTCAATTTAAGAAATTATCACAAATTACCAAGAGTCAACACAGAGGAGACTGCAGCCAAGTCGAACAGCGGAGGGGACACGTCCTCACTCGGGTTAGTACCCTGGAACTGCTCCAAAACTCACAATCCATTCTCAGAGAGAAAGAGAGAGAGCACCCTGTAGTAGATGTCAAATAATCCTGTTGGCATTGACTATTGAATGTTTAAAACACTAATGAGACAAACAGACATACTATATAAAACTTTAGTGGGCTATATTTACTGACTGCCTCAAGGAGCTTATATCTGTGTTTTAATTGGCACATTTTTAAAGGACTGACATGCCGCATATTTCTACTTCTTACAGTCTATACCTTTTTTCCCCTCGAACAAAATGTTGTCCCTTGGAGCTGGCCAGCTTGTCCTCTGTCTAATCCATGTATCGGTTATCCATTGGTCCGACTGTCAGCAAGGTTGTAGAAAATCAAAAGGAGAAAGTCCAGGCTGTACCTGAGGTCAATACTTTATTATACTTTCCTCTTTATTAACCAGTGCAAAGAGTCCAGCGGTTAATCGGATATTCCACTTACAGAAAAATCTCAATTTTCAGCCTCATTTGCAGCACCTTAACCTTTTTTACTGTGTGGTTCCAGCACTGTATGAAAGAGTAAATCATAAATAAAAACTTTGAGCGTACAATTTATCCAATTTAAGCTCCTAATTGCATCAGAGCTTTTGCTTTTCTATCTTGGCCAAGTTTCCACGAGAGCTCCCCTCCAGGGGCAGCCATGCAGGCCCTTGGTAATATGGTTCTGCAAGCAGTCCTAACACACTCAGCCACTATTTATCCTAATCAGTGACATCCACATAACCAGGATTGCTTAAAATGAACCCCTTCCGCGCCCCAGAAAACGCACATTTACCGGGACCCCATTTGTCATGGGTAAATTGAGGGTCAGTAAACTTCGCCTGTATCCTCCAGTGGGGATCCAGGACATGCATCATAACGTTAGGAGAGAATGATTGGCGAAGGCGAGCTGTCACACATTTGTCAGGGGGAAGGGAACATTATTTGCTAATTTCCCAAGCTGGGCACTGACAGGGTGCTTCGTCTTCAGACCTTTGGTGACCGGCATGGCTTCACAGCTATTAGTACAAGTCAAGTGTTTTTTTTTTTCTTTTTTTTCTCCTGCACTGTAAAGCGGCAGTAATAAGAGCCATCCGTTCGACCTCACAAGATCGCAGCACACTGGGTGAAGGATTTTGGACAGAGTGGATGCCCCATACAGTGAAGCTGCTCTTGCCAGGCTTTAGCTGAGGGCCAGACAGCCTTGAGGGCTGATGGATCACAAACTTTCCTCGTCAAGGTGACGCTATCGACTCCACTGCACCAAAATCTGACAAAATGGGTATGAGGCAGTCATTCATCAACATAAGGACAAAGGGGTCATGTGTGCTTCACTCAATACTGGTGGAGATCAAGAAATGTCAGGCCTGTAAGGGATGGAAAAGGAAGATGTTCATGGTGCAGAGGGAAGGTCTTTTTTCAGTTCAGCCTATTTCTTACTGCGAGATTCTAAAACATATGATTTCTAAGTTTTTACACGCCTTCAGGAAAGTTGCTAAATTGACCAGCGTCCTTTTTGTACAGCGAATCAAAGGTGTAAATACTAAAATCCAAAATTAAACTCACTTCCGTTCCACTCCTAGAAAGAGGGACAAAATGCCATGCAGTCTTGGACCCTCCTCTTCTTAGAAAAAAATTTAAACAAACAAACAGAGACGTCTTTATCGGACCACATCAGACCGGACCCTGCGCTGCTCAGCCTGTGAATCGGGCCCATCCTGACGTCTCCTCTCCGCCCTGCCGTCACTTTGAAGTCCCAGACTCAGAAGTTGATCAGATGGAGCGCTTCCTTTTCATTTCCTGTCCTGCAGGGTTGGGTTTGGTATTCGGTTGGTCAGCGATGGGGTGTGGCCTACAGCAAAGATATGCTATAATCAAAGGCATTCAGGGAGGTATGTAAACAGATTGGAGCCTTGCAAACAAGGTTGTAGCGCTTTAAAATTTTTAACAAATTTGGAATTTTTATTCAGTTTGACTCTTTCAATTTTTCCAAATATTGAAGTTTACTTTGATAAGTTTTCAGTCCTGTTAAGTGAGTTTGGACGGACTCTTATTTTTTAAATACTTAGTTTAAGTTTAGTCGTTTTAACTTCAGATCAATTTTGTATTTTTATTTTGAAAGTGAGATTACCTGTCAGAGCTTAGACCTAAATGGCCCCTCGAAAAAGTAACCATTAAAAAATCATTAATACATAAAAATAAACTTTTTACACAAAAGAACAACACAAACCCTTTCAGGTAAAAGGGATTTGTGTGCTTGTATCATTAAAAAAGTTGGTGACACTTTGACGCCTTTCTCTATTTTGCATTATAAATATATGTATAATGCATTATAATCACATTATATCGCTGTATAACTATAGTTATAAACACTCATAAATGATTATAATGCTTTATAGCAATAATAATAACACATTATAAAGAATTTTATTATGACTTACAAGGTCAAATAAAGTGTTACCGAAAAGTTCAACAGTACACAACAAAATGCATTCTTTCTATAACTTATTTAATGTTAGTTTTGTGTACAAAATACAATACTTCTGTAAGGTCTCATTTTAACTTTTAGTTATTGAAAATATTTTTTTGACTTTTTGTTTTTTGTTAGTTTGTTAATTTTCACTGACCTTTATAACTGCTCATGAAAAATCAAATAATTTAGAATACTAACTTTAAAGTCCAAACATAGTGACAGTTCTTAATTTTTCTGCTGATTTAAAAGAAAAAGAATCACTCTGAAGTTAAGTGCCGCCGCAAGTTAGGATGAATCAGGCATTTATAAATGTCATCGCCACAGTCAAGTGGGCCGTAACCAGTTGGCACAACAGTTTTAGCATGTGTCAAAGCGTGTTATCCACTCGCCATATCCCCGTACCTGCCTGTCTCATTACAACCCTGGTATTTAGCACTAGCTCGGCAGGAAACGGAGCCGACACTGGTTGCCAAGTTAGACGGGGCCTCGGTTTGAAGGCCTTGTGAGCTTTATGCGGAGCGCGACAAGGTTCCATGGAGGAAGGTCCTTGTGTCCAATTAGAGGGCTGACGTGACACGTGCTCGCACTCCCCCACTGTCAGGCAGCTTGTCAGGTAGGCTTTGAGAGGCACACTGTGGCATTATTCCACAGCGTGTTATCAGCAAGTGACCTGTGAAATCCAGCTCCGGGAAATTGATTGAAATGAGTACTTGCAGTTGAGCATGTATTTTCCCCCCATTACATCTCTCTGTGAAATGCATTATGGGTATCTTTCAAGAGAAAAATGAAAGTATGGGTGTGTTTTTTTCCCTCCCTGTAAGGATGGTATTCATTGATTTAATTTTAATTGGACCCACTTTTTGTCCCACAGTATCGTTAGAGGTCTGTTTTGTAATGGCTCTTAAAATGGATTGTCCTCACTAAGTCACAGCATCAGTCCTCTGCCACAGGAAAGATAGACGGAGGGAGGCAGGGAGAGGGGGCCCTTGATAGACGAGGATCTCTCCCTCCTCCTCCTCCTCCTCCTTCTCTTTTTTTCTGCCTCCTCTTCTTGCCCCATTTTCAGTATGATCCACACCCAACGGGCTTTAAAAGAGCTCCACCCGCCCTCCCTCCTCCTCCTCCTCCTCCTTCTCCTTCACTGCTGCATTTTGATTGAAATTCATCGGCAAGTTTATTGAGAAATGAATGAGGGAGGCAGCGCGGTATTGACTTTGAGAGGAAAACACAACTCATCTTGAATGAGGGGGAAAACGCGGCCGTAATTTAGCCGTCATCGATCTGTGCCCCGTCCATGTATTGATCTTCATTTTACAATATTAATTTGCGCTTGCAATCAGCTGTGAAGGGAACCCATTTGATTTCTGTTGGCCGGTAATGTGTGAAAGTCCGCCGGCGTCCTTAGAGAAGTGGCACACATACTTTAGATGTCATCTAAGAGGATTGAACAGGTGTCTGTGGCCCTTTCTAATAATACGGCCGATATGAAGGCAATCTGAAATTATGGATGTGCAATCTGTAACATTGCTCCCTTTTAACCGTGTTAATTACATTTTATCTGTTGCAGGAGCAATATCTGCTGGAGACTGTAACTGTCGAGGCTTTTTTTTTCATCTGTATTGGCTCAAAGTTCATGAAATTTCAATGAACATTGATCTGTCTCCATTGATTTATCCTAACTGCAGATCTTTGAAATTTTAATTTCCTGTTCATCTTGAGACTGCTGGAGATGGAATCACTCAGTGATAACTGGCTACAGTGGATGGAGATGATATGGTCAGTGTTAAAACAGATGAGGTTTGCTTTGCGTGGGTTTGCTGTGAAAATTCCAATTTGGCTTGGTTTGTTGTTTTTTTTTTAAGATGATCTCCACATCTGCATGAGTGTTTTCTTCTCTCTCTGAAACATACTTCTTCTTCGGAGCCGGAGCATGACTTCTTCAAATCTTAAACCTTTTGTCTGCACAGTTCTCTTTTAACTCCTCGAGAAGATCTTCAGTCTTCCTCCGGTATAGAGCCAGCGAGACGAGGTCATTACGTGTTTAGAAGCTGTTCTGAACTGCATCCATCTAACAGACTCCAGGTGCCTTGAAGGCTTCAGTTTGACAAGTCACAAATGCAATAACACTTGAATGAACTTCTGCCTGTGCTGTTTATCTGTCTCCCCCTTTTTCCAACTCCCACTCCACCTCTAATTTGTGTTAAGGGGAAAGAAAAAAATAACTGCTCAATGGTGTAGGAGGAGTGGAGATAAGCTCGAAGCAGTTAAGTATAATTAGCGAAAGTAATAGCTGGCAAATGGCAACAAGGCTAGGTTTTTATCTCCTGGAAAGATAGAGTTATCGTAATAAGCTGTAATGGCTGGCAGGAATGCTAGTACTCTGAGCGAGCTTCCATTCAGACTCACGGACTTAACAAGGAACAATTTCCCTTAAATTTACTGCTTTGCTCAAACATTTCCCCATGTTTATACTCCCATACTGTAAGTCAATACATGTGTTCAATTCACTCCCATATAGACCGAGGGCACACCGGGCTGTATTGCCATGTAAGCACTTCTGGCTGCCAACGTCGGCCATGTTACACTGTTCCTGTAGAGCGTTTACTCGTGTCCTATTTCCAGAGAACATGGAGAAGGAGCAGCAGACCACACTCAGATGCCATGTAACACGCCATCCACTCTACATTTTAAGTGAAGTGGCCAGCCAAGGCGACTTAAGGAGCTCTCGGGGAAAAAAAGAAAGTGTCTGTAGCATGAAAGGACGAGGCAGATTAAGGCGTCAGATCAAAATGAGATCGGGGAAGTGCACATTCCAGGCAGAGGAATTTCCACTGAAGGCCTGCCACGGACGCTCGTGCGCATGCGCCATATTCAAAATTGGAAATGATATGGTCACAGCTGCACACCGAGTCATGCATTCCATTTGTTCATATTCTGAAACATGATCATTCGGTCTCTAGAGTGAGAGAAAAAATTACTGAATATTTGTCAAAACTCCACAAGGAAAGGAGGGATGAAATCTGTTCTCTGAGTCGGATATGGCAACAGTCCTTTTAGATATCAGCTGTTAAATTTGATATTCGCTTCAGTTAAATTTGAATCATTTTCTAGATGAAACCATGGCAACAAATCTGTAAACAATCCTATTTCTCAGTGTGTGTAACAGAAGCGAGGCAAAGATATAAGCGTCGTAATTGAACAAAACGTGCTGCTTGTCTAAACCTGAGCAGAAAATGAGAGAAAATGAAAATTCTATTAGTCCATAATGTTCCCCTGCCCTCCTCCCCTCTCCATGTGCTCTTCATCTCTCCTGCAAAGTATTCAAATGCAAGCCCTGCCTTACCTCCCCGTGTCTCTTTTTCTCTAATTATCCATGAGGTCAGTAAGCAAAATGGGGAAGAAGCCAGGAGATCAATACAAATTATCCCTGAGCAAACCAGTGCTGACAGTTTGAATTGCAGCATATGTTTACCCAAAATCAGGCAATTTATCTTAATATCAGGCGAGTAATGCAGCAGGGGTGAGAGGTCACACAATCTCTCCACCTCATAATTACCCGCCTCTAAAACAGGAAAGTGGTATTGATTGGCCGCGAGCCGGGAAGCGGGCGTGACTGGAACGTGCCAGCGACCCCCCCACCCCCCTTCCCCACGCCGTCCACACCACACACACACACACACCAACCCCTATCATACCTCCTCCCCACCTTCCTCGGGTCCCTCCTTCCCCCAGCTAGACTCCCCACCCTGAGCAGGATTTATGGGATGTGTGCGGAGGGTTTCATGTTTCCTTGCAGAATCCGCACAGAAGGGGGGGGGGTTAAAGATAGGAGGGTGGGGGGGCCACGCTCCATCCACACCCTGACCCCTCCCTCTATCTCACTTTCCCCATATTATGTTGGAGGCAAGAGGAGGGCCAAACTAATTCTGGCATGCATGGAGTCATGCAAGGGCACCGCCGATTTGCCTGTTATATCTTCAGCTGAGAGTAAAGTTTATGACAGAGTGTGAAGTTGGAACATAATGATGTGCAAAGGATTAAAAGAGACAGAAGAGGTGGTGGGAGTAAAAGAAAGGGGGCAAGGCTGCTGTCAATGTGTGTGGTGTAAGAAAAAGTATGGAGAGCAGCTCCAATGACTCTTGTAAAAGCGCCGCAGATGAAAGGAAATCTTTGCTGCGGAGAAAAAATGTGCAGAGCAACACGATGAACACACACATAACACATTTATTGTCCAGATTGAATATAAGTGCTCAGTATATATCATCAGCAGCTCTTACAGGATTATTGACATTGTCTGTGTCTGTCTGCACCCAGTGTACATGCTACGACTACAAAACTGTCAACTCATCAACTGACAGCACCGTTTAGCGCTAATGCAAGTCTCCATCAGCTGTCAAAAGCATTTGCATGAAATCAATAGCAGATGGCGGTCTGTGTCACCAATTTCATTACGCCGGGGTTGTTACAAAGATCATCTCCATGATAGATGAGATGGCGACATGTCGACACGCGGAGATCATGCCTGGCGCTTGGACCGCTGCTGCCGCACGACACTGAGCCATGTGTTAATACTAAACCGAGAGGACTGAAAACGGAAGTTTGGATCAGCCTGACAAGTTAAAAATTCTCCTTTTAATACTTCTCCTTTGAAGAGTAGGGGATATCCTCACCTCTAAATCACGTGCAACATATTTCTTAGGTGTGCATTTGCAGCGGGGCATCATTATCATTGGGAAACCACATCAAACAGAACACCTCTCCCAACCTAAGGTCTCGTCCTGTACTGTACGTCTCTCTCCGGCTGTGTTCCCAGCATGCCTGGCGGGTTGTGCAGGCCCCAGCTGAGGCAGAGGACAGGAGAGCGTGATGTATCACCCTGAGAGAGCCCACTGACAGCCTCTGATGATGGATGGCCTGATTATGGAGTGCTTTTTACACATACACAATTTACATCACACTGAGCAGCGGGGTCTGGCAGGGCTGCCGTGCACACACACTCCTTCACAGCCGGGCACGTGCACTCTCACACACACACATAGTATCATATATGCATGCTCCTGTGTGTGCACATGTACACATGTATGGGACTGCCAGAGTGCATAGATAAGAAAGGGGGTGGAAATAACAAAAGAAAAGGGGCAAATTCCTCACTATAGCCTTGTCATGTACGATCAATACGGCAGATCAATCCTTTATTATGGAGACGATGGTGTTCCCCTACATGGCCAAGCAGACCTTTGTCGTATGGGGGACGCATGATGACATGTCAAATCAGATTTCCAGCAGTGTATGTTTGTATGGCGGGAGGTTTATTCAGGTGTGCCCATTGCCACAGGATTTGCAAGCTAGATCCTTGCTATCGATTAGCACCCTGCATTGTCCATGCTTGAACACATAATTGCTCCATCGGCTCACGCTCGAGCTGGCAATTACTGTACTCAGGTTTTGGCAGAAGTGGTGCATGTGTCAGTACATGGCTGCTGTGTGTATGCGTGAATAGGTACAGTACGCAAGTGTGTGTGTGAGAGAGCAAGAAGGGGAGAGAGCGCATGCTTGCATGTGTATCAAAGATGAGAGAGAACAAAAGAAAAGAAACATAAATGTTCGTTTTCCTGCCGTGACTACAAGGTTTGTGCTTCAGTGGGCCCGCTGCCTGCCTTTCTGTGTGTGTGTGTGTGTGTTTGTGTGTGTGTGTGCGTGTGTGTTTTCAAGGGGGGGTGACGTTCACTAGCATTCACATTCTGTAGTGTTCGGCAGGTTCAGCGAGCTGTGCGGTGTTAATGCTGAAATTACATGCTGAGTAATGAGTGATGGGCCAAATTACAGGCTGAACAATGAATAGAGGCAGGCAGCTCTTATTAGTCTCCATAGAAAGCCATTGATTTATGAAGCGCCTTGCTCGCTGGAGTTACTCTCCTGAAAATGATATCTACATTGAGAAGTGATGTTCTCTATTAAGTCGTTCCTTCCCCCTTTACACCACTCTCCACCCTTTCTCCCTCCTCCCCTCCTCTCCCCTCCTCTCCTCTGCCCTCCCTCCCTCCCTTTTTCCTTGTCCTGCCTGTGAGTGTACACATGATTGTTTAGAATCAGGCGGAGCTGTAAGGAAGCCTTCAATTACCCATTAGGACTGTCAGACATAAAACGGCCCTGCTCTCACCAAAGTCTGGGTTATGATTCATTTACTTTGTGCCTCTGATTCATCGCCCAATATGCCTCATGCCCCAGATTACTATTTGAGGGGTGGGAGAGATTAATGGCTCCATGGGATCTGCCGCCGTATTTCACAGGCCCAGTGTTGCAGTACAGTTGGTGCAGAAGGGGTGAAATGACAGCAACTTACACTAGATCAATGTGTGGACAGCCTTTCACAGATTATTAAGGCTCTGTTAGATTAAAAGACCCCCGCTATATAGTTTGCTGTAGTCAATATTCTCGTGCAGATAAAAAGGGGGAGGGTCCCTGTGAAGGATTCTCAGGCTGATGTAGGTCATCACGGCTGTTAATGGAATAACACTTGGTGACACAAGTGTCAGAGGAGCCCGTGTCATTTTCCGTCGCTCGCCCCCTCTCCGTGGAGTCGATGATGTTTCATAAAACATCGTCTCACCCCTGAGGTTTCTTTGAAATTAGGCATTCTGAAATGACTTTTCTTCTGTAAATTCCAACAGATTTCTCAATTAGTTTCTTCCTGTCTTTGGGAAAATTAATCCTGGAACGGTCCTAACTTTCCTCTTCCCTTTGTTTTTGTTTCAGCCCTGAACGAGCCAACTATCGACTATGGTTTCCAGAGGCTGCAGAAGGTCATCCCCAGACACCCCGGCGACCCTGAGAGGTTACCAAAGGTCAGTAAAGAGTCCCTGCAGTAAAGTAAAAAAACACACAGAGCAGCTATGAGGCAGAGCTGTCTGTGTTATAATGCCTTAATGCTCCGAATGTGACGAATAAACAAAACATTAGCATCAAGGCAGCGCACTGTGACCCCAAACCGTGACAGCTTTGCCTCACATATGTGGCTTACCATCTAACCAGCGTGGTAATGGTATTGGTTTTGTGTGTGGAGAGAGGCGTAAACTCTCTGTGTGGTAAAATAGCTCAATCAGGCGTTTTCCTCTCCAGTAGTCTGTGGAGATGGTAATCTGGTCAGAAACGACGTCTGCACCCTCATTACCCCACTCATGTTTTCCTTTCATTTTCTGCAGCTCGATTTGGTTTAATCTTTTGTTTACAGAACCCTGTGCCGTAAACCCCCTAGTCTTACTGCAGCTAATAGACAAAGACTGCATGTTATTATGCGTTGGCTTTCTTATTGTTTTCTTTTGAACCTGGGTGAAGGAGTTGAAAGCCACATCAGTTTTAGTCACACTGGTGTGACACATGAATAGGCCGCCATATTGAAAACGAAGCTTTTCTCTTTTTTATTTTCCTCCCCCTGCAGAAACTCTTTGATTCCTTGACTCTTTTCATTCCCTTTGATTCTTTTATTCTTCCCATTTCCTATTGATAAAATCTATCTCTGTGTTTTCACTAATTGCTACCCTGCCAGTAACAATTTTGGTGAGTGACGTTCCAGATGTGTCAGGTGTAATAATATGACTGATTAGTCCATTCAAAAGCCCTCTGCATGCAGTAAAGTGGTGGCCACCTTGGAGTTTTAATAATACTATAAAACCTTTAAAGACCTTATCTATTAAATCCCAGCATGCAACACAGCAATATCATTAACGTCCAACGGACAATTTAATAAAGAACAGACCGTGTGGTGGCTACAGACGTTTGACCAAGGCGATGTGGAGAAATGGAACATCACAGCTAGTCCCTGCTTCGGTATATGAAGTGTTTCAATTAGACCTGGTCCCTGTGGAGACAGGAAACAACACCTAGACATGAAATGTTGCTCTAATTTCAACTGTAAACGTGGACCAAAAGGTAAAGTACACTTACCTTTAATATCCACATGGCTTTTTTCTTTCTCCGCAGGCATCACTGGCCAAACTAGCCGCACTGTTTCAATTTTATAAAGTCACAGTGTCTTTGAGAAATCCACATCTTTTTGAACACGGAGCCCCGACCATGTTAAACACAGCTTTATTACATAGAAACCTCACTCCTTTCCTTGAATACAGAGTGCTGTTTGGTTGTGAGACACATTTTGACACTGAACCCCAGATTAGTTTCCTGGCTGCGCGTATACTTAATATAGCACGCTCTCCCGGCCCTTTGCATGAAACAATCACAGAGTGAGATGAAACCCTGCACTTCCAATAAACAACATAAATATTTGATTTGCTCTCTAATGGACCCAAATATGGGGTTCAGGGGGCATGTAAATGATCCCACCAAGTGATTCGTCATTGTTAAGCTTGCCATCTGAGGGTCAGCTCTCGGGGTCAAAAGCACATTCCCAATAAAACAGCCGGCGGCGGCGGCGTCTGCGGCTGGCATGTACATTTGGAATGAGAACAGAAAACGGCATATAGAGAGCAGCCATTACAGGGTGCAGGTGAGGGTAGGGAGACTCTATAAAAAGAAGATAAAGCTGGAGGACGCGCGGTGTGCATTAGCAGAAAGGCAAATCGACACCAGGCCCACTCACCGCCTCTATACCCCCCCTCCCATGACTTCACCCTCCAGTTGATAATATTACTGCGCTATATTGATTTCCACCAGCCTTCTCCCTGGGACCAGTAAGACACGTGGTAATTGTAAGGAGACAGAAAGCCAATATGGGAGTGCTCATGGATAGCAAGGGATGCACGCTAATATTGTTGCTACACAGAGAAAAAAGGGGGGAAGCTGCCTCTGATTGAAGTTTACCTCGTAATTCTAAGACAACATCGTAGATGACAGTCTGACCCTGTGGGAGGAGTGGAGATATAAAAATTCAATGCAAAGTCCAGGGTGAATATGAAAGTAATAAGTGTGAGCAGTCAAGTGATGAGAAAGGAGATTGGTTTGCGGGCATCGCGTTAAGTGAACAGAGACTTTGGAATTCACCCTCCTTTTTAAGATCTTGTTATAAAACAATTTTCTATTCATAATATAAAAAAGACAATTTATAATACCATTTTGTGCCCTCTGGCAGTAATGGACAAATAGACTGGATATCACATTATATCACACTCAATTTCTCTCTTCTGTAACAAATTAGATTCATTATGAAATTAAAAGTGGAAACTCAATATTGTTTTATTATTAAGCTGATTGCTTTTGATTCTTTTCTTTCCTCCCAAAATGAGCATAAGCCCATTCTTTTCCAATTCTTTGTGTAATCCACAAGGAGAAAATATTACAAATGTGTTCATGTCAAGCAATTACCCATGTATTTAAATGAATCTCTCTTCCTGTGCTCTTTGAAGTACCTTCATCTAATGGCCCTATGCTTCTAAATGCATTCATTACCTCAGGCTAGAGCTAACAGAGTAATTGCCTTACAGTTTTATAATGGCATTAGCACTCCAAGCTACATAACCTAGGCCCTCTTTTATTAACTGTGATAATATAAATACAACATCCATGTTAATCTAGTGCTTGAAGAATCGCATCCAGGCTGTTTTAGAGCATGTCTGCTCATTGTTAGATATTTTTTATAACACATCATTCGTTAGGGCTTTCCTCTCGTTTTTCTCGGCGATAACGCAAAACAGCCTCTAAATCTTGGGTGATCTGTCATCAGAGCGGCCCCCGTTTAAACAGTTGTTGAACACGAGACCTTTATGCAAAGCGAGGCGAACAATAGCAGAAATCCGTCACGCATTTGTCACAGAACAACAGAAATCATTTGAGGCCTTTAATTGTTTCAATTTAACATGGCGTGTTCTGATATGTCTCCATGACAAGAAAGCCAATTACACTTATGCTGGAGTAGTATTGAGATTTACATGGAAATGCCCTCAGAACACTATTCCGTGTTAATCGTATTCACAGCGTGAGCTGATACGCATGAAAGCGTCTCGTCAGAAGAAAACAAACTTCTTCCTTGATTGGGTGCAGCACTTCTCATCATCCGCCGATATGACTAGGTTGCCACTTAAGCATAGCCTTGCGAGTCGGCTCGGTTAGTTAAGACACCACGCGGTAAACGACAGATTAAGGATGAGAGGCAATATCGTTTCCTCTCCTCCTTTTTCCAAGCTGTCCTTATGTCACTGCTGCAAAGTACCATATGGACAAGGAGGGAGAGGACGTTTTACAGAGAATGAAACATGGCTCGTGAACGCGACAGTCTTAATTGCTTTAATTGTTGTTTAAAATTGAGAGCCATGTAGGAGATCTTGAAATATGATAGAATAGATTATTGGTAATTATTAACTGCAGACAAAAAGAAAGAAAACCACTTTATCTCACTCAGCGAGAGAGAGAGAAATCTGTTCTGCCTGATGAGAACACATCAAGACAGCTGGTCCTCTCATTTAGTCTACCTGCCTCACGACAACCATAATTCTTTATTTGTATGCAAACTAGATGCATGCAACGTTGAGCATACACACCAATTTCAGAGGTAAATGCCCATTCTAAGAGCCACCCATCCGGTAACTTGGGGTGGATTAAGCGATATGTTTCTATAAGAGAGCATGGCACACGCTGGAAGTGGCTTCTACAGTGATTCATCTTGATAAATCAAGGACTGTGCTAGATATGCTCCTCTGGATGAAAGGGCCCATACACACACTCCGTACACACTACATACGCTGTGCCTTGGAAATGCAGGCCAAGTCTTGGAGGCCGCTGTTTGAAGGCGCGAAGGCTGTGTTTACATTCATTTACGGCAGCTGCCGTCTTAATCCCACACTGCTATTGCCAAGTGATGGAACACTTCAGACAAATTACCGAGGCCCGCAAAAGAAAACACAGCGAATGTGGGAAGAAAACAAGCGCCATCTGAGATGTTTCTGGTGACAGATTTGCATTGCTTTTAACCAGGGTTCTAACAGCACAGTCGACAAATCTCTGCTCTACAGCAGGTGACAACAAGCGAGCATTTTAAAAAACACACGCAGCAGCCATGTCTGCAACTTGCCTTTGTCAGATTAGATGCACTCAAAAAGGAGAAGAGGGTTTTCATAGAGCATATTGCCTTCTGTATTATAGAAAACAAAGAGAGCAGCCTGGTTGCTTGAGAGGGATTTAATTGTAAGTGCTGAATTCAAAGAGCAGATAAAGACACACAAACGGGCCAAACCCCACCTTGCTCAAAGCCCGAAACAGAGTGGGGGGAAACAGGATCCGGGGCCAACTCATTTTCAGTGTTAAGAGCCAAAGCAACACAGCTAATCCGCATTGTCAAGCGGGGGCAAGCATGCAGACATGGATAAGACCACATCCTGAGCATCCGTGTCCCCAAGGCACAAGCACCCAGCTCTTGCTGGATGGGAAGTCATTTGTGAAGTCCTTTGCAACAGCCAGTCAAAGAGGTTAATTGAAAAATTCCTTAATGTCATTACAACAGAACTAGATTAACCCAGAGCTAATTCACTTTATTGTTCTGAAGAGAGGGGACGCAGCACTGAACTCCAGAGCAAACGTGGAGCCCAGAATCAGGGGTGAGGTGTTGTTTTTAAAGGACTATGCCAGTTTAATTAAGATAGGGAACATTATTCACTGCTCTGCATGGTTGGAAGGAGCAAAGTGGTAGTACTGTATAAAAGCAGCGCCGGTGCCTCTTAAATCAGGCCGGCTTTTATTTAGCGCTTGAATATGTAAACATTTCCAAAGCTTTGCACCAGCCTGCTGGGTAATGTTGTTTTGGATATTGTTTGTTACATGGTGGACCACTGGGGTCTCAAACATAATCTGTTTGGGTCTTAACATTTACTCTTCCTGTTTTCCTCATCAGGAGGTGCTACTGAAGAGGGCGGCTGATCTCGTGGAAGCCCTGTATGGAATGCCCCACAACAATCAGGTCTGTATGCGCGCAGCCGCTTCAGCGCTTAAACCTCGGCTAAATAAGAAAAAAACCATTGAAATTTTACTGATAGGATCACCAAAGGGTATTTTCAACCACTATATCTGGAGCTATGTAGGCTACATGTGTTCACCATATAGCCATGAACTGTGCATCAAAGCAAAGAGGAAAAAAAACAAAACAACAGAGCTATAAAAACACCATAAATAACAGAACCTCTGCCTTCTCTGCGCTTCTCAGGAGATCATTCTGAAGAGGGCAGCTGACATCGCCGAGGCCCTGTACAGCGTTCCCCGCAACCACAACCAGATCCCCTCGCTCGCTAACACAGCCTCCCACGGCATGATGGGAGTCAACTCCTTCAGCAGCCAGCTAGCAGTCAATGTGTCTGAGTCACAAGGGAATGACCAAGGTATGTAATTTAGGGGTACGGCTCCGTAGCTCGGTGTTTCGTCAAAAGAAGTGGGGTCCGGGGATGTGATAGGCAGTGTGAGAAATATTGAAGTTGAACTTTTTGAAAATAAAATGAAGAAACAGAGTGAAAATGTTGTTTTTAAACCTCACACATGCAGATATTACAGGCAGTTACGGGGTTAATTAAGAGCATCTTTTACTGTATTCAGAAAACATCAGTAATATCCTTCTGAAGGAGAGAACTGAATGAGTTTCCCTCTCTGTTCCCCTTCCCTTCTCCAAACCTGTATTTTTCAGTGGGTTACAGCCGGAACACCAGCAGCGTGTCCCCCCGGGGCTACATCTCCAGCAGCACCCCGCAGCAGTCGAGCTACAACACCGTCAGCAACAGCATGAATGGCTACGGCAACGCCGGTATGAACCTGGGAGTGCCAAGCTCCCCTGGGTTCCTCAACGGATCCTCTGCCAACTCCCCATATGGAAGTGAGTAGCTTGCCACTATCGCTGCTGCGCCGTAGTAGCACTAAGCTGCTGCTGATTTAATTCCAGCTCCCACATTCGTTTTCACTTCTATGAATCACCTCTGACAGGGTTATAACATTATTGATGCTGATAATATATTACTATTCATTCACAGGGAGCTTGTTTGGTTTTTAGTACTTTGGAGAACACACACATGTAGCTGAGAGTAGGAGAAATACTCATTTTTATATGTGTATTTTTCACTGTATGCCACCTGTATTTGTTCAACCGGACAAGATGTTGATGGTAGGGGCCTGTGAGTGCTGATCGTGTATCCCCCCTGGCAGTAATACTATCCTCGCCTTACCTTAACTGCCCTCTCCCTCTCGAGCGCTACTCACAGCACGTTCTCACTCTCTCCCTCCCTCCTTTTTCCTTCCCTTCTCCCTCCCTTATCGTCTCCGCAGTTAAACAAAAGAGCGCCTTCGCCCCTGTGGTCCGACCCCAGGCCTCCCCACCCCCCTCCTGCACCAGCGCCAACGGCAACGGACTGCAAGGTGAGCCCCCCTCACCCCCTCATCCCTTCCCTACGGACTACTGGTCAGATACCGCTGCTCAGGCCTCTGTCCGGTTTGGTGAGGGATTAATCATTACAAATATATGCATTTTGACAGGCCAATTTACACCTTTCACTTCACACACACACACACACACACTAACACACACACAGATCAGATCATCACACGCACACACACACACAAACAAGTGCAGTATAGGATCATGCGAACGCTCATCCTCGTTGCCCTTTCATACAAATGATCCCCTCCGATGTCGCAGGAAAAGACCCCTTCCCAGAATTGTTTTAGTAATTATGTTTATTAGGTTTTGTGCGTGTGTCATGACCAACATGATTGCTTTGAAAACAAGCTTAGCCGTAGTGTGTGCCCCAAGATTAATAACATTGGGCTTAATGAAGTGGGAAATTAAAGTTCATCTTGCTACACGTTCATACTTATTAATACATGTTGTGCAGAAATTAATGAGCAATGCCTTGCCATCATCTGCGCTGGCAAACTTAAAAGCATTTCAAGCATGACTCTACAAATATACTCAGAGCAATATAATAATATATCATCCCAGCACTTCACTAGTCGCCTAATTGTTAAAACGTGTGAAAATACTGAATATATAAACTCTGAGGGTGAGGTACAGTTGCTAATGATATCCTAAGCAGATGGTCTTGGTAAAATAACGGAAGCTACCTTTGATCTCGCCTAATCTCTCTCAGATAATGACACAGAGGCACGACTTGGGGACTAATGTGGGACTAGTTTGCGCTGTACAGTGGAGAAGAAAGAGACACGAGGAGGAGAAGTGGAGGCAATAGAAAGCGATCAGAGGAGGGGAGTCAGAGGAGTGTCTGTACTGTAGCATTGTGGCATTGTGGGAAGTGACCGTGTTGTTGCTCTGCCGTCACCACGGCCGCGTCTCTGGGGAGTCTGGGCCGCTGTTTGCCATTACCCCAACGCCAGGAGAAATATCACACATAGCGAGACTGGCATGCTGGGGGCTGAAATGTCAGAGCAGGAGGGAGGTTTTCAAACTCTCTCTCCCTCTTTCTCTCACTCCCAACCCTCCCCTCCACCCTCCACCACCACCACCTCTCCCTGTAAGGAGGAAGGACGTGCAGCAGCAGGCCGGCGGACACAGCAAACACTCACAGGCACATACGCAAACAGGCACATTAAGGCTTACATTCACGCACTTGTGCAGTGTCAGATGGCTGGACTCACACATGCACACAGCATACACACACACACGCACACACATTAACTAATAAAGTTCGCACAATTTTTTCATATTTATATCCATCCCTGTTTTAGCCAAATGAACTAATCCTCTTTTTCTTCTTCTTCTTCTGTGTTTTTTTTTTATCCGCAGCCATGTCCGGCTTGGTCGTCCCTCCAATGTAAATGCACTTTCATCATCTCAAGCACCAGTCTACACACTACTACCACTTCACAGGACATCCCCTCCCTCCCCTCAGCACACAGCCAAACGCTGGTGTAATGTATAGTACCGCTTTTTTCTGTTTTTAAACATGAAGAAAAAAAGAAAAGAAAGATTCTTTTTTCTTTTAAAAAGACTTTTAAAAACCTGCAGAGGAAAAAAAAGGATTTCAGAACAATATTTTTTTCTGTGGGAGTTTTTTTTTTTGTTTGTTTATGCGCCCTCTCTCTCCTTCCTCCACACACACACATGCACTCAAACACACATTTTACCACCCTTGAAGAGGACACGGGATGAAGGAGGGTTTATTTTGTATACCTGTCGGGATGTGCTTCGGCCTTGGACGCGTCCAGTCAACCACACATTCAATACTGGAAGGGACTCTGTGGACTCAGCATCTGGTTGTAAAGTAAAAACACTGATGTACAGTACATTTGCCAACGAACTCCAGAAATCGTTTTTTTGTTTCAACTCTCTTTTAATAGATTCACAACAGTTGTGTGTCTTTATAATGTGACTTTTTTGTATTTTTATGTGTGAGAAAAATTACACAGGGGCCAAGACAATTTCAACTGGAAAATATATGAGATATATAAATGTAGAAAAATTGATCATAAAAGTACAACAAATAGGAGTTAAAAAAGGGGCGGGGCTGGGTGGGTAAGGTTGTATCATGTTTCATTCCTACATTTTAACTTAAATTTTGTAATTTATTGTAGCTGGAAATCATCTTCAAAAGTGAAAAAAAATCCTCTTTGATTCAACAAGCACACTGACGTGTACAAAACACTGCTCTGTTGATGAATATGATGTACTTCCATGTCTAGAGCTTCCTTTTAAGCAAGTGTGTTTTGCCATGTTTTTCAACTTTTTTGCTAGCACTGTATATTAATGCATTCCTAGGCTACTGTGAAGTCTGTTTCTTGTTGATGAGGAGCAGTCTCCCCCTTCTAGCTCCAACTCCCTTCTGTGTTTTCTATGTGGTTAAAAAAAAATTGTAGACTATTGTGATATTGCCAAACTTGTGCTAAATATTTATACATCTGTCTTTTTCATGTTCTTTTAGATCAACAAAAAAAAATCATCCAAAAAAAAACGACAAAAAAACAAACGATTAAAACCCATTGAGAATGTAGGAGTAAAGTAGTTCATCGTCATCTTTCTGTTCAAACACACACTTGCGCTCACTGAGGGAAATTTTGTAACATATCAACTATAAATAATGTATTTATCTCTGAAATTTTGTATATTGCTTTTCATTATGTATGTATTAATCGTCATGCCCTTAATATAGTGATGCAGCACAGATAATTCAGCCAAGAACTGTTGCCTTCATTTGTTTTCTTTTTGTATTTGATGAAATGCAATGTGCATATATTTCATGTGTATCCTCAAAAATTTGTGTTACTCCGTCAAGACTTTCTGTCCATTTTTTTAAAGGGGAAGTCAAACTTCATTGTTTATTTTTATATTGATTTTAAATTATCTATACAGACCATTTTTGGAGAAAACTTTGTTGGTTGTATTGTCAAATAAATTGTTTGTGACCCATATGATAGTTGTTAAGATCCAATAGAGACTAATGTGCATGAGGGACAACCTTGGAGCTAAAAAAAACACTCCATTTGTGGTTGTATTTTTTTCTGTTTTGTAGAATGTATAGAAGTCATTTTTACTCACCACTTATGACTCTGCCACATAGCTTACATGTGTTTACAGGGAAGAAAAATTTAAAAATGTCAACATTTGGAATGGAAACAGAAATGAAAAAGTGATGTTTTATTAAAATTTTCAGTAAAAACACAATAGCTCCTCAACTGTGGACTTCCTTCGGTTTAAAGTGCAGTTTGGCTGGCAGACAAACTGACCGTCAGGACACAGAAAGAGACAGTAGACGCTCCTGAGGACAAACCTGTGATACGTCTGTAAGTTGTAGTGTTTAGACTTTGCCATAGAGATAACTGTTTGAAACCTGTGGAAAAGTGTAACATCCATAAAAGATGAAAACTGCTCTTTCTACTCATATTCTTTCAGCACAGCACTCTTGACATTGTGACATATTCCTACTGGTCTCTGTATCAGCGTATCCTGCATCTGTGGTGCTTCAAAGGTTCATTGTAGTCATTCATAAACAGTGCGAGCTTTTTATTCAAAGCAGCCCAAATGGGGCTCATTCAAATCCCTCATTTCATTGCATTAAGCCACCTAGTTAATAAAGAATCAATACATTGAAAGAGCAAGGTTATCCTTTGTCTATAAGGGCTGGTATCGTTTTGAACCTCTCATAGTTTGAGCGCTGAAAGGGGGGCCGCGGTGAAATCTATACTCATCAAGTGGGTCAAACAGGGGGATAGAAAGTGTTTGAGGGAAGAATGGTGGCTCTCCTTAAAAACAACGGAGCATCTTATCTGGTATCCAGAGTGGTCGCCGAGAGCGGGTCACAAAATGTCAATTTCTCATCAAGGCAACATTGTCCGAGGCCACCTCTCCCTCTAATGCACAATTAAAACGGCAGCGAACCTGAGTGGCAATCAGCATATCACAGCTTATTATGTCAGCCCGGCATGCACGGGTGGAGGATCTGACGGAGCGCGGGGGGAGATAGTCCAGGAGCTGCTGATAGCGCAAAGGACAGATACACTCAAAAGGAGCGATTTAATTTTCAGCTGCGATCGCCTTGTGCTTCAAATCGTTCCCTCGATAATCCAATGTGTCTGATAACAATGGCCACACATCTGATCTGCCTCCTTCCTGACATTGCACTATCTTGCTGCAGATACACAGGTTTGGATCTAACGCCTCGCTCGCTCCTTTGACTATTTGGAGGCAAAATCTTGCAGAAGCCGAATTTTTTTTTTGTTTGTAATCTTTACTGCCTCACATTGAAACCAAGGAGACTGTCTGATACCGCAGAAACAATAACCGACTGAGAGAGAGAGGGAAAAAAAAGACACAAAAAGAACAATTCTGGGGGTAAAGTACAATCAAAAGTGACAAATGAAGTTTGCTCAGTTGTTGCCAGTTTTAAGAGCTCCGGAGCCTGGCAGGCAGGCTGGAGGAACACTAGATTGTCTCAGCAGGTTTCCCTGTACCCAACGAGCAGCTCCCAGCTCTGCCACACCACTCAATCATCGTGAGAGCCTCTTTTATTGGAGAACTCTAATGGCCACCCTCCACCATGATCTTAATGTGTGCATTAAATATTTATAAATCCTGGGTCAATAATGCCCCATAACCAGAGCCTGACAGACCCCCACCCGTACCATGTGGCTGCCTCCCCTCTCAAACACAGGCAGAGGTCACGGGGTCACGCAATCAAAAGAGAGCGAGCCTCGCCACATCCATATGTTGCCACTCTTATCAAGACTTTCCTCTGTACTGGTTATCTGTCAAAGGAAAGAAATATTGAAAGCAATATCGATCTTAACTAGCCTCGTGTTGCCGAGGGCCACGCTTCAAACATCTGCTCGTGCATTGTTGGATTTAGAAAAAAAAAAAACCCTCCTTTCAATAATATAAGCCTGAGCGCTAATATTGAACATCTCTGTGTGACGCATTCTGACGAGTAACCGACTTTATTAACAAGCATGGCTGGAGATTTTTTAAGATGCTGATATATGGGTATTTCTTAATTAGCGCCGGGTTAATTTGTGTAGCCTGGCATCTGCGCGGGTGACTCAGTAGCTTTATATGTGACGATATCCGGGGGCTGCGCTCCTGTGCTGTTCAGGTGAAAGATTGTGCTCCGGTGATAGCGTCGCACAAAAGAGCGGCCGGACAATGAGCCAGTCAATGGAGAGCTCCCAGTTGAAAGAGCCACAATGGCTGTGCATGCTGGGAATTGGGGCTGGATGATATAAAGGAATGAAACCTTCATTGAGGCCATGGAGGACAAGCATTCAGAAAAGAGGGGTTTTTTGTTTGCTCTTTATCAATCTGCCGTTTCCCATGAGAAAAAACAATTGAAACTGACCTTAAAAAGAGAATATTACCTTACGCATACACTGCCTATGCAACTCTTCGCGAGGAGCTTATACATCCACTTTTAATGGAGGTCTGTGTGATACTTGCTTTTGTGCAAATACGTGTACACAGGCCGTAAAACTCAAAGGTGGACGTGCTTCATCTTGTCTGCTTGATGGGCAGTGCTGAGATGCACATTACAAGGATTTGCTCCCGGCCGGACAGGATTTATGTAACGCTGAGTGATGTGTTTTGTGACTGCAACTCTTGTGAAGTTTAGACACGAGTCAGATACAGCTTTTTTCGCTCCTGCTGTGACTCATAAAAACTGCACAACTACACATCAGAACTCCGAGATGACAATGAATCAAAAAAAAAAGGAAAAAGAGCATCTGACCTTTTTTGAACGACTCGATGTTTGAATCAAAACAGGGGAATCTGACCCTTTTTTTTTTTTTTTAACAGTCCCACATTAGCACAGCCCCCCTGTCAGTGAATCGGCACATCAGATAAGACACCGCTCCCCTGCTACTATACACAGGGAGGCAGCTTTGCAAGGAAAACTCTAGATCCTCGCGCAAGATTTCCACTTCACTCGCTGCAGTCAAGGAGGATGAGCGAAGTATCCCAGTGCTTCAAAATCCATTAAACTTGTATTTGGGTGTCATTTGATACTTCATCAATGTTTCAGTGTATTTCAAACCCACAAATGCAGGAAGAAATACAGTGTTCGCCATATTTCCTCCTCTATGAACTTCACTTTGTCCAAAGAATTGCGCTGTAAAGACTTGCCTGGTCAGGAAGTGTGAGGCTGCGGTGATAAAATAATATCACTTGAACTGTATTTTCTGCCACAGTCTCCAGCACATAGAGCTCCTTTCATAGCGCCCCTCTGTAGTGCTTTGTCCAGTAGTTCTGGATATGATATCATCTATTAATAATGTATTGGCAATGGATTACATAAAAAGGGACCAGAAATAACATCCAATATTCATGCCCCCTGAGCTTGACTGTGTCCAATCCGTTTGGCCCATAAAACCTTAGCCCCATTTCCATATCCGCTGTGGGTCACGACAGGTCTGCCTCACAAAGGCTCACAGAACAGCTCGACTCAGGAAAGGGCAGTAAAAAATCGGGTGGATTTCTGAGCCCCTTATGAAACAGCCCCCCTTTGGAAAAAAAAAAAAAAAAGAGAAGTGAAAAAGCCCTTTTCCGATTTCAGCGCCTGTGAAAAACCTGGTACTGTATTTCCCTCTTTAATTGTGCCACTTGAGAAATTGACGTGCCTCTGAAACATGGCATGAATCTCACAGTTATTGCAGTCCCCTTGGCAGGGAATGTTGATACAACATCTGCATGCTATAGAAAGTAATGGAAGTAGCAGAGGTGGCAGCTGCAACTCTACAGGAAGTGTGCCATTTTCAGGCAGTGCTGCTGTGAGAACCACTAACTGCCAGCCTGGTCTTGCAGGCGGCTCTGATTGCCAGGACACTATGACAAACACGCAGGGGCTGGGAGTGTTGCATCCTGGGGGATGACAGCTTCTGTTTGATTGTCAATAAGGCTCATTAGCAGAAAAAATGGAGAATGCGAAAAGAGATTAAATGGCTTGAGACTGGGTCCCCCTCATGTTTCATTACAGGGGATTTATCAGCGCCTTTATTTCATCAATTCCAAATACAAAAAAAAAGAAAAAATTACCTATCGCTTTGCCCTAAAAGTAAAGATTTATCTCTATTAAATTCAGTTATTTTCCAGGCTAAATAATGACTCGCGAGCTATTCCATCAAAACAGAGCCAACAAGTGCTAATCAAGCCCTTTAAACAGCATCCACACCTTACATAAAGCTCTCGCCTCGCTCTCCCAGCCACTCTCATCTTAAGAACAGTGGCGGATGTTTCCCTCCATCTTAGGGAGGAACGGCCAACAAAGCAGCGTGTAAGGGCCTTTCCCTGAAGAGTCCTTGTCACGCCGCGCCAAACCTCTGTGATTATCGTTGTTTTTGCAGAGAGTGTCCATGCCTGCCAATACCGCTGTTCCATAAATGAATTTGGCCCCTCGTCAACGAATTACCTAACACGCAGAACTGTGTATGTGTCACATCCAATTCCAACTCACCGGCTTTGCTGGTGTGTGTCAGCTGGAGGACTTAATCATCAATCGTCAATCATAATAAGCGAAGCACATTGATAGGGCTCCCTCTTTTTTCCCCTCTCTCTCCTGCTCCTGTTAAATAAAGTGTAAAGGGAGAAGTTAAAGCTGACCTTGTTAAATTGGGACCACAATTTATATTCCTAATTTAGTGTATGGATTAATTAGTCTTGTGTGTGTGTGTATCAGTTTCCAGAGATATACCCACTTGATCAAATCATCGCTCGCGTTCATAAAGAAAGCTCTGGAAAGAAATCTGTCGGTCTAATCGTGAGTTTTTTTCCCTCAGAACTGGCTTTGCATGTTTTTAGCGGCACACTTTTAATTAATGCTTAATTGGACAATCTTTAGAGAGGACTTTTCCAACATGAGCTGCTAATCAATAACTGCTATCTGACATCATACAAAATTAATCAGTAGGACCTGTTATCAGGCCTTAATGCAACCGCACACTCGCACGCACACACACGTGTAACATGCTAACTGGCAAAGCGTGCGTTTTGCACAAGGCAGAGGAATCTGGCTCATATTTTCCCTCGCCCTGATCCAATCCACTCCTCTCTCCCCGTCATATAGATCGGAGTCTGCGGGGGCCAGAGGCGCTGACAGAGCCCAGATGCTCCCAGTCTGTCTGGGGGGACTGGGGAGACTGGTGCCATGGGGTCCTGGAGCCTCTGAAGTGCCGCCCCTCCGTCAACATGACCAAGGCTAGACCTGCACTTTCTCCAGGCTGAGACACTCTCCTTACCACGCTGACATGCCGCGCTGCATAGTCACAGATTGATACATGCAGGGATACACGCTCGCAGGAGCCCCCGCTCTCACGTTATGCATGGCCGTTCATCAGCCGGTCCTAATTAGAGACCCCCAGACCAGCACTCGAGTTCAGGAGGTTACAATGACACACTGATACAAGGTTACCAACATGCACACGCTCTCATGCTGATACCTCTCAGGGCTTCTTTTACTTTCTCATTTAATCCTGCTCCGTCTCATCATCACTGTCCTAATCTTGCTCGTGTAGGGGGGGGTCTCTTTGTTCTTAAAAAACAAAACAAAAAGAAAAAGGCACCATACCAATCCTCCATCCTCCCTTGTTCGCTCTCAAAACACAAAGATCATTACAAGAGCATCAAAGTGTGCCATGTTTGAGATGATACTTGTCTTTGTAGTCATGGTGTAGCGTGGAGTGTGTTGGTATTAGATGCTGCTGTGGCAGCTGTCGTGGCTGGCTGCGCGGTGCCTCAGTGTCAGGGCCTCGGAGGCCCCGGCTGTCCCGGCAGACAGACAGAGGGGGAGGAAACCTGATAGTGCAGCCAAGCCCAGTCTAATGTCTGTCTATCCAGCTATCTATCCCTGTGCCTATCTCTCTGACTGACTGACTGTTGGACGCTGCCTATCTGCATGCTGGATACTCCTCTGGCTTCCCAGCAGCAGCACTCTGCTTGCGCTTAATATCATCCAAAAAGTTTCTTGTTTCTTTTTAAAGTTTTTAGGGAAGAATAAAAGCCGCTATTTGCGAATCACCGATGTGGCTGCAGGATTAACTTCTGCAGGGAACCCCTCTAAGCCCCTACCTGTGCCAAGGGGTTGCAGGTCGTGATAACATTTGAATTATGAGCCAACATGTATGAAGAGTAAGAGATGGGAGCACAGAGTGTGTTTGTAGTTGATGTGGGGGGAAGAAAATTGTTCTATAATGAGGAGGGGTGCCAGGATATGAGATGGGAAGTGGGGAGTTGGAGACAGGATATAAGTTATGAGAAGGAAACTAATGTTGGGAAATGCAGAGGTTGTTGTTGGCGAATAAGTTAAAATGTATCTTATCACCATCCGCTAAGATTAATACAGCTGGCCAGGTCAAAAGACTCGCACTAACACTCTCAATGCCACCAACTATATCCTCGCTCTTTCTGGGGGCTCAAATGAGTGTGTGTTGTATAGCAGGAGAAAGTGTGTGTGTGTGTGTGTGAGGGGGTTAATAAATGTTGAATCAAACGCCGCACGAGACACTCACACTCCTTAAGGGTTGCCCATTAGCGGTGTGTGGGTGCATGGGGAGTTTATCAGTGTCTGGGTGATTTATGAAGTCAGACTCAATATCATCCACTTCACCCACACACATATGGACATACACATGTGCACACACCAACACGCATGGCCACATGCTCACACGCGCACACACACAAACGCACGCATGAGCATGCAGCAGCACATGCACTTGTGCAGTCTCTCTCTCACTCTCTCTCTCTCACTCTGAATTGGAGACAGATATTAGGCCAAAATTAAAGGTTTCACAGAGATTAACAGTGCGGATGATGAGATCGTCTCAGCCTCTTTTTAATCTAATTCTTTTTTATCTCGGAGCCAGCATGATACGGAAGTGGTACACACGAACCTCAAAATAATACAGACATAATAATAACGGCGCTGCTAATGCTTATAACTACTAAAAATGGCATTAAAACGGAGGAAATAAAAAGGTGTGAATTATTTTAAAGGGGTTCCTCTGGTACCTAAGCAATTACATGGCCAATTACTGGCAGCATGTCTGCAGCTTTGATGCTGGACTTGTTTTTAACATCAAGCACAGGACTCTGCAGACATCAGTATCTCTGGTTGCTAAATTCATAGCATTCCTTAGAATTTACTTAGCCACAAGCAAAAAAAAAGGAGGGTGCTTACAGTGCACTTCAGAGTGCGCCAGGCTTAAATGGGACCCCTTGTGGCTGTGTCACAGCTCCCTTCGTTAGGGGGCTGACTGTAGCCTGTAGTCACCACAGGCATCATTAGCCCTCTGTGAAACCACAGACTGAGTCTCATTCTTCATCTGCCTGTCTGCTGCCTCAACATCTCCGCTGCCACGGTGCTCCTCCAAACGGCAGAGGAAGTGAGTCCAGCAGCAGCAGCAGCAGCAGCAGCAGCAGCACGGTGAGACAGCCACACGGAGAAGGATCGGATAAGAAATTCAAAAATGCAGCAAAGTTCAAATGTATTCAGTGAGCGGGCCACTTGAATGGGCTCTGAAAAGGTTAGTGCTGAGGTTATTTTTGGAGGGTGGATTATTAGGCTACCTGGGCTGCACAGAAGAGGAATAACTACGGGCCAGTAAGGGTCACTCTGGAGCTGCACTAGACTGTTAGGAGAATGAAGAATTTAGCAGCTAAAAAAAAAAAAAGAGACGAAACTGTCAATGTAACAGACTATCAGGAGAGAAAAAGTGTGAAAGAGGAGGAAAGGACATTTTCAATTAAAGCAACTTATTTATCTAAATACACGCCGCTGCCGTCGCCACCACTGCCCTCTCCATATGGTCTTTTTAAAGAAGGAATAATTTACCCCGCTGGGATTAAACAGGGATGTGTTAAAAATAAAACCACACATAAACATTTAAGTTACAGATTAAATGTGCAGGATGAATTCAAGGTTGAAATGTTGATTCCTGTTTCCCGTTCTGTACTGCCCTCTAATGGAAAACACTCCTCAGAAATAAAAAAAGCAGCTCTGACATGCAGAGAGAGCTGCAGCGAAGAGACAAGACATACAGCATAATTAATTATGAGCCGAAGTGAGTGAACGCTACATGAAATCAATTTTAAAATTAAATACAATTAGAGTGATGAAAAGGCAGGATTTGTCAGTTTGAGATGTATTTATTTAAACATGTCTAATGTAACTCAAGTGCAGTATATAATGCATAAGACGTGTCGGCTCTAGGTGGATTGTAAGGCGAGAGCAAACAATGAGATCTAAATGAAGACAAAACAAATGCTCACTACAAAGCTTTGTAGCAGTAAAATTCAGAGCCTTTATCACTGGATGTTGAACAAAGCATTCACTTGGCAGGAAATTAAAAAACCAACGAGAGGTACAAAGACTAATTCTGCTCAGGAAAAAAAAAAAAAAAAAAAAAAACAACAACAACAACAATGCGAGAGACATATTTTTAAGGGAATAATAATTCTTTAGAAAAACCATTCCAAGCACTATCTGGCAAACGCAACGGAGACCCACGGGAGCATATGTTTGTAATTCCTACTGTTCTCTGTTTAAGTTATTTTTGTACATTCTAATTCTGCAACAACTCTGTATCACATTAACTATGCAGTATCTCTATTCTTAGATTTAAAACAAAAAAAAGCTGTTTAAACCAAATATCTACAATAGCTCCAGTTGTTCCACAGAGTGTGCCAAGCTCCCTAAACTTTATGGCCCTGTTTTTGTGTTTTTCAAAAACACCGTCCTCGTCCGTGTGTGTGCGTGAGTGTATATGTGTGTGTGTGTGAGTGTGTGTGTTGGTGTGTACTGAATGAAGGACAGTTGGCCTCTGTCATGCGTTAGCCTTCCCCTCTCTGCCTCTCATGGGTGAGCAGCCATTGTTTAAGATGGTCGCCCTTGCCGCTCATGTACGGCCCACTCTGTCCACTGCTCGAAATGACTCGGTGGCAGGGGATGAGGAGAGGAACCTGGCACGCACAAACACACACACACAGACACACACACACACACACGGGGCAAAGAGATTAAAAATTGTGAGGGAACAATCATGTTTGAAAAATAATCAAAAACATCATCAAGAACACAAAGAGGTTTAAAAGCACACGTTTCATTTTCGTATCATTATTTGTGCTCATTTTATAAGTTTAAATTCTAACTTTAAATATTAAAACTTTATTTAAGATCAGCATGCTTTCATAAAACTATGCTGTCCTGGTATAAAACTTGTATTTAAGGGAGAAAAAATAGTGCTTTTTTATTCTTGGGTTACATTTGTTGTCAGGGCTGTACAACAGTTGGAGTTGTTGATATCGGATATGTATTATGTATGAAAGAAACTCTGATTTATCCTTTAAACGGTGTGACTTAAAAGTAACCAATGTGCAGAAAATATGAATCTGCACTTTCTTTTTTTTTTTTTTTTTTTCGCTTTTAATGTTCCCGCACTGCATGAGGAAACAAAGTGCCACCACAAGTGTCTGGTTTGATCCTGCACAAATCCACATTCAGGGTGATGGCTCAGTCTTTGGGTATAAATGTTTTTACTCTTTAATAGTGTAAAGCAAAGAAGCAATCAAAAATTAATGGGCAAAAACACCAGCAGGATGAATATTCAATCGAGAGGGTGTCAACATTAAGATCTGATAACCCTGTGATCATTAAAAAGAGGAAGTCGGTGGAGCGTTTACTCTTGTTGCAGACGACTGCCAGGGGGGTCCCGAGTTCTTTGTAAACTAAATGGCTGGAGAAAGATTAAACAAGCAAGCCTAAAACACTTCGATCATTGTGAATTCAGAACAAGAAGAGAGGCAATGGTTGGAGTGAATCACAGCAATTATTTCTTTTAAAATATTCTTAATGCTGCCCTCATTCTCCGCTTCCTACACTGAAATGGAAAACACCACATCTGCTGCTTTGTGACTGTTTTTCTCCAATTTAACCAAGTTATCCTGACACCTCCAGCCTTTTATATAAAAGTTGGACATGCAGTGTGTGTTCGGTTCAAATCCATCATTAAACCTGCTCCCATATCAACAGCAATAAAACTTTCCGAGCCCCAGATTAACCTTGCAGAGAGAGAAATACTGCTCGAGTATTCGGATCAATACTGTTCCCCGGGTTTGGAGGGAGAGCAGGGTACCCTCAAGGCCTTCGGATCTGCTTCTTCACTTGGGGGGAAAAGAGCACTACACCAGGCTTATCAATACTCAAATCCTGGTGAAGAAGAAGTGCCACAGAGAGGCTAGGATCGATTGAGCACACTGAGCTTTTCGCAGCTGAAGCCTGAGTGGAGCAGCGCTACTGACAAGTAATTGACACTGACAATCTGACTCTGGATCTGTATCAGGAGCTGAGGGCTCAGGCTCCCAGCCTGCCTGACGAAAGCAGAGAAATGTCTGTAAAACATGAGACTGAGAGGTATTATACAGCCATCCAGGAGCAACGCCATTGGCTAATGTGGTATAAAAGTCAAATAAGTAGATGGCGAGTACATTCGAAAACACACCCGTGATATTTTAACGGTCAAGACTGTGTCGGAGATGACTTTTTATTCCAAACAAGTCACTTTTCCTTCCATTTTAAGAACCAGAACTGTGTCAGGAAAGAAAAAAAAAACAAAGCACTTAGATGAGGATGTGCACGAGCTATTTCACAACACATAAGAGGAAGAATATCTCACTGGCTGTACGAGAAGTGCTCTCTGCCTCACAGAGCACACCGGTGGTGCCCACAGCACTACATGGGCAGAGCTAAACGGGCTTTGATCAAAGGGTTTGATCAAAAGAAGACACACCACTTGCCCTCTAGCCCTCCATTTTGTACACAGTGGATTCACGGGCGAAAACGATGCGGGCCAGGTTTCCGACAAGAAGCGGAGATTTGCAGCGAACATCTACAGTAAAGACTTGAGAGGACGGGAACAAAAGGTGTGGGCTTAAAATTGTGCTGTAGGTAGACTTTCACGTCTCAGCCGCTCTCGGAGGGAGGCGTTTGTTTCACACGTTGCACATATTGGAACACACCTACGGTTCGGATTACGCATCACAAAGACACTGCAAACATTATTTTACAGGAAAACTCAGGTGAAGTGCTATTTTGCTTTTCCACATGCCCATAATCAGGGAGGTAAGCTGACAAACCATCAACTCAGGTGTCTTCAAAAAAGCAAAAACTTTCCATCCTAAAACTTGTTTCTGCTCCTGGATTTATGTCATTATTTTTTATTTTAACAGCCTTGTTTTTTTAGACTTCACGTTTTTTTTTTAACATGTGAGAATTTTTAATTAAAGAGCAAATTAATGTCTATTTTTATGGTTTATGTGGAGGTATTTTTAATAGATCCTTAAGTCTTTGAGAAATAAAATAAAACAACCAGTAGGCAGTAATTTAAAAGAAAGAAAAAGGTGCAAATCCTCATAATTTAGAAGATGAAGAAACCCAAAGAATGAAAAAGTGACTAAAATAGATGTAAAGTTTATCATATTATCGGTTTACTGACTTTTTCAGTTAAATAATAAAAGGATCTGTTGTGAAAATCCTCATTTAAACACCCTTCAACAATTACTCGCTCTTTATTTCAACACAACATGTAAGCTCACTGACAAAAGTAATCAAAATGTAGGACCTGAATCTGAAAAAGCAATGACTTTCCCTCTCCGACTGAATGAAGTAAGTAAGAGAGAGACCTGTCAATCAATGTCAGCCACACTCACCGGGTTCCTCCTCATGGCCCCTCCCACAGCCCGCACCGCTTTGGGGTTTCCCGCCATCTCGGCGAGGCGTTTGTATGACACCGTCTCTCCAAACTTCACATCCCTCAGAAGTACGTGCAGCACGTGGCTGGTGAACGCGTCTTTTTTTCCAACGAAGCGGAGGAAGCGGGAGAGAGAGAGACAGGAGGAGAGAGCAGAGGAAGAGAGAGTTCCTCATTTAATCCATCAAACAGACAGCTGACCGGAGATAATGGTAAAAACACAACAGTTTACAACAGCCTTCATATTAACTTACAGTATGTTTCAACTCTTACACACCTCTTCACTCTGGTCTACTTAATAGTTTCTTCATCGAGCCAGAGAGTCCAATTCCTCTTCGAAATGACCCTGAACTACTCCCACTTTTCCTTATAATACTCATTAAACAACTGAATACGTACAAGTCCCTCTATTTGACCTCAGAACTAGTATCAACATGCTACAGAAGTGGATGGGAGAAAATTATTTCTCTGCCAGAAAAATCTAGGTTATGCTTTGAAAGGTCACAGCTAAAATTAAAAAAGTTCGCTCCTTCATTTAAAAGGATTAAGAGAGGCCAAAAAGACTGCAAATCTGCTCCAGATTTTTAATAATAATAATTTGAATGTTGCATACCATTTGTGGCAGTGGGATGACTTTGAGGTTAATCAGACCAATTTGTCCTTTTAATTGCTTTCTATTCAGAGTAGATTCATTATATCATCTTCACTTAAATGGCGGAATTCTTCAAATCATCCGCAGCTTAACCGACCACATTAACGGCTTTGATTTCATTAGCACTTTAGCAGTAGCATTATCGTTTTTTTTCTGGATTACCAGGCAGTGAGTGACTGAGCGGCATGTTTGTCTAGCTCTGAAGAAAAGAAGAAGAAAAAAAAAGAAAAAAAAGGGGGTAAAAGTATTTGAAGCATCTGAAAACCTCGAGACGTTCATGCGCCGAGCTTGTGTCGCGGGGCGAACAACACTTTTTGTGAGCACGCAGAACAAGACGGGGGAACAATGGTCTTGTTATCAGGAGGGGGTGACACTCTTCTAGTATATACATGTACTCAGTCATGAAAATTCAATTAGTGATCTCCCATTCTCTCTCATTTATATGGTCTAAGAGAGCACATGACAAGTGATCTATGAGAAATCCCTCTAAATTGGCATTGTGTGAAAACATGTCACACCCCTGTCTCTCTTCTACAGAGTGAACATCCTTTGCTCCCCAGGCTCCCTCGCTACCTTATAGTCACTCTCCGCTACACAAAGCCACGCGAACAAGGCAATTTGCCTAAACTGGGGGGAATAAGTGTAAAACCTAAAGGGGATATATTTGATTGATGCGCACCCATGTGAGTTCTTTGTCTTGAACAAGGCCCGTAGGTACTGTTTAATAATTTTTCAGGTAATAATCACGCTGTCAACGAGATGACGGGCTCTTACACAGACAGACTTAATGTTATGAGGAGATAAGATACACCCCTGAAATTTCTTTTATGCATTATTCTGCCTAATAAAGCTCCGATTTGGCCACATAACATGCGTGGTATCACTTTCTCGCTTAGATGACAACTTGCCCAGGCGGTGGCTATGACAAATCCCCCCGATGATGGGAACGTTATTGACAAACAACCAAAGTCGGTGTCACACCAGCAGACACCGCCGAGCACTTTCGCCCACTAGCATACGGAGCAACAAGCTACAGGGCTGTTTACACCTTTTTTTAAGCTGTTTCTCCTGGAAGATTTCTCATCTCCAACAGTTCAGGACAAAAAAACAAGTATCCGCGCTTCTATTTGCCCGTGCAGGGGTTAAAGAACTTTGCCCTCATCAGTGTTAGTGACAGAGACTTCATGCGGGTCACTCGAGGTGACCAGCAATGATTTGGAGAGCGGTCCCCCAGCCCCATACTTCATAAAGAGCCTAATACGCTGTGTCTGAGGTCAGGACCCTCTTTAGATGGGGTGCAGCGATGTCAATTGTTTAAATAAAAGTTGAGAGGAACCACTTACATGTTTACAGACATCCCATAATTATGTCACAGGTCATTACCTAGCATGAGGCCAGGTGATGGGGCCACTGCAGAGGCAGCGGCAGGGACAGACTGAGCCGGAGGAAAATCGAAGAGATCCACTGATTATAAATGTATTGACATGTATGATTTATTTGCTCATAATTTTGAATTAGAGAGCAAATTAAAGGGATAAAATCAATAAACTCCACTCCATCCGGCTGTGTTTCTGCTAGATTTGGAGAGATGACTTCCAGCTTACAGTCGCCTCACACATGGCAGTGACAATAAAAAGACAATAGTGGAAATGCAGCTCCCTCATTATCCTTTGTGTCTAATGGGAGGGAAGACTTTGACTCCCAGTCAAAGTGTCTCTTGAGTCTTGAGGGATCCCTACTTTTGAAGGCTGACGGGGTGCTGATGATTCTCTGATTATTCGATATTCTGAAAACGTTCATTTCCCTAATTCCTCTCCACATCACAGGGGCGAGTCCTGGTGAGTGTCTCATCTCGCCCTGCGCTGTGCACAGGGGGAGGTTCGGGCTCCTGCAGGAACACAGTCATTTGGGCTTTGAAGAGCGCCCTTCCCCCCCTTTGCCTGGCCCCCTCCCCGCATATTCCCCGTGCCGCTTACCGAGACTAAGATCCTCTCGTCTGTTACATATGGATGTATAATTAATGAGATAAGAATATGCATCGTTTTAAGAACTCGCGATGGTGTCTGTGTTTTATCTGAAAAAGCGTGTGCACGCGCGCACAAACATACACACAAGCCCCCGAACAGGACACACGCACGCACTCGCCATCCCTTCGCAACCGAACTTCCGTGTGATGTTGCCGTGACAATCAGTCAGAAAGTGAAGGAGAAAAAAAAAAAAAAAAAAGCGCACTTTGCGTCTCTTTCATGTCACCTCTGTTGCTCAGGTATGTCGTGACAGCTAATATGAAAAGTGGCTTGTTTTGTCAGAAATGTGTAAATAAACATGGCAACACTTCAAGTGAAGGTCACAACTCAATATTACATGACAAGTGCAGCGAGAGCGCTGTCGCGTTCCGGGTTCTCCCACAAGATAACTGAGCAAACAAAAGTTGGTTGTCACAGATTGTAATGACCTGATTAAACTTGTATTTTTTTCCCAGGCAGGCACCCACTCCAGGACAAGATGGAGGAGGAATTTGTACAGCACTAAAGCAGAAACTAATCCTTAATATTTCTGAATCAACAAGCAGGAAAAAAAAAGGAAACCCTCTATTTTCCTCCCTCAAAAGACAAATACTCTTGATGCTCACATTTAACATTTTTATACTGGCATGGCCTATGGTTCTGACTACTGAGAGCAATCCAAGCCTAAACCCTGTATTTACTGAGCCCCAAAACAACAGGCGAGGGAGAGAGGTGGAACACAGCACAATCACCTATTCAGATCAGGTACTAATGAAGAATTCCATCTATCCTGAAATTTAATTAAAACCCCAAAGACTTCAGATGAGATGCGATTTGAAAGAGCCTGGGGCTGGTACACAAGCACTTGGTGGCGAAGGGAATCACACTGAAAGTTGATATCGTAATTGGTCCTGATGTATTTCTGCATTGCCTTCGCGGGAGCGTGGGACTCATAGCTGTATACAGGGTCTCGATGGAGTACCTGCTCATTGAAAATGCCATCACTCAAGCACTGCAGATCTGCATGAAATTAGAGAGCAACTAAGGCCTGATTGCAGGGGAAGAGAGGTACAATTGTTAAATGCATATATTAAGATTTTTTTTTTCTTTCTCCCTGTGTAGGTGTGCTTCTGGGTGTAAATGAGTGCTTTAAGTTAAAATGCAATGAGCGTCTCGGTGTGACAAAGAAACAGTCTGTAATTGTTTTGGAAAGCGGGAGAAGTTTATGATTTGAAAAAAAAGGAAAAAAGAGTTGTCAGGCTGCGAGCGTCGCCTGTTTCCTCAAAACACAAACGCCACGGGGTAATTAATTCCTCATTTTTACTCCTCGGCGTCCTCCGTCACTCACTCTGGAGTCCCTTCTAGTTGAAAGGCCGCTAATTGTCCGTTTTTGGGGTGCTTTCATTTTATTCGCCCTAGGTGACTGGTCAAGCCAACAATAAGCTCATTCAAACTTCAGCACCATTCACATGTTGTCATTGAAGAAAAAAAAAAAAAAAAAAAAACGCTTCCTGTCTGAAAATGTCAAGAGTGGAATTCGATCAGTTTCAAAGAATGTGCCAAGAATCATGGAAAAGCTTGCCAAGACTAACACGCGTGGTAAGAGCTGCCACAGATTACTGAACCAAGTTACAGCTCTGTGTTCTGTTCTCTCTCCTCTCGCTCACCCACTCCCTCGCCTCTCACTCTCTCTCTCTCCCTCTCTCTCTCAGCCATAAAATACTTCATTATAACACAGTGAGCCAGTGAGTGTAAGTGATGTAACTGACAATTAAGAGTGAAAGCCTGATCCCAGTCATGGCTCTGCAAATATTTATCCGTGACAGACCTCCTTGCAGGGCGGGGTGGTGAAAGGCAGGGAGCGGGAGACTCCCAGTGGTCTGCGGCTCACTGAAGTACGCCTGGAGCCATTCGATGCAGCGCTGCAACTCGGGGCTCGTTTCTGCCGGGCTATCGTTGACCACACAGCTCAGGGGGGCCGCACTGCTCCTGTGAGGGATATAAGGCAGGATGGGGAGTTGAGGTGGGGATCAGAGGAGCAATCATAATACCCTATTCTTGGTTGAACTGTGCTAAAATATGGCACCAGAGTGTAATAACATGCCACAAGTGACACAGATGCAAGATGACATAATTTGAGGAGTGAGGCTAAAGTTGCTAATCAAGACGTGCTTAAAATCTCAAGTTTTGCGTTTTGGCGTCGCTCCTGTTACCCGGCCTGTGACAAAAATCAGAGCCATGGAAGACAGGGGAGGGAAAAAGATCAAGACTGCAATCCAGACTTTTTGTAACCGTAGGTATACATTATATGAAGTGCAGTGTGATGGAGTATGAAAGAAAACATTGTCGGTTTCACGAGGAGTGGTGCGAACAGTTTATTTCAAACAACTTTAAGGAAGCAGAACCAGCCTTGGAAAGGAATAAAAAAGAGTTTTCAAAAAAAGTCTAGCAGCTGTTTAGGGAAAAAAAAAAGTTCAAATTGAACAACAGCTTTAACCCTGCTTAGGTCTAGTTTATAGTTCATGACAAGAATAAATGGATTTTTTGGCCAGAGCAGAGCTGGCCAGCAAAGCGCTGCACTTGGACGTGCATCTTAGCATGAGTAGATGCTTGGAGGAATTTGCCGATGGTTGAGTTGGCATCACTTAACAGCTGAATTTCTCTCTGCTGCTGACCACCCCCCAGGTCAATGCAAGCAGACTGACCCATATTTGACACTTAAAGACCCTACTGGGAAGGTCCTCTCTTAGCATGTGCATTACTGCAAAGTGGACCTCAAGCTGTGTTGTGGATCTAAAGCTGGCCGCCAATTCCATTAACTGGTGTACAGGACTTATAAATAAATAATATCACCATTTAAGTGCCCCCTTTTTAAAATTGGCTTATCCTGTACGGTATTAATAATAGACATTTACTTTGTTAAACACACAGACCGTCTCTCTCCTGGCCGCCGTTACAACACGGCCCTAAAGTGTTTTTACACTTCTGCAGGTCACAGTTTGAGCAGCCTTTTATATTGGACATGTGAAGCCGAGGTTTACTGGAGTGTTATGACTGAGCGGGTCACTTTTTCAGGGGGAAAAAACTGCTCTGCCTGCTAGTTTGTGGCTGTGTGATGAAAATCTCCTGGGTGCCGTTTAACGGTGGGTGTAAATACAGTAAAATGTGTAAATACTCTCATTTCTAAATAAACCGCGCAGCAGTTCATAGTTGAGTGGTGAAAACTCAGAAACCCACCGGCGGGTCCTGTGCTGAGACCCGCTCAAACAATGGCCATGGCTCATGGCAATCTCTGTCGGCATGGGTGAGTGCCCAGCCAGCCCCTACTTGTCATTGTCTCTCCTTTCTATCCCTCCCCTTCCTCCCCCCCACCTCAGCTCTCCCTCCTCATTTCCCCCTCTCTATTTCTCTATCCTCCCACTCCAGCTCTTTTGGCTCCCCACCACCTACACCCCCAGACACACACCCACCATCCCCCCACCTCTCTCAGCAAGGATCTTCAGGCCACTGTTCCCTCTCTCCAAACCTTCCTCCCCTCCTCCCCTCCCAACCCGCCTCCTCCCTCCAACACCACCACCACCTCTACCCCTCCACAGCCTCTCTTTCTCTCTGAGAGGATGTTCCAGCCGCTGCACACTGACAGCTCGGGGATATTGTGTGTGGAAATGTTCCTGTTGGACCCGCAGGCCCTTACAATCTACCGGACAAAGGCTAGAGCACCTTTGCTTAAGGCTTGCCACCTTTGACCTCCAGCTCACACTTCAGACTTGTCACCGTGGCTAATTTTTGCTCTCCCCTCTGCCCTCCGCTGCGGATGCGCCAGCTTTAAAGGTGCTCTGAGTGATACAACATTGACAGTAGTAAAAGTTAATGCAATGCAGTACATGTTATGGCTGGTAAACAACACCAAAATAAATAAATAAAAGTGGAACAACATCAGTCGGGCTGAAGTCTGTCACCTCTAGGTGCAATGGGGGATTGTTTTTAAAGAGCATGTGGGCAGTGGAGATGTAGCTTCTGCGCTTGGCAACATTTCCAGACGCTTCAATGAATCACAAATCAAGCAGCATCATATGATCTTTACAGAGCCCAGAGTGGCACTTTACAAACTCTGCCCTTCAGATGAGAGATTAGAGATAAATGCGGGGCTGATTACAGGAGAACTCTTAAGAAGATGAGACCTCCCTTTAACTGTCACCTCCTCGCATTAAAAAGCTAACAAACTTAATTAGTCGTCTTTATAAAAAGCGTTTTAACAACAACGCTCGAGCGGTTTATTTTTCATTTGAACGAACCCTTTAAATACAGGTAAATATAACTCATTATTTATTATCCTTGTCTGGTTACAATCCTGTTCCTATAGTATCCTTCAGGCTATGACTTTTTCATCACAGGTAAGGAAATAAGAAACTAATTCCAAACTACCCAGGATCTGCTGCACTAAAAGGAATATTTCCCCTGGTACGAGGTTGTGATTTGAGAAAATTTCTAATATTGTGCTCCTGTCACAATCAATTTCCAATTACCATAAATCATTGCTGCGTAAAGTGGGAGTCATTTGGAGTTCTGCCTCTTTTCCAGCTCTAATATAAGGAATGAATTGAGCATTTATATAATGTTGGGAGGTTATTTCATTCATCCTGGAAGAAACAATCAAATGAGACAAAGGATGGAAAAATAGCTGGCATTAAATTTGTCAATTTCCTTCAGCATATTCTGTGTCTCTACTTGCACAAGACTTCAGAGGGACTTTTTCTATCAGCGGCAGGCGTAAGAATGAAACAGGTTAACCACAGGATCTAATTGAAAGGAATCTGGCGAAGGGTGTAATGGTATATTGCACAAAAAGGGGGAAAAACTCAGAACTCATGCCTCCCTCCTGTGAAGCGTGATGGCGCTCATCCTGACTCGATCGGCTGTCACTTTTGACACAGCCTGCCAGAGTTCTCCTTCACCGATCATGGGTAACATGGCGGGTCAGAGGATGAAATAGAAAAGGCCAAGAGCAGTCCAATATTTTCCTCAGCCTTATAGCTCCAGATACTTAACTCAGAGACGTCAAAGACTCAAGAGAGCATGAAAAAAGCCTAAAATGACTGTCTAAAAAGGGAAAAAAATACAGCATGTCTCTATGAATGTCAAGATCCTGATGGTCTCTGAGCCAAAGGCTGTGATACAATTGTAAGCCACTTGCTCAATGCGGCTCGTTCAACCGTTTGAAGATCATTCAGATGCCTATCTAGCTACTGCAGCACTAAAGTGGAGAGCTCTCGGAGTGGTTAGCTGTAAGGATTGCTTCCTATTCTGTTGAGGGGCGTGCGTTTTGTGCTCCGCCGTTTCAAAATAAAAACAACTCGGCCGGATAAACGGCTCTCTAGATATCCAACAACTCTTATTAGCGAATGTCCGCTGAAGAGGCCGCAACACTCCATCCAATACATAAAGGTGGTGGTGGTAAAATACTGCGGAGTAGGCAACAAAGCACACAACAATTAGGTCTTCTCCCAACTGGCTAGCCACAGGAGTCAGTGAAGGCATGTATTACCAGAGCCTTAACTCTTACTCCATTATGTAGTGTATCCACACCGAGGCGCAGCAATGTTTATCTACAACAGACTACTGAGCAGTTTCAAATAGTGTTTTTAGCCTCTATTCTCAAGTGCCACAGTAAGAGATTCCAATTACCCGAATGGTAAGGAGCCAGTGAGGGAGGCATAAAGTACATTAGGGATCCCCTGTAACTGCAGGGACCTTTTAGAGCCTCAACTGAAGAGGGCCAGGAGACTGGGGGGACAGTGACCCTGCATGGATAGCCTCTGTCAAAATTTGACCACGTCAAGCTCAAAGGCATTATGGGAATCCAGTGTCACCAAGTCCTAATTACTGTCTGTGTTCAGAGCAAATTACTGCCTTGTTCCTCTGATTAGCGAGGAGGCTAATCTTCACCTGTGTACGCCAGCACTGCTGAGGGCCCTTGAGTGTTAGCGCTTCGTCTTCTGTAATTTATTTTTAAATCAGTGCCCGCTCCCAGGAGTTTTGAGTGTTTTGTTGTGAACCGCTTACCATGATCCCCACCACCGCCCCCTCACCCCTAAATCCTTGACTAAATCCTTGTTTGGTGCCGCAGGAAGATAAGCAAGAACAACACTTGGGCATAATTGACTCGTACTCCTCTCCAAGATGTCAGAGCGGAATCATCTCTCTGCATATTGCCTTAGTATGTCACACACTGTACACTTCTGCATGTTGCAGATATAGAATCCAATCAAGTTCTAAAACAAACTAGCACAACCCCCGTGCCGGAGAAACTTCCTGGTCGACAGCAGGGAGAGGAGGAAAAAAAACAGCAGGAGCTGCTTTTAGCTGCATCTCCTCACTGAAGGGTAACTCTCGCTCCACTCTCGTCCTCACCCTGGAGGTTCTGCTTTAGAAACCACAACATTTGCAGATTTTCATCCCAGTGAATGTCAGTGTCTCGTCTGCGTGGGGCGGTTTACAGGTAGTGTGTTACACAGGTGTTGGTTTACACAGGAAATGGCACATGCAGCCTGATTGGGATGGTCCCGGGAGATGGAGGCATAAACATAGAGCACAGATGGGTCCAGGGGCCAGTGGGAGCAGCACCTTAATGAATACGCAGCTGAGTACTACACTTCACAACATGCAAAACAATATTCTAAGGCCACAGTAAAAAATAGAACAAAAATCATCTGAATATCATTACGGCATGAATTATTCATACCATTTCTAAAGGGACCACGTCAAAAAGTCTCCCCTCTGCTTTATTGATGATTTCATTCAATAACAGATCAGCAGATCGCCGTTTGTATGACAAAGCATTTTAGTCACAAACACAAGCACTTTATTTAGCACAGTTATGACTCCACATCAGGCAAAACAAGAACTCAGATTGATTAAAAAGACGTGTTAGACGAGATATTAGAGATCCAGAGAAAAGAAAAAGGAGACAGAGCGGAGAGAAATAATAGGTAGGAGGAAAAAAAATAAGTTCTTGATATGGTTCCCAGTGTGTGAGCACATCATGTAAACAGGCACCAAACAGGGAACACATTTACCATACCTCTATTCAGTGTGAACCAGGACATTGATTCACAACACTACATGAGTGTGAGAAAAACGATAAATGCATCACCTCAGATATTTCACACCAACGCTGGTAGTGTGTAAAAGCTGTTGTGACAGCTTGGGTATTAGAGCTAGATAGATGGAAAATGTCTGGCTGCTTATGAATGCCAATGTGACCCGGGTGACGGCTTTGACACAAAAACACTCCACCTCAGAACAATTAGGCTGTTCTCAGGCCCCATCCAGTGTTGTCAGTGATAATGGAAAGCTGTGAGGATAACTGGTGATAAATAGACTTTAACACCCTCCTCCTTAAGACCAATGCAGTCCTGCAGTCCTCTCATATGCTTAACTAATCATGACCATGGCCGGCAAATTCATACAAAAGACTAATTACTGTTGTACTTCACTTCAGTCTCAAAGGCCTCTTATATAAGGACTTGGGGGTTCTCTTGCCTCTTTTCTCCTCTTGATGGGTATTTTTTTTACAAGTAGGTCTGGTGCTAGACAAAAGCATTTAAAAATTGGTGATTGCTTTCATCCGCTTTAATTACATTCAGAAATGGCATTTCTGCCACATAATACACCCCTATTGTTTCAGAATTATCTGGCTTGGGGAGTAAAATCTACAATATTTGACGATGCTCCCGAGCTAAATCGCCTCTTGAAATTGAAATATGCAGCCGAAATACAAAATAAAAAGCCAGCCTTTGCTGCTGATATACTGGAAGCTCCTTGGCTTTCTGCAGAATGCTATTATTATGCATATCCAGGTAGAAAGTTAATTAACCCAAAGCTTAAGCTAATTATGGTAGCAGAATGCTATCAACCAAACGCTTTCAGTCAGACAGCTGTCCAGAATTTCATTTGCTAATCATTTGTCTTTTGCAGGAGCATATGGTACATTTCCCCACTATCACAGCAACAACAAACAGATGAAAATCATTAACTAAAAACAATGTGCAATGTGAAAAATCAGACACAGATTTATTCGGCTTTGTGCCGGAGAAAAAAAGGCGGATTTATGGCCTGGGAAATATAAAGATAATTTTGGGTTTTAGCCACTTAGGATTTTAGGCAGAGCACGTGACCCGTGTGTGCTGGGAATTCAGATGCACAAATATATTGTTTATATCTATATGCAAATGAGACAGAATGTTTATCCGTGTAAAGTTAATTACAATTTTTCTATAGAAGCATATGCAAAAAGCTTGTTCTTGACAATTTTTAGCTTCTAGCACATTTTGTGCCTGCTTTTTCAAACACAACATTTTTATGTTGTTAAAAGTAGAAATCCCTCAGCTCAGAATTAAATCAATTATTTTCCAAGAAATGCTTCATGCATTATTTTCTCTTTCTTTTCATAAAAACACATCACACTGGCTGTTAAAGGGTGATTGATATCAGCATTGCCTTGCGACATTATCAGGCAATAAAGGCTACTCAGGTTCTAATGCAACATGTCATACACAGGCTCCTGTAGTACATTTCTATTGAGGACCTCACAAGCTAAATTGCTTTTTTCCTGCTCCCCCACATCTCAGCCAGCTTGACAGACAAATTGATCAAAGCATTGTAAAATAATATGCTCACAAAATGTCTCGGGGCAGGAGTCCAGCCCTTTTTTCATTTTTCACCCTAATAAAAAAGTACTCTATGATTTCCTCAGTATTATGTGTCTGTGCTCTGTGTGAAAAAGGCAAGAAGCATCATATTTCAGATAATAGTAATCTCCTGTAAACAAAATGCGGATCATTTTTTTCTGTGAACGCCGAGGCCATGCTAAAAACTAAAAGGGCTGGAAAAGCTGGTTAACAGGGAGGCTGGTGCGTAGGGCCCCAACAGGGGTTGTTGAGATGTAATGAATTTGTTCATCTGATGGTGCCTTCAGGGCTGTCGTTAGACTGGCAGAGGAGGTTGATTTTAGGAAATGTTGCTAAGATCAGTTAGGAAGCAAAAGGGGCTTGAGACGTTTCTATTAGAAAGAGCTGACGGTCATGGTGTGTAAGCAATACTTCACGGGCATTTATGTAGCCATAATGGCATTTATCAATAACTATCTATCAATGCCATGAATGCTTTTGTTGCTGCTGCACCGGCTGTTCGAGGCACACCAGCAGCGAACAACAGAGGAAGCAAATGGGCTCTCAAAGCTGTGACTTGCCCACAAATATCTGCTGTGGGTTTCCCTCCATGTTATGCATAGACCTTATCTATTTCCCTTATCCAAAATATGCTCTTAGAGATCATTTATCACCCTGACTACCTAAGCCTGTGCCACACCACAGCCAAAGCTGGAAAGAGCCTTGTTTAGTATGTCATAAATAAATCAATGGAAATGGCTGATTTGAACTATTACTGCTACAGGCGGGCTTTTGTGAGATCTACATGTAAAGCCGCTTGCAAAGATAAGCCTGTATTTTGTCACTTTATCTCGCCTCCCTTAATGCCTGTTTACATTGTGTTACTCCATATATCTGAGGTGGCTCTAGTCTCCCTGTCCTGTGACAACAACACCACATTCAACTGGTCCCGATAAAACCCAAACATTTTGTTTAATGATTTCCTGCTCACACCTTTGAGAACATACAGACAGCCATGTGATCGGAGCCTCCACTTATGACCGACATAGCAAATGATATTAAACTGAGAAATGATCTAGTGATGCGAATCATTAAATTCATTTGCATATTCCTACTGAACCTGAACACACAAATTAAACCCTGTTCACAAGGAGACGGAGAAAGGTGCTTGCGCATGGTTACAGGACATCTTCCATAATCAAAATTCCATATTATTAATTTTCTCACTTCAACTCATTAACAACAAGTTGAATGTTTTTACTGCTTGATGAATTTTAGGAAATGGCAGACAGTCGAGAAAGAAACACATGTTGAGGTATAATATACAAGGTCATTAATGGGTTTCCATAAATTAGAATTTGAACATACATTTTCAAAAGGATAGCTTCCTATCCGGCTGCATTTGGAAATGGTTTAATTTCCCAAACCATTCAAGTTTATCAAATGCGAATCTGCGATACATGGATATTTAATTTCAATCTAATCAAAACTAATCTGAGATGTAGGATGTGGACCTGTAAAAATAAGGAATAAGTGCTTATTAACGCTGAGTTTAATCAGTTTCAATCGCTTCAGTAAGACTGTCAACATTCTAACAATTTTGAGGGATGAGTAGGGCATGAAACGCAATCACATATTACATTTCAGAGTGTCGCTTGACACTCAGAGCCACTGCATACAACTTGGAGGAAACATAAATAAACAGGAGCGAGCAGACCGTGCTCCCCATGGCCTCTGCTGACCCTACAGACATCAGCTCTAATCAACTCCCCTGTGGGTAATAAACAAGTTATTTTTCTGAAATTTCAAATATACTGCGAGAAGAATCACAACCACATGCCATCAGAAATCTAATTTCAAGCCCAACTGTATTCTAGTGCCCCTCATATTTCTAGTGCCGGCTCATATTTGCCCAACTTTCTCCAGGATATTTCTTGTGGGATCTACAAAAATGCCCTGCTTCCAATGAGGAATGGTGGCACTCCATCACAGGAGTGGATTCTGTCCGCCTGTAAATTTCACACCTTTGTTTATCACGTCACCATCCCGGCTGTTGTACAGTACCTTTCAGCAGGTGCGACATCCATTAGGATCTGGATGGTGTGCACACCATTCTCACATCCACTGACTTGGATGGTCCCCAGGGGGCTCAGCAATGAGATGGTCTTCTGAGTGCACTGGCTCTCCTTCTGCGTCTTCATCGTGCTGCCCTGCTAAGGAAGCACAAATTACACTCCGTTCATTGACATATTCATGTGGTAACTTTCACAATTTCTCACACATATTTGCATTGAATGATCTATTGAAAACCTAGCGGGCCACCAACAGATGATGACTTACATATTTGAACACCTAGCCTCCAAACAATGTCATGATGCGACTTGATCCCCCACATTACTATCCAATATTTCTTTTGTGCATGGAAAAGAATACGCCTATCTAACCAATAAATCGCCCATTTTTTCCCCTCTTTCTGTTCTATATATCACATAAATGAGAAAAACAATGCAGTCTGTTCCCTTGTCTGGTGGGGGATTCCCAAGATAGCTCGACATTATTTTCAATCCGTCATTTTTGGTTGATGGTCGGGATGTTTTTCTAGCATTAAATTTGTTCCTTAGGGTGCAACTCCGATGGGATTCTGGTTTCCAGCCCTTAACAACAGCAAAAACGTGCAGCTTTTCTGACGACTGAGATGGATACTGGCAATAACCAGACAGCAGTTCCTTTTTTATTTTTACTTTGAGGGAAGGAGAGATGATTGACTACGTTATATGTGAGTTTTTGAGAGATGGGGGTTATAATAAATAAAGGTCACATTGATTGTAAGAGTTTCGACGAAGGAAACCTTTCCTTCCAAGAACCTTGTTCTGAAAAGTGTCCAAAGGGTAAAACTACAATATCTCTCTTTAATCATTTTTAATAGAGCAAGGTTTTTTTTTTTTTAAACTCATATGTTTGCACAATAACTGTGATGTAAATAAATCTCGAATCAAAGATTATTTTGTTATTGAAAATTCTGCTGATTATTTTTTAATCAAAAAAGCTGATTTTTAATCGGAAAATAGAGAAAACATGTCCATCCACTCTGCTAGAGTCAAGGGAGACATTTTCATATCTGTTATTTGGTCCCATAACCAGTGGAAAGCTGAAAAATAAAGTTTTCAAAGATATAAAAACAGACACGGAATCTTCAAATCTGAGGAGCAGAAAATAACAGAGATTTTGTTGAGCTGTCTCAGGTGAATATTTCACCATCAGTTCTGTGTATTAATTAACTGACCAATCAGTACAGCTGATATAAATCAGACACATTCTGACAGATAATTTGCTTTTCAGTTTTGACATGTTCAACCTTCACTTTTCTGATTTATCGACAAGTCTGGATGGACCGATAACATAAACACCACAGACCTTTTTTTGAACAAAAAAACATAGATTTGAACAAATAAAATCAAGATCATCAATTAATCCAGCATTTATTGAGTAACATTTTTCAGACCTCTTGAATATAAAGCTCTGATTATTTCTTTCTCTCACAAGACATTTTTTGCTTTGCACCACTTATCAGACCCCATATTTACAACTGTTCAGTATGTCTTCTGTTTTAATATGATTTTATGGACATTTAAACCCTTTATGACAGTTTATGCGGTAAGCAATGATTAAATAATTATCAATACTAACATAAACAAGTTATGTTTATCTCATTAAGGTCTGTACATTTGATGGGGAGGCTGGTTGATTTATTTTCACATTAAACAAAGGTTATGAGATGAAAAGTAGTCATGCATTTACAGTATTTCATTTAGACTCTCAGCCTCCCCCCTCCCTCTTCACACACACACACCAGCACATCTGTCATGGTATGCGATCACAAATGCGTCTGCTTCAACTTTCTTGTTTCTACTCTTGCAGCTCTCACTGTATTCATCGGGGGTTTGCCTGAACTGACAATAAAGGCGAGAAATTTCCGAGCCAAACAATGGTACAGTGCACTTTGGATAAGCGCTGAACACACTGCCTACCATTTAGCAAGCTGGTAATAGACTCATAGATAGAATAATGGACTTTGGCAATAATGGCTCTGGCTAATAGTCTCCCACTGATTAAAAATAATGCTCTCATGTTTGTTTTGTGCCGTTTTCGGTGCAGTAGACCCGTTTTAGTGACTGCTTGAAGGTTTGGCTGTTTACCCAGCTCTTCACGGTGAGAAACACAAACAATAAGCAGCTTGTGTTGTTAAAAATTCGCTGGCAGGACCCTGGTGCTCGTCGATCATGTGACTCGTTTCTCATTAGAGTAGTTCCCGGTCAAACCTGTCTGATTAATCGAGTAGAAAAAGCGCACCGCGACTGCGCAGGTGTGAAAAAAACGCAACATGTGTCCAGACGGAGGACGGTCATGCCGAAATGTAAACACAGCTTGTCTGGTTCATTCTCTGTATGTAAGTAACCAAAAACCTTATAAACACACCTTTGTTTTCAACCCGTGCTCTTAAAATGTGAAAATCTTCAATATAAGTTCGTAACTGGAGTGCTAGGCTACATTTCACAAAGTATGTCCCTTCACATAGACTAAATGTTTACAATTTTTTTGAACTAATGTCTGCATGAGGCTCTTGCAAATGTAGATTAGCACATTTTCTCGCTATAAAGCCGTCAACAAGAGTAGTACGGTATCTCAGCGAAGTCCGTTTACCTACCTCTGCATGATACACATGCTAGAAAAGTCTCTTCCTGTTTCTCCAGGCTGCATGGTCGAAACGGCCAATCAAATCAGGCAAAAGTCCGCTCCCTTTTTGTGATTGGCCGATATAAGTCCCCGCTCCTCCCCCTGCCAGGGACAGACACAGAAGGCTTTTCTAATGGGTCTCAAGTTGGGATTTGGGGTCCTTCAGGGGGGTCCCTCGCACACTGAAGACATGAAATTGCAGTGATTTAGATATTGGATTCACTTGATATTTTTTACAGCAGGAAAAAAAATATTATAAAGCGTACTTTAGACATTAATTTCCAATAGTGTTATCTTTCTCCTTATGACTGAGACATTTATCCAGTTCTGTGTCTCTTGTGACCGCTTCTCTGTTAGGTCTTCGGGGTCTCCAGGCATAATGTTTGTGTTAAAAACATCAACTACATGACTTCAACAAGCAGTGATATGATATGTATTATCAATGAGTAAACCCAGCATGTTACCACCAAGACCACAAAAGGCACAATCCTTTTTATTAGAGTTTAATGCTGTTTATATGAGAAGGAGTTGCCTTATGTTGCCTGGAGCAGTCAAATATTTAACTGAAGCATACATTTCGGTCATTACGACAAAGAAGCGTGGCATCACTCATGTATTGTTTAAAGGCGTCTGTTGTCCTCTGCAGCTTTATTTTTATTTCTTTGGTGCCTTCAGCTCTCTGCATGCCTCCGTTTGGAGTGTGTAGGCCGGCGTGGGCCTGTGGCCCACACCCCGTCTCAGCGGTGAGGGTGGGAGCGGGGGAGAAAACGCCACCCCTGCAGAGACCATTTTGAAATCTGTGAGGATTTCCGTGCCATCTGGACCCGCTGCCAGTCTGCCCCAGATAGTAAGGGTTGGCAACGGTACCCGACGGTGCAATATGGCTCTCTCTTTAATGAACTACTAACTGTCCCCCGTTTTAATTGATGTGACATTTGAGCCATTTATCTCTGACATTTCAATGAAGGATGATTCTCAGCCTTGCCATTTACTTTTTTTGTGCTATTTTCTAAGAGTCATTTGCATTTTTCTGCTCTAAACCTGCTTTTTGTCTCTCATTAGCTAATTAGAGAGCAACATGCACAATTAATAAAAATGAACATAACCTAGTTTGATATAGGCTGATGAGGATAATCAGAAAATCAATGTTTCCTAAATATTCATCAAAAATGATGTGAAGGGCTACCTGTGGTAAAAGGTGACTTCCATAAAGCCTCGTAACCTTTACCCACATACCAACATGTAGCCTACAGTGTGGGACAACTTATGTTCGCAGCATGGGGAGAATCAAGCTCAATTAATCAGCATATGATTGCAGTAAGCAGCCCCCTCTGCTGGATCTTCTGAGCCATACTGTTTGAAATCATTTTAATGCTGCATTCACTGGCCAAACAATTATCATATGTTTCAGTCACAGTGGATGTTTTTGCATTTACTTTATTGTATTTAAAGGAAAGAAATTAAATGTTAATTTTATTTTTTAAAGGCAGCGTGTGCTTTTTGTCATTCTTTATTTACTGTATTCTCATTTTGATTAATGCTGGCACATCAAAGCTGCTTTACACATTTTACATTTAGTTAGTGCTGTCATATATTTTTAGTATGATGAATGTAAATAATTTATCATAAAAACAGGAAATACTCTGACCAAGGTGTGTTGAAATAAACAGCCTGATGTGCGTGTGAGTGACACAACAACCTGGTATTTTAAAGGCACTGGACTCGATTGTTTTCCATAATGACACATATTTTCAATCTTTTTAAGATATCCTTTAAAAACACGGCTGCACAGATGACGACTGTTCCTTTGATTGTGAGCGGCATCAGTGCCAAGGTGTGGTGCCCTGTCTGTGTTGGCAGCCGGGCTGATATCTTTTGTTTGAGACTCAAAGAGCTCTTTTTCCTGTTCAGTTTCCCTCACTATTTTTGTTTGTGCGAGGTGTTGATAGACTTATACCCAGCAGTTTCCTTTTAGTGTACAGCACCAGATGTTTGTGGGAATAACAACCCAAAGCTTTTTGTCATAATGACAGAAATTGTTTATTAGCAGTTTTGTCCATCCGGTGATGTTTGATTGTCAGGGATCAGTCTTATACACTGCCTGTCTGTGTCTTGCTCCCTTTTCCTGTAGTCGCAATATCTCTCTCTCATGTTGGCGTGGGAGGAGTTGAAGTCATTTATGATATCAGATATTCTCCAGGAGAGCAGGAAAAGTCCTGACAGACTCAACAACCAGCATCCTCTCACACAGCGGTGTGTGTGAGTGTGCATTTTAATCAGGAGAAATGGCTCTGTGGGCCTCACATTGCAGATTGAGGAGGTCTGAGTGTTCTCATTGTGTATACCCAGTGTACAGTAGATGTTATGTCTGTTCCTCTAAATCAAACCATGAAACAGGCATGGAAAAAAAGCAGCTCCAAATTTTGTTTTTTTTTGCTTTTACACTTTGTTTTTTCACTCCTCTCAGAAGAATTAGTCTGATCAACATATAAGAAATGCTGCATCCACAAAGACATGACAAAATGTGTCTGTACCCTCCAGTGCCCACTTATTTAGTGCCTGTGTGCCTGTGTCCCTCTATCTCTGATATGATGTGGCTCCTCTATTTTACTGTTGACACAGTGCTATGAATGTCTGAGCACTTTGCAAATGAAGAGGCTTGAACTCCTGACAGGCAGTGTCGCCGGCACCATGACACACTGGCCCGCACATGCTGTGCGGCATAATGATGACATTAGGATCCAGTGATAATATCAGGACGCACTTCAGATAAATGACTGATAAACCAGGGGTTGTGCCTCTCGTATTACACGCTTGACAGAGCAGCTAATCAGTGTCCAAGTGACTGCTATTACATAAATCATGAGCTCGACTTTGATGCATATTCCATCAGTGTTCCCTATTCATCACGTCATCTGGGGGAGACTCTCTGGATGACTGGCTGCTGGGCCAACACACATTTTAAGAGCACATTATGTTTTCATTAGAATTTGATATGATCCATTCCAGTGTTGATTTGATTTTACGTGCTCGGGTCATTTGAGAGGAAACTACCAGGGAGAGGGAGAGGGAGTGTATTGTTACACTGCGTGAGCTGTGCAGGGTGTCATTTCACTCTCAGTGGCCGATTTACAGTAAAGATGCTTGTTGATAAGCAGCATTGTTTCCTCATTTTATTTGGATTTGGTCTTAAAAAGATGTATTTTTATATTTCTATTTATCAAAATTGGTCAAAACTTTTCTCCGATTTCGAGAATACTAAGACTTCAGTGATGACAATCTGAGCAGTACATTATTGTTACATCCAGGCATAAAATCAAATCCACTCAGAGATGAAGTTGGAAGATGTGCAGATGTGGGGTGCTGAAGTGAGTCACCATGTATGTTTTATTCTCCAGTATTGGGGTCAGAGGATGTGAAGGTGGGGGTGTTAATTTAATCCCCATTCTTACCCAGAGCATGGCCACACTCTCTAAGGAGCTTTATCTCTGACAACTGTGTCAAATTAGAGAGGCCACGAGCCCCTCATAAAGAATATGTCTGTCAGACTACATTGTTCCTGGCCTCTGAAATATACGGCCGAGAGAGACAAAAATAGAAGATAACACCGTAGTCCCACTGTTGGACTTGAACATGATGAAATAATTTTCGAGCCATGTGATCCTGTCAGTGAGACAAACTGCTAATAAAACTGACGTCCAGGAATTATTCTGTACCGCTGGAGCTTTGCTATTCATAGATTTCAATAAGTATTGTTGTATTGAAAAAGCCTTCCTATTCTGAAATTATTGCTTGTATTCCTGTGATTTAGTTTTTTATCTTTCATGCTTATTAAACTCTTTCAGGATATGTTTAAAGACTTCGTTGGACATGAATTCATTGTAATCAGCCTGACTGCGTATAAATGATGGGTGTGTTACATTCCATTAGCCGTGCTGCATAACTCTAGGTCAGTCCACTCTGATAAGTGCCCATCATTTATCTCCCCGGTATCATCACTGTCCCACAGTCAAACATGTAAAACAACTCTTAATGTTCTCCCGAGTCCCCTATGGGTGTTTCTCCCTGTTATCATCATTGCCTCTATTCTAGGGGGACTTCCTCTGGAGACAACATTTTCATAGACCTTTGACCTAAACCATATTTTCCATTTGAATGCTCTGACTGGTGAATATTTACAAGCATGTTTAATGTATAATAGATCTCATCTGTGAGTATCAGGAGCCATTTTCTGCTCAGTCAGGTTCTGGTGTTGGCCTTGGCCCCCTTTGCTTGAGGTAATATTGACCCCTCTTAAAAAACAAAATGACCTGCGCCTCATTTAGGCCAAGTAGTATGCATGCCTATTGTACAAGTCCTGAGGGCATACATGTTTATAACAAGGAAAGCTGGCGGTCTCGAATGTAAACATCTTAGCACTGTAATATTATTGTATCAGTAAAGTCCCAGAAGGTGGTAGATTTAATAATGTGGGTGGATTATATAAGAGAGAGAAATAAAGCAGTAATTTGAAATTGTTTGGGGACCTTTTGTGTCAATGGTTATGGAGGCTAAGGGACAATTCCATTCCCTCAGGCCACTGTTAAAAAGGCAATGACTTTTCTTGTACATGCACAGCATTTTGGAATCTACATGCGTTACTAGCACCACAGGGTTTTATCATGTGATTAGTAATACATAATACATTTGATTCTATTATCATGCATGGAGGAAAAAAATGAATGAAGGTGCTAGAACACGTCGGTGATGAATAACGTCTGCAGTGAAGTGCTTGAATATACATTTAATAGCGAAACACATGGCAGTTTGCTTCTCGTGGTGCTTATACAACCACAGGCTTTTTAATCTCTTTCTTGCCGATGAAAGTCCCAGTAATTGCTATATTTCCCTTTTTGTTTCAAGGACCTTTGATGATCCCTTGGCTTGCATCAGAGGGCAAAGTCATTAGTGGAGAAATGAGCTCAAGTGAAGAGAAAGAGATTGCGGGGCTCCCAGCATGATTGGAAACTTTGCCTCACATTGCATCCTAATTTGAATTCAATTTTCAATGTATATGTGGGAGATAAGGACAATTAGAAAATATGTACTTAGCAAAATTGGTGACTTAAACACCCCCATTTATTTACAGGACGTATATAACCTGTAATAAATGGTTTATAACACACGTTAATGCAGAAATGAGCAAATA